TTTCCACCTCTCCTGTCTCCCTGCATGTAAAGCACTTTGGTCAACATTAGATGTCCCTTATATAGAACTGTCGTGGTGTTGTCAGGTCACTGATGGCCGCTGTCACTACTCACCCATCATTTAAGCATTAACACAATTTGCAGCTAAGGAGCTCACAGTGGTGAGAAAGAAGCAGGTAGAAACATCTGAAAAGAGGCTTTTTCAGTCTTATTTGAAGCCACTGCCAACTATTCTGCAAGTATTGTGTATTTCAGACAAAAACTCATATACTGTGAATGCATACTTAAAAAGTCAAAATCTTTATGCCTCCTCCTCCTCTCAAAAGAAGCCAAATGCACACAGTTCATCGATGCTCAAACAACACGACTGGTTTTCGTCTTGCAGGCCGGGTCTACGAGGGGCACTATGATCGCTCTCGCACTGCAGGAGACAGGAGAAATTTCACTCTTAAATTTCAATTTGTATCTCGCTGTTTCCTCCAGCGCCCATACATGAGGCGATAATTACATTTGGGCAATGGGGGTCTACAGTATTTCAATTAGGAAGGATGGGGCATGTCTCACTGTTGCAGGCCTACTTTGTGATCCAGGCTGACATGTCATGTGATCACATGATAAGGCCAACCGAGCAGGACACCCACCTGGGTGTAATTTTGCAGTAAAATATTGCCCAGTTAAAGCACCACTGCAGCGAAAATTTACCTTGGTGCGAAACTTTAGTAATGAAGAAAGTGCATTACGTGGCAATCTTAATCCAAATGTTCCATGCAGGACTAATTAGAAATAGAATAAGCAAAAATTTAATGTCTGTCTCTCTGCAGGTGACAGTAAATTGTCTTTGCCATGGTTCCTCGGTGAAAACAACATATCAAAGAAGAACGATTAGACAGAAAACAAGAGCGTAAAGCATCAGTTTCAGCTCACTTGAGCTCTTCATACAGCGAGGACAAACTGCAGGGGTCAACCATAAACCCAAGAATCTCATAAGAGTAAATTTAACAGGAGTGGCACTTGATAATAATACGACGAGATCAACAGGGAAATAAATTTGACCCGTTGCAGTTTTGTTACTTTTCCAGAGCCGCGATACGGATCTGAAGTTTTCACAGGATGTCTCCTTCACAGCCTGTGAGAACGCCCACAGCCAGCATCGCCCAGGAGGTGATATATGGGGTTCAAACCATTGATGTCGGCCCGTAATAATCCGCAGACAAAGCTGAGAGTGTTTGAAGAAACACAAATACTACCACCATGTCTTTACTTTCAATAAGGCGGGCCCTGCTCGGTTCATTCAGCGGTTTATCTCTGATCTCGAGCCGGAGCTGCAGCACCCTCAGCCTGATGGATGCTGAGGGGAGATCAGGTTAATGGCCATTAAGAGTGAAGATGATCAAACCGATGAAACCTTTTAATCTTCAGTGATAAGAAAGAGGATTCATGGTGCTGCAGCTCTTCTCCTGCGACAGCTGTGTTTTGTGAAATGTGTTTTCACAGCTTCTCGAAGTTGTAAAGAAAATGAAACAACCTTCAGCTGGAGGACTTTTTAACATGTTCAAAGAGCTTATTGTTAGAAAAGCTTAGGTAAAGATTAAAGCGGAGGTTTGTGTGTTTTACTTATCTTATTAAACAGGCATTATCTGCAGATATACATTAAGACTTGATTTCCAAAGGTCACAAAATAATCGAATCTGGTCACGTATTTTCTAATCTTAAAGCTCCAGTGAGGAGTTCCTGCACATACACAAAACGCTGCTATTATCATGTTGATGTAAGGGTTAATAAATATCATTTCGACCAAACATCACTGGCCTCTGAACTCTCTGGTACTTAACATATTGAATTATACTCAGTCTCCTCAGATTGCTCACCCCTCTCTCACTTGTTTTTCCTCCGGATCGTCCAATCTCAAGAATCGAGATAAGAGTAAAAGGAATACTTTTGGAGGAAGCACCCTCATGAGGCGAGCAGCCAGCATCCTCACACTCTCACATCTCAGAGTCTGAGAGCAGATAGGGGCCAGAGGAAGACTGGTTGAATTACACATTTGACTTATGACTTTCCCTAATCGTGCAATCTGCTCTGTGAATGATGGCGCTTAATGGGCTGTGGACGGTCGTTTCTCACTAAGTGCCATCATTCTTACATGTTTCAGGCTCCAGTAGCTTCGCTTTAGCTGTCAGCAATGAAATGCTTAATTATGGGATGCTCCATTATCTAAAGGATGGGTGACAATTCACTGCAGGGTGCATTCCTGTATGGGACAGCTGAGGAAAACGGGCTGCTGGTTAGAACGCTCAAAGCGTACTGCACTCGACAGGGTGAAGCAATAAAAACATGATCAACATGATCAACATGACCTTCAAACTAACATCAATAGATCAAATGAGGTCTAGACACATGCACATGCATGATGTATATAAAATACTGTAAAGTCTATATGATCACATTTATCCCCAGTATTTACCTCCATTATTATATGAAGGAGTATAACAGTGCGGGGGACTCTCCTGCTGTATTTTGTTTTGATTTTGCAGCCATGATCGTTTCAAAAAGTTAAATTCTGATTTTACTGGGAACAAAATATGCTTTCACAAAAGGACGTTTTTCAGCGGATCTCTGAGTTCCAACAAACAAACACAAAGAAAATTTGCTTGAAAAACAATAACTTTGTGTAGAGAAGCATCAACAGTCCCGGCACAAACGGGGCGACAACATCATGATTATCGGGCTTGTTTACGTGGCGATGGAGGGAAGAGGGTTTTTTAAAAGAATTTGCACTTTCAGGCTACCAAAACGCTATTTCTGTGTAAATAAACAGCCAAACAAAAACAGTGTTTTACTGTTTTTATTGAATCTTAGCTTGGGTTAAAGTTTTTTTTTCAGTGTGTGCTCTGCTATCCTTGGTATTTGACCCACAAAACAACAATTGTCATTGAATATTGAACATATTTGATTTCAAATCAGCGTGGCTTCAATCCCCCTCTGAAGGAAGGAAAATCGCTCTTAACATGATTCAAAACACAGAATAGTCAGGGATCTCATCTTTAAAACCATCAACCCTGGATTATCAGGACTTTTCTGACTTTTATCAAAGGAGGGGAGCTGGACCTAACATTTTTGAGTGCACTACTTCAATTTGGATTTTTGGTTAAGGAAACTGAAAAGACAAGCTGGATATGTAAAACTCAAACACCTAAAAAACAAGAGCTGTGGAAGTGAACTGGGCTTAGTCTGTTTCTCCTTTTATACGACGATGCCAGCCTCCTTTCCAAGTGCCTCTCTATCCTCCTCTATCAAAATAAAATATCACTCAACTTTTATAATATCACCACAGATTTTCTTAACACAATGGTGCCGCTAAATGGGTGACTTTAATGTCAAAGATGCACATTCAAACTTCAGTCTTTATTCATTTTTAGAAACTTGGGAGTTTAAACCGTGAAATGCGAATCAGTGTTTCTCTCGAGCAGCTTCATTCTGCACAGTTATAAAGTTATATATCTGACAGCATGAATGTGAAGCAGAGTGTTTCCAAAAGTGAGAATGCAAAGTCAGCATAAATAAAAGCTGAACGTAAGAAAGCAAACAGGATTTTGTTCATCCATATTCTTCGTATTTCATTTTCTCTTTCTTAGCTGTAGCTGTTAAACCACATATCTTCAATTACGCCGTTTGTCATTTGTTTTAGGTTGAAAGAATAAATGAATATTTTTCATTCTTCAGCACAAAGGGTGAAACAAAATGCATTAAAGTGACTGACAGTAGCGCAGTGTTTCGAGTGCACAGAGCTGCACACTGACTGCTGTCATGTAGACAGAAAGTGCAGAAACCAGTTCGAAGGAGATGGAGGTAAAAACCACAACTGTTACCGCATAAAGAGACCAATACAGCTGCAGGTAAAGCATACAGAGGCTTCCCCTTTAAACATGTAAAATTTAACAACCCTTGTACTTTATTTAATTTTGTAAAACTTTAGATTGAAGTTGATGTGACTGAGTTTATTTTCAGTGTCTATGCTAACTAAAAGGGAGAGAAAGTGAAGATTTTCTTCGAAAGCAGCTGCATTTACCAGAAAATCAAAAGTTCAGCCAAACAAACTCGAACAAACTCAAACAAACTTAGCTAACTCAACATAGTGAAGTAGCATCAAACACCAGCAGCAGTCCACTGTGAGCTAGCTTACCTTGCTAAGAAGATGGACGTGTGTTTGCTTGTTTTCTGCAGCTCTTCACCTCAGAAGTTTCTGCTTCTTCTTTTTCTTCTTATCCTATTTCTTCTTATATCTTAAAAAAAGAAGAAAAAGGTGAGTTACAAGATGCACTTATGCTAACTTCGCTAACAAATATGCTACTGCCGACCGCAGCTGCTGTAGAAACAACAGTGAACTCATGAAGCCTAAAGTTGGTTTAGCTGCAGTCTGCTTTTTTTTCAGTTTATATCTTCTACTATCAAACCACAGAAGAAAGAAAGAGATACGAGACTGAACACAACAGATGAAGCAAACAAATCACCAAACTACACCTTTAAACCGGCCTGTATTTCTGAGGTCAACACGGTAACAGAGAGGTCAGTATTTGAAAGCAAACATTTCGCTGAATGTGGTGGTCAAAGGTTCATCACAGTGGTTGAGGTTTTGTTCGTCTTACCTGCTTTTTAAATGTTTTTCAACAGGCCTCTGCTGAGTCACCCGAGCAAAAGTTGAGCAACTTTTTGAATGTGCCATTTAAGCTAACAAGAGATGGACCGAACCAACTTCCTGTTTTGGGTGGGGGGGTTAAATCTCAAACTTCACAACAGTCTGGAAACCAAATCTACTGTTTATTTAATTTGTGAGTATTGTCATTAAAATAACACTTGGTTTTCTTAATCCTTTGTTATTACTGGCTGTTGGGTTTATTTGGAGTCTTTTAACATAATAAGGTTCACCCCCCATTTGTGTTCAAGTAGGCCGGTCTTCAGGTATTTAAACCCTCTTTTTAATGTTAGAGGTGGTTTGTCAATCAAGGCATGTGCTCCCAACTGTTTGGTTCACCTAAATCAAGGTAAGACAGCTAGTTTTAATATCCGATCTTCACTTGAGAAACTATTTTTCCTCAGGTTTGTGTTCTTTGCTTCTTTGTTCAGACTTTTACGAACTAAAGCCTCAGTTATTGAAAGTACCCCAACCTTTTTGCTTGGTAAAAATTCTAAGCTTTGAACTCTGTTAAAGGTGCTTGGGTCAGCGTCCCTAAAAATGAGCAAAATAATGTACATAAAGAAACATACCTGTTTCTTCCAGCAGAAAAGGGGATGTCGCTTTAGCCAGCAAAAAATACAGTGAGAATGAAATTAATGTCATTTTAAATAATGGCTAAGTTCGAAACTTCGTACAAAACCAGCTGCATGACTTTTTATATCTGATACATGCGCCGACACTTCGTGCTAAAGTCACACTGTTCGCTTGAGTGAAACAGACTCTGTACACTGAAGACAAATATAAGCAGTAAATAAAACTTTTGGACCACATTGCAGCATTTTGACCTCGTGGAGTTTGAAAGCTACGTAGACTACAGCTGCAGCGACAGTGAGCCTCGTTCAAACCTGTATGATTCATAATCTCCGACACAACCGAAATCTCTGAGCAGAATAAGTAAAAGCGTCCGTCCCCTCCTTCAGTTTCCTCACCGCTCAGCGCCACATCTCCGCTAATTGAAACAACAACCAAGTAACTTTTCTGTCAATGTCAGCAACACGCGGGCCAAACCCCCCTCATCAAGTTAGGTTAATTCGCATCGGGCTGTGGTGGCGACCTCACGCTGAGAGCGTCTCCTTGTTTAAAATGAAGTCTGAATCCATGCTCAGCCTCCTTTTCTGCTCCTCCATGATGCACTGCAAGAAATGTGGGCTTCAACCCCGTTTTTCAGCTGTGCCTGAAGAGATCGCCATTGTTTCAATAAGTGCAACACAGATTTTCTTCTACTCAAAAATGCTAGAAGATGTTGAATTAAAGTACAAGTGTATTGCACGCACATCAAAGGTAATTGTAGCTAAACTTTATTTTAGAGTTTTATATCCCAGAAAATTATATCGAAGGGATATTCCGGCGTAAAATTAATTTAGGGTTAAACACACCGTAACACCGAGTTAGACACCCCTTGAGAAATGAATGTTGCCGCTTGCTCCTCTAGTTATACCAACTTTAATAACGCCCACACGATAGCGATATACAGCGGTCTGAGGAGCCATAAACAAACCTCAACCAAAACGCCACTCTATAGCCACAAATAATGATCAGAACAGCACCTAACTTCATCAACAGTACATATAGGGTCCCAGCCATAGTACTAGCCACCAAACATCTTTTTAACTTTGCCTGATTTCTTCAGCAAAGAGACTAAACACAACTCACCTACTCTCTTCCAGCAGCCACTTGTTTGGCTCCTTAGACCGCTGTGTATTGCTATCGTACGGTCGTTACTAAAGTTGGTATAAATAGAAAAGCAAGCAATCGGCAACATTCATCTCTTGTGGGGGTGTCTAACTCGGTGTTACGGTGTGTTTGACCCTAAATTAATTTTACGTGGGAATATCCCTTTGAAGCTGATAAATGAGTGTTTCTGTATGTCTAACAGCAGCATGAAACAAGTAAGGTTCGACGTGTGTTTTACAAGAAAAATTAACTTATTTTTGGAGATATTTTTTGCAGTGTGTTTGATACAGCACAGTTGCTGCCTAAGCAGGCGGATCCTCTAATGAACCAGCGGGTATCAGCAGATGTGGGTCTATAACTTAATTTGCCCCCTCAGCTATAGAGCAGATCCTATGGCGTGTAAGTGGTCTTGATGGATGAGCACTACAGCTCATCATACCCCCGCCATCAGCACCAACCCCCAGGATCCAGCACCCATCAGCCCTGACTTCACAGGCCCAGTATTAGCATGTAGCTGCAAATTTGAAGTGATTTCTTGCTGACTTATTACGTTTAATTTATGATCTTTGCAGGGGCATGCTGTCAAACACATCAACAGTGAGGTTAGCCCGTGTAAAAACTTGATTTATTTCTCTGGATATTTGGTGTAAAATTCAACAGCACAAATGCCAAGGGATAAAACTGTACTGACTGTAACATGAAGTGTTGAGATTGATCAAAATAGGTCCTAAAGTAATGTTCGAACAAATCCACACAACATAAAAACCAGGTCAGAGGATTATTTTCATCATTATATATATATATATATATATATATATATATATATATATATATATATATTTTTTTTTTAATTCAAGCTATTAGACAAGGAATGCCAGATTCATTCGCTTAGCATTTTTGGAACAGATTAAATAAGAGTTAAAATAAGATGGAATAAAGGATTTGAATTCATCCATTCAGACATCCATGAACAAGGTTTTTGTTTTTCTATAGCGGAACACGTAACAATTACTGTCTGAAATACCAGCATTTCTATGAACCATTAACATAGATATTGTAGCAGGAAGAAGAAATACTTCTTTTAAACCTATAATTTTAAAATAAATGAACAATATTAGTAATTCAGTTACTTTTGGATAGAAGTTACTCGGGATTCTAACTCATTTTCATCAACTTGCATTAAAAATGCTCATGAGCAATTCAAGCTGTGTTTTCAAAGGATACAATAAATGCCTTTAGGACACAATATGATTTGATACAATACAGTGCAAACTGATATGATACAATATGAAACGGTAAAATGCGATACGATACAATACAACTCAATACGCCTGTTATTGCATTGATTTAAAATACTTAAACAGTTCAAGTTAATAAAGTAATATCTGTAACACTTTGACGCCTATCTCTGTAACGCATGATAAATATATGTATAATGCATTATAATCACGTTATAGCATCATATAACTATAGTTATAGACACTCATTAATGGTCATAATGCTTTATAGCAATAATTATAAAGCTTTTTATTATGACTTACAAAGTCAGGTTTTATAATGTGTTATAACCGTTAACAAATCACTGACCATGCCCACATAGATAATGCAGTGCAGCTGTTGTTAACAGTTATAACATATTATAATACCTGACCTTGCAAGTCATGATAAAATGCTTTATAATGTGTTATGATTATTGCTATATAGCATTTTATGAGTGTTTATAACTATTGTTATACAGTGCTATAACGTGATTATAGCACATTATGAATATATTTATAAATGCGTTACAGAGATAGACGTGAAGTAAAGTGTTACTGTAGTTTCCTGTATGGTGACGATATCCTGAGAGGTCAAGAAAAGACAGTAACTAAGCAAACAAACGAACCAACATACACAAATCTACATGGTGACACACGTCTCCTGAACATATCCTCTGTCCCTGTGAAGGGCAGGGGTCTGTGGTTGCCGCTGGAGGCCCGAGGGGACCATGTGGCGAGGCGTCCATCTGTGGTAACCTGAGTAAACGCAGAGTAAGGCCACAGTGCGTCTGTGCACTCTGTTGACTGTTTCGACAGACATGTTTTCCCAAAGCAAGAAAAAAGTACACTAAGAGGGGTGCCTAAAGTCATGGCTCAGTTCACGGAGCGTCCCCGCTCCAGGAACCTGATCTTACACACTTAAAGACCGCAGCCTCTCCCGGCGGCTCTGACTAAACCTGCTCTCCTGCTGTGGATTTAAACTGTAAGTTTTAATGTAATAATAAGACAGGATTTGTCTTTAAACTAGGAATTAAGCTTGCCAACTTGTCTCTCTTTATAAAAAGCTATTCCTGGAGCCGTGACAAGATTTCTGAACATGCTGAAATGCAGTTTGGGACTTCCCCCTTCTTTTATCTTTCCCTCCCTTCAAATCACCTGTGGATGCTATCGCAATCAAAAATGCTAATTACCCAAGTGGCTTAATCAACATTAGAATAATTACGCCATTAGAATACAGCAAGCTGTGATGAATATGGGAAGGTAAACTCATGTAAAACATGTGCCGTTTATTGGATTAACATCAGGATGCAAAGATGGCTCCCCAAACGTCGTAACAGGTGATTGATTAAGACTGAAAAACACAAGCATGGAAGACGCTGGATCTCTTCTGTACCGACCAAATGAGCTAAAATCTGTATTTTGTTTAGCTATTATCTTTATTTCTCATGTTTAAGCAGATCTGTAACACATATTGGTTGTGAAAAATACAATAACAGCGCCCCTATGTCATGAGCGTTGTGTTTTTTAGCAGGTTTCATCATCTGCGTATGAAAATCATTTTTTGTGAACAAAGAGTCAGCCCTTTCTATCTTCATGGGACCGAGTTACCTGCCTTGAGGGCCGCCATCTTTCACCACCATGTTTCTAGAACGGACAAACTGGTAACATGAGTGCTTTCATAGTCGGCGTGTTCGGTGGTGGCCGATTCCCGGTGGCCTGGCGTCGCCTGGCCTGATGTGATTGCTTCGAGTTTAATAAGGTTAATAAGGTCGCCGACTGACACTGAGACGGCTATGATGCTAGTGGTGCGTGCTAATCCAAGTTTTATGCCTTTCGAGAACTTTGCAGAACAGCAGTGTGGTAGGCTACATTCTTAGTTAACAAATAGGAGTTTTTATAACCATTTTGTTTTTGCTTCATATTAAATTTGCAGTTTTGTAGCCAATGTTGAATTCTTCACATCAGCATTATATTCACTAAATCTGGCTTCAGATATCCGGTGATGGCATTTCTGCGTCAATGTGTATTGGCCTGGCCTAGATGGAGTCAAACTCCTGGCCTGAGTTATGGTCCCAGTCCACCCCTGGGCGTGTTGCTGTTAAAATGCATCAGGTGGAAGATAAAGAGAATGAAGAAGAGAGGTTTTTCATTATGCCCGGTGAAGGTTTGTATTGAAAGGCGTTTAGTTACAAATGAAGGATCATACTTTGGATGCATCACAGCAGCTTCTTGTCCTTAGAGGCTTCCATCGATTCACAAACGGGGAGAGCAAGGGAGCTTTTTTTAACCTCCAATCTGACATTGCCAAATATTCACATGTATAAGTTTTTTTTATAATATTTTGGAGCCATTTTTACCTTTTTTATTTTTAGGAAATATGAGGTAAAGGACCGAGGTTCAAATGAAAACTCAAAGCCGCCTGTTGGAAGTCTACAGCATCTGCTGTCGCCGGAGCTTTAACTGCTGAAACAACTGCCATGATAACTCAAGACATGTCAAATTTATTCCTTAACACAAAAAAGAAGCACTGAGGTCTGCAGAGCGTATAACAGTATTAGAGAGGAGGTAAAACTTTGTCCACAGGGGGCGCCAAATTCAACCCTAACAGCAGCTTTAATGTTTAAGGGGAATTCCACTCCTTTTTTCTACTTCATTGAGGAACCCTCTCTTCTGTTGTTTTTAGAAGAAGCTTAAAGTATTGATTTCCAATTGAATGAGAACCGAGCCACTCGGATTATCATCAATATTTAAGTGGGCTGTGAAGAAGTGGTATTTAAGGATTGTTTTGCTGACGTTTTGACCTTAAGTGTCTCATTTTGGAGACGAGCAGGCGAGCGTTTTTGAGGGAAGCCGGGTCAATAATGAGACGCACACAAGTCAATTAATGCCGTAAAGTGTCTTTTCTCCTCTTTCTCTGTTCTTCCTGAGTGACAGACTGAACCCTAAACACCATCTGCTAAAAAGCCTCCCTAAACTTGACCCCGCCGCCCCTAAGGGGTCAGCTGACCTCTGTAGTCAGATCCTGCTCTTCGGACAGGCCAAAAAAAAACACACAAGCTTAGATGTGACTCAACAGGGCATGAAGAGAGGATTCAATGAATGATCACGATTGAAGCTGGGGAGTCAGCCCTTCAAAATAAAAGCAGCAGGAGTACGGTGGGTGAAGGTGGAGGACTTTAACAGCTCATAAATCTGCCTGAGAGGTCCACAAGTGTTCTGTCTTTGCTGCTATTTAAGATGACGGACATGAGGGCCAGACAGCACGTTACCCAGAATGCATTCCACACAGGCGTCTGAGTGAGGTGCACTTGCTCTGACTCGCAGAGGGCGTCGTTGATTATGCAGGATCTGTTTTTCATCTTTTCTCACAGTTTGAGACGATGTCTGAGACACCCAGAGGCTGCAGACCAGCTTTTAATTATACAGGCAAATCTTTTATTTTTCTTTATTTGAAACAGGGAAGTAATTCATTGCGTCTTTCATATTGTTTTAGACTAGACGGCGACAACAGGATACTCATTAAATGTGCAAATATTTGCATTTTTGTCTCCTCTGGGAAAACCTGAGGGGCGGTGGTGTTTATATACGCATTAATATACAATTCTTTTATTACTTTTGTTGATGAAAAATGAGGGTTAAGATGCATTTTGCACACAAAAAACATTGTTTACTGGGGACTTTGCCCCCATGAAGCCTGAATAAAGTTTTAATTCCCATCAAAGTTTTAGTAAAAAAGAGAAAAATCCTTCCTCGTTAGTTTTCTCACTTAGCCTTTGTGGACTATGACGGTGTTTTGTAGCTTCAGACAGACCGTTACAAGCATGAGTGAAAATATTGCAGTTATTCGACAGTTAGCAGATATCAGAGTCCAAATCCACCAGAGAAATGTCTGACTGGACTCAGAAATATATTTTCAAGTTTACAGACTTTATTCTTAAATTGGAGTGATTCTGGCCAAGCAGTTTAAGACCCATGTTCAAAGGGCTAAACAGTCGTTCAACTCCCATTCACGCCCACTTGCTGCCCACATTTCCCTTCTCTCTTCAGCTGACTTATCAAAGAAAGACAAAAATGCCCCCAAAGTCACTTTTGGTGAATATCACTGTTATTGTGCATATAGTTAAAATGTCCACTTTGACTCTGGGGAGGGGTTAGTCCTGTTCAGCCCACGTTTTTGGCCTCCATTTGACCACTTTATGAGATAAGCATGAGTGCGAGATGTGCAGCATATCTCTTCAAACAAAAGGTCTGTGGTGGTTCAAATTGAACTGTAGTCTAAAACAGTGCTGTGCTGGCTTTTGTGTTGATGTTTCCCTGACATACTGTAAAGCCGAAAACATGGATCTGTATTGAGCGTGTTCTTTATATGCTACGTAGAGCAGATCTGGGTATCGCATACAGGATGTGTATTTGGAGCGTAGCAGCAGCGTAGTGCAGCCCCGGTCAGCTGGGCTCAGTATAGAGGAAACAACATCCTCACAACAGGTTGTTTCTCCTTTCTGTGGTCGATTTCCTGCTAATTTGGATATAATTCAGTGACCGTTGAGCCTCTACTATATGTGAAAAAGCAACGTAATTTTACAGCTTCGGTTTTTTCAGGTTTACTCGTGTTTAATAAAGTAAACTATGATCCTTTATGCTGTGCTGTTACCTTCAGACAAAGTTTGCAATTAAAAGTCTTGTTGGCGTCCACATGGATCAGGGATTGACCATCAGGTTGTTAGGTGTTACTGATAAATCCATAACCAGGAAGTATCTCTCATCTATACGAACTGATACACAGTCGGGAGTTTGCATATGCTGTTTTATTTTGAAATACTGGATGACGCGCGGTTTTCATGCTTGACTTCCTGTCTGGAACGATCTTCTCTGTGGGGATTGACGCGCATTGGAAGCGTAGAGCAGCAAAAATAGACTCGTCGCGTATCTTTAGCAGAGCTGCTCTCGACACGATGCTGCGGCGGAGCTGCTGCCACGCTCCAAATACGCATCCTGTATGTTTTGGCCTTAAGTGTGAAGAGCTGCACCTGCGTGCTCCAAGTACATTAAAGACAGTTTCTTGAAGTTTAATTTGATCTGCGTTTACAATTACTCCCCACCAATACACAAAGAAGGGACTCGAGTGATTTGGATATCAAACTTGTAAAATAAAAAAGAGGCTGAAGCTCAGGCCCAGTTCACAAATCAAAAATGGTGTTACAGGTCAGAGTTACAGGTTTTGAAACCCTCAGTTTTGTGTCTGTTAAGTTGACAATGAAAACAGAAGTTTAGGAAAACACTAAGGTCATGACATGATATTCACATAAAATTAGCTGTTGTTTAAATGTGCTGCACATGCCCAAAGTCCGTGGGCAACTGTTGTATTTCTGCTCAGTTTTACTGCATTTTCACAGGGAAAAGTATTTTTTTTATCACCGGTAGGAAAATGTTTTTGATTTACGACTCCATACATAGTGTAAAGATCACAGTTTACTACATATTTATTGTTCTTTGGACCACAACATCTCATGTAGTTTTTACTGTTTAAGTGTTTCCGATATTAATAACTGTCTAAATGATAATTAAAGACATTCTGTCAGTCACTGCAAATCAGCATTTAAATTAAACTTAAGTAGAAGATTTAATATCTATTTAAAATCAGTGGTTGAGTTCTGACCTCAAACTGATCATCTGAACTGATAAATCGAATCAACAATGCCGACTTTGGGGTTGATCTGACCCCACTTAGAGATCTGTTGTCGACGAGGAAGGTTTCTATCTGTCTCGGCTGAAACACGGGGAGCGGTGCGACTCTGTGCTGAACAATAGATAACATGCTGCAGCTATTGATCTCTGCTGGTATTTTAAGTTTTGGGGTGAGGGGCGCTCTATCAGGTTTCCAGGCACAACTGCTCAGTCTGCCTGCTGGAGCTGCGTCCATCTTTAGAGGCCCCCCCGTCTGCTGCTGCTGCTCTGTGAGAAAGCTGTGAATCCTTAAGAGTGTCGAAACAGATGCAGAGGTGGCTGTAAAAGCGTCATATGAAGATATCCGCTCCACCGGTCTGTTTATTTATTAGAGTCTTCTCCTTACTGATAGATCTATGACCCCTTTACCGCGATTATACTCTGTTTTTCATCAACCGCTCAAGATGCTTTGAATAATATTGACTTAAATGCCTCACCAGCCCCTGCTATGACATCCAGTTTCACAATCATATTAAAGAGAATGGGAAGAATAGATGTTGTCTAATTTGAACCCGCCATATTAGCCACCATTATCACAGTGAGACACAGAGGCCCTTGCAGCGGGGCTGATTACAGATACTGTTATTTGAGAAATTGCTCATTTGGCAAATGCTTATGTTGTCTGAGATTTAAATCTTCATTTTCATGGATGCGTTTCATGGGATTTGTTTTTTAATTTAAACAGACAAAAGAAATCGGAAAAAAAAAAAGAGACTATATAGCGGGACAAATAATCATTGACACAGAACCGTTCAACAGTACATTTGAGCCTCACATCGACCTTGATAAACTCATCCCTCAAAACAAAAACACACGACTCACATGGGAAATAAGCAACAGTGAGCCTAATGATGGAAACAACTTAATGTGGCGCCAACATCACCCAGACTCCTCCCTGACAGCGCGGTTTGGCATTGTGTGCGTGCGTAATGTCCATTTGGGACGGGCGGGCTAATTTAGCGCCAGCGAGAACAGCACCGTGCGGTCCTAATCATCACCAAGCCGCCAAAATCGTCCCCCAGTCGCCATCATGCTGTGGTCCACTCGCAGCGCAGACACGGCTGCAAAGCTAGGGGTTCGTCTGAAAGTCAAGCTGAGATTTTTGAAATAACCCGAGTTTATGAGACACCCCGCAGCTGTCGGGTGAACCCGGTAAAAGTAACTGCTTCAATATCCTGACCTTATTTACTGTCAGGGTTTGTCTAACTTTGACTTTTTCTGTCTTTGTGTTAGCACTCAGACTGAATCGGATGGTTTTTGTTGGTAGAGGTAGATTTAGTCCGTTTCGTCCTCCTAATCAAGGTCATTGAATTTTGCTGCGTATGTGCAGAGTTGGTTGGGTAGACTGTTGTGTGTCGCTGAGTTTCTCCAAGACGGTCTCGTTGCAGGACCCACCTTCAATGAGCCGACCAGAAGTTGATTTGAAGCCTTTCAAGCAAATAAACCAGAAGTACTTTTTTAATTTTTGTTTACGTTGGAAGTTTTCCTCCCACATCCCAAAAACATGCAGAAGTGGGTTTAGGTTAATTGGCCATTTTCAAATTGCCCGTAGGTGTGAATGTGAGCGTGGATGGTTGTTCATATTTATATGTCAACTCTGCGATGAACTGGCGACTTGTCCAGGGTGTCCCCTGCCTTCGCCCGAAGAACCTAGGATAGGCTCCAAACGTAAATAAAATGCTGCTAATGAGAATGGTGCATGTAGTTTATAGATGGTTGTTTATCAATGCGCTTCATTAACTTATCTGCAAAAGTTGAAAAACTTTAACTCATGCACATCGCTCTCTTTAAAACTCTTCATTTTGTTACTGTTTGGGTTCAGGTCCTCTAATTTTTGAGAAACCACATTTCAGCGGAGAATCTCAAAGGTGCTCATCCTACCCGCTGAAGAGATGCACAAGTTAACTCGCTTGATTTAAATAAACAAATATGCATATGAAGGGAATTAGGTTTGGGTGGCGCTGAGGGAACTCCTGTTTGTTTGTGATTTTTTAAATCTTTGCCAAACCTCATTTATAAAAATGTTTTTTTGTCAGAAACTTTGCTTGCTCTTGGTCTCAAAAACACCTTCTTACATACCCACCTAAAAAAAAAACAGAGCTGTCAGAGAAAGTGTCGTCACATCGATTAACCCACATGAGAGGATTCTGACTGACAAACTGACTCCTCAGAAATGGGTCCTCGGCTACATGAGGGCTGCTGTAACTGATCGTGTGAACGATGAACCCCTGGACTGAAGTTTCGGCTGGCGATGGTGGTGTGTCTCCAAAAGTCTTCCCCGGGGAAACATCTTCCCCACCTCGTGCCGCTGGCTTTCCCGGTAACGCTATATCCACATCAGAGAGGCTGGCTTCATTGATTTAGCACTTAGCTCCATTGTCCCATATGAACAGTTATCATTTTTGGCCGGGGGCCAGAGTCCAGGCGTCAAAGTCACCGATCGATGCTCCAAACTTTGAAAATGGGGGTGGCAGAATTTAGACTGAGGTATAGATTACGGGAAGTGGGGAGATATATGAGGGGGCGTATACGGAGGTCAGACTGAAAAGGGAAATATTAGTCAGATTGGTGTTAAGAAAAATAAAAACACACTATTACAAACATCCTAAAGGCCAAATCTGTCATTTTAACCATATTTTTACATTTTAAAATTGAACTTTGAGGAGTTTAAATAGTCTAATTTGATTTAACTGTGCCTCTTTCAAGCCTATCAAAGGGTTGGATTTGACAAACTACTTTTTCTAGCAGCATCGGTCATGTCCAAAGATGATCCAAAGATCGGTTATAGCTTTAAAAAACTAAGACTGAAGTTTCTGAAGTGTGTATCAAGTGCTTCAGGTGGAGGAAGAAGGTGAATAGCTGATAAATGAATGCGTGTTTGGGTCATTTGCATTCACAAACAAAGATTTAACTTTGGTCTCAAATACAAAAACTAGTTTCTTTTTACAGACTCTCTAGACTCACTGCAGTTGCTGTTCAGTTCATCAGACCTGGTGTTTGAGGTCTTCAGCAGGCCAAAGAGAGTTGATACAGTCCTTCACTGCTAAAGTATCAAACCTTCAAAATCTGCTCATAATTTTGCAGCGAAACAGTTTAATTTCATCAATATTTATCGTCTCTTTCTTGTAATGACATCAGGCGACGATCCTCTCCAACAGTCTGGTGACTTTTCTTTAGGAGAGTTTGGATTGCACTCCTAATTTCTGGACAGTCTGTTTAAGCACTCTCTTGGGAGTGTTCGGCAGCATGAAGAGCAGATGGGAAGTTTAGCTCAGAGATCATCTGTATGAGATTTGAGATCTGACCCCGTTCACAGGGGCCACAGTTTGTCTTCATGTTTTCATGTCTGAGCTGCCGAGTCACAAACTTCTCAGGAGTTTATTGCAGAGACGTCTACATATAGTGGCAAAAAGCTTCTTCATGAGACCGTAGTTTGCATCAAGAGAGAAAATGCCGACAGTAAGAGCGTGCTGATTCAGATTCAGGTGTGCAGGTTATTTCCACGCCAGTCCGATGTTTTCATCATCCTTTCACCGTGCCTCTTTCTGTACAAGCACTGACTCTGCATTCATGTAAGAATAACACTGATTTGCAGGAAGGAAAAATATCATTCCTTATTCAGTTTACGAACAAACACATTTCTCAGCCTAATATTTTCCTCCCTAAAGGAAGCACGTTCCAGTTAATCAAACCTAATTACCCTTTATTGGAAATACTATTAACGCCGGAGCGGTTTCTGAGCGGAGTAATTTAGCTTCTTCTTCCCACGTTGTCTAAAATTGGGAAGGCTAAATGATGTTATCATTGCCTTGTTAATTCACCTAATAATTTCTCATTTATTTAGATGATGAGATCAATAACTCAGCTCGCCCGGCTAATAGTCTACCTGTGGATTAAACAAATAACACTTCTGGACATATAATCCTCCATAAGGCTTTTTTCCGCTTTAGTTAAGCAGCCTGCAATATTTTATGTCTCCTCAGCAGCTTGGAGATGATAAACGGATTCATATAAAATTTAAATATTAATTATGCGCCTTTTTGCTTTCAGCTGTTTCCCAGCAAAGCCTCCACCGTGCTGCTGAAGATTTATCTTTATTCACCAAAGCAAGAGCTTTGCATTCACAAAAGGATCCGACTCGAGCACAAAACGCTGTCATATGAAGTTAAGCGGACATTTCGCAGCATCATTTATAAACAGCAGAGGAGGAAGGTTACATAACGCTGCACAAAGTTACTCGATTACAGCCACAGAACTCTCCGGTTGTTCGGCTGTTATATATGTTTCTTACCGTTTAACTTGTCAGATCACCGACATGCAGCCCTCGGGCCATCATCCACCAAAACAGGAGGACTCATTTTAGATCTATGAACCCGCTTGAAATCAATCAAATGCCGATTCAGACAAGAGTGAGTTATTTTCTTAATGGTTAGGTCATCCTTTATGTTAGGACGTAACCAGGAGAATCTCCAAACATCAGCACAAAGCTTTAAGAGAAATCGCTTCTTATTTATTCTACTGTCAGGACAGCTCCGAAGGTACAAGCTCACCTCACTGAGTAAACACATGCTGGCATTTGCTAGCATAACACCATTAGTACACACCCTGTCTGTCTGGGTTACCACTTCAAAGCTTTACTACACATCATTAGCTTGAAGAGTTCCTTCAGTAAATATGATTAATGGGGCTTTCTAAGTTCAGTTTGACATCTTCAAATTTAATAACAGCCTGCAGGCTAAATCAAACTGTAATCATTTGCTGCGACTGCTAGCTTGTACCTGCTGTTGTGCTGATAACAGATGCCGATTAGCATTTCATCAGAGTTTGACGCTCTGCGCTTATGTCATGCATATGTTTCTGCATCACCTACAGACTTGGATGTCATGAGCAAAGGAGCATCTGGGAGTTTCTGCTTCAGCTGAAACTGGTGCTTTTATTGTAAAAAAAAACATTTAGTAATCAGACTTGACCAAGTTCCTCACAGACAGTTCAGTCAATCAGTAAAAGCAATTAAATTAATTACAGACTAATATTTATCATGCGGAGATGATGCGATGATGATGCTCTGCGCTTTTTCAAAACTTTTTAACCGTAATGGTAACTTAATTCAGCTCCATGACATCAAATGATTAATACGCCGCCGACTACATTCAGAGGGAGAAAAGCAATCCCTCTGCCTCAACATGTCCACTACTGAGAGAACAGTGAGTCATCTGTCAAAATACTTCTTCGGACTCTGAAGGCGGACCCGCTAATTTATCAAAATCCAATCACACAAAGCAAAGTCATGCAAAGAGAGAAACGATTAAAACCTCGCCAAGCACATGAGTGACGGGACACCAAGACGTCTACGGGGAACCGAAACACATCAGGCCAGTAAACCAGGAACACTTTGACGTAAATTTACACAAATAAAAATGCCCATAATGCTCTTGGATTAATACCTTAAAAATTTTCTGAGAACTGTTCGCCTGTTCGGACCGGGTTTTGCTCATAAACTAGGAAGTCTAAGCGTGCCCAGCGCTTACAGACATCCTGTTTATGATCCCCAAACAGTTAATGAAGTCAGCACTGAGTGTGAGAAAGCAGCAAGGCTCAAAGTCTTTCTTCTTCTGTGAAGTCAAGTGCTTTGTAAACAAATTTATCCATCAAACATTTAGAGTTTTACCCTTTACTTAGTCAGTAACTATTCACCGCAAAGTCAATATTTGTACCAAATTTGCATCAATTTGGCATCATGAGTATTTTCACTGTCCACATTTGTTCACCAGAGAAAAGATGGTGTTGGTATAAGCTTCTGACTACAGATTAACTATAATCCCTTATTAGAAAGGGATTAACACGTGTATCAACCCTGTGCGCACAGAGTGACAAAGTGTCGATTCAGAACTAGACTAGTGTCCAGTTACTCTTCATATGCGTCCCTCACTTTTCCTCTTTTTTTCTGTGCAAGTTTGAGGCTGAATTAAACCTTTAAACACAGAATATTTCACATCATTTCACATTATTCAAAACTGTTATTCACACATCTTTTTTAGACTTAAATTTCATGCTGCAAAACCTTTTATGTGCACAGATGTTTTTATTATTTTTCACCAGATGCAGTTTTTGAGGAAACTTACTTGAGTAAACCTACTTTGAGTAAACAGCAAATCAACTTGTCCCACAATATTGTGTTGGCTTGTGTTGGTTGTGTTTGCTTTACATCGAGGTGTGATCAGTTGCAAATGTGGTGTGTTGTTTCCCCCTCTATTCTAGCCAACAAGACCCTTATCTGAAGTTAGAAGTTCACAGTGCACAACTTTCTGAATATCTAAAGGGTGCCTCGCAAAGATAGTAAAATGGGAGCAAGAGTTAACATTACTGATTCCCCTGCTTTTTAAAGATAAACAATTTTGGGCTCCTTGCTTTTATGAAAAGGATATTCCAGCGTAAAATGAATTCAGGGTCAAACACACCGTAACACTCAGTTAGACACCCCCTCGAGAGATGAATGTTGCTGACTGCTTGCTTCTCCAGTTATACCAACTTTAGTAACGACCGCACGATAGCAATACACAGCGGTCTGAGAGCCGTAAACAAACCTCAACCAAAATTCCACTCTATAGCCACAAATAATGGTCAGAACAGCACCTAGCTTCATCAACAGTACGTATAGAGTCCCAGACATAGTACTAGTCACCAAACATCTTTTTAACTTTGCCTGATTTCTTTAGCAAAGAGACTAAACACAACTCACCTACTCTCTTCCAACAGCCGATTGTTTGTGGCTAGACCTCGGGCCAGTCCATTACGGACTACAGTGGGGTGACGCAACTCAAGGAAGAACATTTATGATCATTACTTCATCATTTCCTTGAAGTAATAATCATCATATTAATCATTTTGCACTACAAATGCGGTGGTTCTAATGCAATAGTGTTTCAGTCTGATTGTATTTCAATAAAGAAATGATCATAAATGTTCTTCCTTGAGCTGCGTCACCCCGCAGCAGTTCGTAACAGACTGGCCGAAGATCGAGCCACAAACAAGCAGCTGCTGGAAGAGAGTAGGTAAGTTGTGTTTAGTCTCTTTGCTAAAGAAATTAGGCAACATTAAAAAGATGTTTGGTGGATAGTACTATGGCTGTGATCCTATATGTCCTGTTGATGAAGTTAGGTGCTGTTCTGAGCATTATTTGTCTGTTTACTTAAACATGGTTGACTTACTGACCTACTTTGTGAGGATTTGTTGTGTTAGCACAATTCATCAGATGATCAGACCTCTCTATCCACTTCAAACTGCTTTTATTCCTTTTTCCACAGAAGCGACAAATCCTCATGGTGTACCTGTCTCTCATCATCATCAGTCCTTCACCATCTGGATGAATAAACCACTGCATTCTGCACAGTGTGAGTGATTTGCTCTGATTTTTTTTTTTTACTTTGGCGATTGATGAAACATGTCGTGAATTTGCACCATTCATGTCTATGAGTCTCCCAGTTAGTGCAACGTCATTCAGGTCACCTGACAAGAACTCACGTCTGATCATGTCTGCACATTGACTTCACAATATATTTTTTTCATGAGTCTGGTGTGAATGCTACATAAAATCTGTCACAAATCTTTTCAAACTGAGTTTGTCCCAGTTTTAATTAACTGATAAAGTTAAGCTTATTGTGTCTCTTGCAGAAGTGGTATGGTTGAATTTAGAAAGTCCCTGCTAAGAAGGTGTTTCCAGTATTTTAGGAGTGCAGAGGAAGAAAAGGTTAGACATGCCATCTGAAGCCCATCGTGTTTGAGTAGAAAGGCAGAAATCTGCTCTGTCTCCTGTAACACACCTGCCTGTAGTAAAAGTATGAGTCTGCAGAGCTGAAGCAGCAGTTTCATGATTCCAGGAGATTCTTGTCATGAATAGTCTGCAGGCACACTTGGCTCAAAGAACGAGAGCAGACACAGTGATTGGTTTGATACGTATTGTGTCCAAAACACACTCGTGAATAACTGAGGGATTCTGCGCCACATTATATGCAGTCGAATCGGCTAAATTTGGCTCTTTTACTTTACACTGCTGTGCGTTTTATACCGTTTAAGTAGAGCCCCTTGAGTTTTTGTGTTTTAAACGTGTTTTCAGGACATCTTAAGATGTTAAATTATGATCAGCTCTTCTTCTTCTTCTTCAGCTGGTGTGCATACCTCCGGCTCTCTCCTCAAAGCTTCTGTTAGGGTCAAATGAAAATGCTTCTTTGCACATGTCCTACAGACACAGAATAAAATACATGCCATTTAATATAAAAGAAGTAATTCCAGTAGTAAGAGGTGACCAGGAGGGAAACAGCATCATGCAGTGCTCCTATACTCTAGCTGTAGATCTCCACTTAAGAGGCCTCGTAAAGATTTGCAGAGTTTTTCGCTCTAAGCAAGGAGAAAATTGGGTGCCATTGCAACAAATGAATTTCACCATGTCTTGGAGGCAAATGAAAACCCTTCACTCTGAGTGGATCTGAGCAGCCAGGAGTCATCGCCGGCTCTCCCTGGTGTCACCTCGAGCCTATTAGTCTCTATAAAGGATGATGAATTAGAGACAGAGGGGGAGGAAAGCTCCAGTACCGACGGCAAAGATGGGGGTCATAAGAATGATAAAGTGAACAGCGTGAGCGCTTTAATGGGCGACGCCAGCAGAGAGGGCGGACAGGAGGAGGAACATGAAATCTTTAAGAGGGGATTTCCACGCTCTTCTCTCAATTGTACACAACACAAATTCAGGAGTGTTTCATATAAATCTCAATCAATTTTCCCAGGTAGCACACGTACTATTTTACTTGGCAAGAGCTGACATTGTTAAAGTTTTGCTTCTGCTGAAATATCACTGACAGGTTTAAAAATAAACAAAAGTTATTAAAGAGAACGACAGGAGCCATCAATCTAAGTCTAGATCAGACCGACTGATAATGATTTCCCACTCCAACTTGAATACATGCAGACATTTAGATACGGAGCTGTAGGATCGCACTAGCGTGGTTATAATCCAGTATGGTTTACACTCTGCTGCAACATGTCAGAGTTTCATTATGAGTCCAAACCGAGTGTGCGTCTGTAATTTTCGGCCTGTTTTAAGCCTTTACAGTTTGATTTTGTTTTTCAAAAAATGTGATTTTTTATCATCGTTTTTATTTTCTATTTTTCTTCCATTCATACGCTAAATAAATTCCTGCAAACGTCAGTAAGACCGTGTGAACACAAACGATCACATCTGACCTAGCTGGCGTAAGGTTCAAAACCACAGTGAACTTACCCGACCTGCACTCGTATGTAAAGGTGGCGGTAAAAGTATTAGTCCTCAGGGGTTGTTTTAATGTTAATCGGAGCGTTTCCATGACCACGATGATAAACAAACGCCGTGAATGTGGACGTACGTGCGCCGCTGCACAGAAGGAACTAAAAACCGTGGACAGTTTTGTCAGAATGATGAGTCGACGAATCGTCAAAAAAATCTGCTGATGGTTACCGACATGTTGAGCTTAAACTCTGCCAAGATGATCAGACACGGTTTCTCGTGAGAAACGAACCCCAGAAGAAGTCGGTCTTTTTATGATGAGGAAGTGCAGTAGAAATCCAAGAATCTACCTGTACGTGTGGAGGACAAGCTCTTTTTGTCCGATGAATAACGGACCTGACTGAAAAAGTCGATCTGAAGACGAACTCTTAATGCAGTTGGAAATGAGTCCAAGCTAAAACAAACCTTGTAACACAAATTACACAAGCATTATTGCTTCATATGTGTAGTGTTCAATTTGTTTGACTGCTTATCTGCTGGAAACCGGATTTATTTAACACTTTAGCGCTTTTGTAGAAACTTTCATGGTCTTGGAAATCTGTATGAGCAGCGACTTTAGTTCGGGGAAAGCCCTTTTTACCGTGAGTGCTGCAGCTCTTGGTGAGACTGGCATCTCCTCATTGGTCTTTACATTAACAGCCGATTCTGGCAGATCAGTCCTGCCTCAGAAATAAACCCTTTGCCTCCCGAGACGAGAGTCAATCAGAGCTATGCTGTGTGAGACAGTTCAAACAAATTGCTATCATATAATATTCTGAAAGAAGAAACACTTAGTCTGAGCTCTTAATGGGTCCTTGTCTTGAAAAACCTTCATCTGACGTTGACAAACGAGGCGCAGTCCTACCTGGAATAACAGCTTGTGCATTACTTCAATGATAATAGCTGGACTGAATGAGGTCATGGCGTATTTTTCTTGTATAAATTTTCCCCATGCAGGCAAGAGCTGATTTTTGTATCAGTGTGATAGTTTGTATTAAGCTAAAATCTATAGCCTCTCAAGTTTCTAAATAACAGCAGCTGCTGGTCAATACATGAGATTGTACGCCATAAATCTGCGACTGCAGTCAATATATTTAAATATTCAAAACAAAGAAGAAAGCCTGTCAGGGGTTTTGATGAATACTCTAAAGGGTTTGCCATTTTTCATCCGGCAGCTGACATTTGTTTTGCTTTTCAACAGAGATTCATCAATAATAATTATGTTTTCGCTGTTATTATCAGACATTTATCATAGCTAGTGGGCTGCATTCATGAGCGGGCATTTTTAGTACAGTGGGGGTAATTTCAAACCCTTTAAGTTCTGCAGTTTCGGCGGTGCAGTTGAAATATTTAAGGGTCAGAGGCGATCCTTTTTTCGGACATGAGGATGGAGCTTTAGAAGAGTGAGGACTTGTAAAATTTTAAGCCATTAAGGCTATGACTGTAGCTACTTCGTTAGCACGCAAATTAGCAGTGGTATTACCAACAAAAGGAGATTTTACAAGTGGTGATTGCAAGTCATAGTTTTACATATTTTAGACAAAAAAGCTAAAAAAAACTTCCCACCTATAAACTAACCAGGCAGGTATGATGGTTAAAGACACCAAAACTTGCTAGCTGGTGCTAAAATGCTGATAAAAAGGTCCTATATAGACTCACTAAAAAATGCTGAGTCATATGTGCTGCGTTCCAGTTGTACTTGGAACGCCCCCCTGAAGTCGGATTTCCGACTCGGAAAGTCGGACGATCCTCGCCAACCCCGACTTGACGACAACGTCATAATCCAAGATGGCAGCGCAGTGCATCAACAGTAAAGGGTAACAGTTTTAGCTCTCGTGATATTTTATTTATTAGCACTTCTGTTTTGTTTTTGTGAAATTAAATAAGTGGTTTATGTTGTACTGCCCAACGTCTAACTGTGAACACGGTGCTATGGTGTTTGTAAGAGTAAAACACTTTGTTGTGCGTTGTTTACAACTGGTATAGCTAACAACAACTAACAACAGCTGACAATGGCTAACAACAAGTGACAACCGTAAACAACAACTTACAACGGCTAACAGTAGGCATCCATCTTGGTTTTCCGACTTGGTTACTGGAATGCCTTCAACTTGGGTGTAACATCATTCCCAGCTCCAACATCCAACTTCCGAGGTAACTTTAACGCAGCAATAGTTGGTCAGCGTGTTAGCACAGTTAGCTCTGCCCAGCAAGCCATGTTTCTACTTCTGACCATTTGTCCAAAAAGAACAAATAAAAGGTTAAAGAGATATTTTCGCTTTGGCGTAGAGTTGAATGACCACTTGTCAGTGGTAATGATGATAATAACACCCATGGGGGGATGTCAGCCAGCCGTGCTTGCCCATTCTTTCGCATCTTGCTGGTTCACAGTTTAACACATCTGTAACATGTAACTAGAGATCGCTCCTCTTCGCAGGTCTCAAGCCGTGTAGTTCACAGTTTAAGCTGGACTAACCCAGCACAACAAAGAAGATAACATTATAAAAATGATGTCTCGGAATAGCAGGATGGAGATTGGTGGGAAACTGAACATCAGATGACCAGCAGTGAAAGAGAAGTATGAATCCTAGTGAGACAAGTTTGTTCATGACCCTGATAGTTTAATGTCCATCATTTTCAAAAACAGATCAAGATAAAGCATGAAGATGGATTAAGGATTAAGGTGTCGTCGTTAAGGCTTGGCGTCTTATAAATGGAGGAATCAGAATAAGTATAGAAACCACAAGTTACGCATTTTAACATGGGACTGAATGGGGAGTGATTCACTCAAGGAGCCAGCCTCAAGTGGTGACTCAAGGAACTGCAGTTTTTGGTTCTTCAGCACTGACTTCACAGGCTGTCACTTTGGTATTATTTCTTCTGTTCAAGACAAGCTCTGAGCTATGAGGAGAAGTTGCTCGAATGGACACTCTGTAATAGAAACAGATGGGTTTAAAGTGACACATCATCTCCGCGAGTGTATTAACCTCTGCTTCTGCTCCTCTGCCATGTGAACCTGCAGTATCCTCTTCCCGGCATGGATCGCTGACAGCTGAGAAGCTAAGTATTGTGTAATTGCAGGAGCCGTGGCAGCATGCCGTGCAATAATACGCTAAGTGACTATTAATCATTTTGGTGACAAATAACAAAATAAAGGCAAGACGTGGGAAGAGACGGAGATTTGATTGATGCTCGGCAGGAAAAGTTATCTGTCTCCTAATTGCTGATGAGGCACTGTTTTTTTTTTTTTTTTTTGGAAGTGAGTGTGTGAGTTTTTTTAATCCTCTTTGCACAGGCGCTGTTTGAAATATTGGACAACAGCTATGACAGTTTAATTGCTTTTACAAAATTTAAACCCATCATTAAATCTGAATAGGCGTCTAAATCCTCCCTCTTTTGTGGAGAACTTCTGGTTCTTCGGTCTCTTTGTTCAAACTCTCTGACATGTTAAGAGGTTGTTTTGACAGTGATGACTGGTTGAGTGGCTTTAAAAGTTCTGTTGGATTTTCATGTGGTTGAAATGAATTTATTTCCAATTAGTGTCTGGCATCATTTCTATTTTAACCTCAGATAAGCAGCAGTGAGGTTTTTAAAGCATTATATATGTATGACAGTTTCACAAAATCATGTTAAGAGATTAGGAAATACTCCAGGCGCAGGACTTGGTGAGCCTGCTCGTTCAAGATTGTGTCATTTTAGCTTATTATAGCATATATTTCAGTACACAAGCGCAGTTTTTTTCCTTTTAAGCTTATCTTGGTAGATCGCGTCAATGGCACAAACTGTATGATGAGAGTCTAAAAATATCTGTTTCATAAAACAAATGATGAGGGTACATTGAGAAGATCATAGAAGCAGTAAGAATGTATTTGATCATACTCAATCCTCAAATGTAAGACAGGTCTTGTGTTTGCTTTTACTGAAGAAGATACCGGGCTTTTATTTGAAGCGGACTAGTATTAGAGGCAGGTCTTATACTGTATATATCAGATTTTAGCTGTCTGAGAATTGTGCAAAAGGTTAATTGCAACACAAACTGCACAGCTGAGCAAAGGTTGTCTCCATGTACCCGTGTTGTTTGCAGAAATTTAGATGAGCATAAATTCATATCAGCCAAATAGATACATGTAATTAGAGTGACATTTTTAACAACTGCGTTTAAGCATTTATGCTCTGGATGGCATGAAAATAATATATCTATACATAATAGCTGTTAACATACTCTGATATCAGAACGTTGGTGGAGTTAAATCCAACTGTGGCTCATCCTCTCCACATACAAGCTGCACCATAACAAACATTAGAGTATTATTTATTCCCAAACAAGCTGCTTTTTGTCAGGTTGCTCCAGGAGATAAGATGGATGTAAACTGTAAAATTAGTCACATCCGTCATGAATCAACTCTGCAATAAAATGATACAGACACACTCTTTCAATACAGCTTGTCAGAATAAAGCACCGTCAGGATTAGAGTGCACGGAGCAGCTCTGTGCAGCAAAGAGCAGGAATGCTTGCAGTGGTAAATTTAAGCTGGAGCGAACTATGCAGAGATGGTCTGAGATTAATTTCACTCCAAATCTGATGTTAAATTGTACAGAGCATGTGACTGGTACATGATCACTGTGAGCCTACTCGTGAGCTGTGAGCATTAGTGTTGTGTCGTTCATGAATTGAATTGAATGATTCGTTCCTTTCTCAGTTCAGTTGAGCTCAGCCGTGAGCGTGGCATGCCAGTCGAGAGTGGAACTGCCGCCTTGACTCTTTGGCAAACGACAAAAGAGTCTTGTGATTCACTCACAGCGAATGAATTATATGTATCAGTCAGTGAATGAAATGTCAGTGAACGAAGATCTTTTAGAAGTATCAGAATCCAAGCTACAGCTGCGATGTTTATTTATTTTTGATCTCTCCACTTTTCCGCAATATAAAACAAAAATGACTTGCGCTCGTCTAGGGGGCATGCTGCTGTATTGTTTCCACCGACGGCGACACACAGAGGTGAGTTTTTCAGGGCAGGGGAGTGATTCTTCCTTCACGACTTGGCGAATGAACGACATGTCACCCAGTGAACGACGCTGTGACTTCAGCAGCAGGGGAGGGGAGGGGCTTGTTCAATGAACGAACTCGCGGCTGTGTCACTCACTGGTGTAATGCACCGGCAGGACGGGGCTCTGAGGCACTGACTGATTCAGTGAACGAATCTTTTGAACAAATCGTTTTAATGAACGGATTCTAAAGATTCAGTACAGTCAAAAGGACTGATCTTCCCATCACTAGTGAGCATGATATGACTCTAGAAGAGCAGCCATGACTCCAGTTATAGTAAGGGGCCCTGTTGCAGGTTGAGTTCTGTTTTTTATTTGTGTATTTATGGTACTTTTGTAATGCAGTAAATCAGTAAATGATTACCAGAAGAACTGCTAATTTTCAGTTACTTGCACAATGGCGTTGTGATCCATTAAATGTTGTGAGATCAAATCTTTGTTCAACAGGCTGCTCTCATAACGTAACTTTTTAAGACAGATGAGAGATGAACACTGATGATAGTTGAGATGGAGGCTGAGCTGCATAAGGTGGAAAATCATCTTCGCTCCAAATATTTCTACTGTGTAAATAAAGCAAAAGAGGAAAACGTTTTCTTAGTGGATAATAGCATTTTCTTTGTCGTGCAACAAACGTCCTTCTTCCAGAAACCTCTCCCCCTCCACCCTGTACGTTCTCCATCACTGGGTGATTAGGGCTCACACATGATGGATGGGTTCAGAGAGAAGAGCCTTTCTGTGCTTCTTCTCAGGCCTGAATGTCAAAGACACACTCCCCAGCGGCCTCTACTCTACTACCAGAGCCTTTCAAACCTGCGTCCAATAATGCGACGGCACTTCAGACTAAAGCAGAAATAAGAAGCATGTGAGGGAGAGGGAGCAGGAGAGAGGGAATCAGGGAGAAAAGGAAAACAAGCTGTTCACGCTGACATCAAATGCACCTCAGAGGGTCGTCAAGAGGAAGCAGTGAGCGAGCGTCGTCCCGGTATGAGCGCCTACAGACGGGAAGTGAGTGCTCAAGCCGGGGGGGTGGGAGTCTGCAAGAGGAGGATGAGCTAATGCACAAGGGAGGAAGGGGGAGAATCACCTCTTCATCCTCTGGATTCAACTTGATTTATGTGACAATTTGAGAAACATTAGGCACAAATAAAATCACACAGTTTCATTTTGGTAGTAAATCACAGAGGTATTAGCGTGATCCTCGGGATGAGATTGAAATAGAGATGGAAGGAAGCGTTTGTGAAACAGAGTGATGAAGTGAGGATACATGCAGATGGAGATTGAGTAGATTCCTCATCAGAACACAAACGTACATCAGCGTTTACGATCCAATATAAAGAGGTGATCTGAGGATTTTAATAAAAGCTTCGATATGTTATTTCTTGTGCATGTTAAAGCTGAGGTAGGCAGGAATCCGTTAAAGAGGCATCTTTTTTTGTGGTGTAAATACAAAAAAAGCTTTTAATATCAGTCAATAGTTATAAGTTATTGATGACATTTGGGAATATAACAATATTTCTGTGTTTTGTCATGTCTGTGTCGTCAACATTTCTAAGATTTCAGAGCGCTCCGTCCTCTCTGACTGTAAACAAAGCCATTCCCCGCCTCCTTCAACCTGATTGGTTATGAGGCAGACGCTGCTCCCCCGTGTCGTTCCGGAGCCCCGACAAAGTTAGCGTGCTACAATATCAGACAGTAGAAACCAACCAGAAAGTACAGAAAACTGTATGAATCCTCCTTTAGCCACAACTGCCGACACAAGTAAGAAAACAAAGTAAATACCGGAGACTCTGGCGGAATAACGGGCGCTTAAAAAGGAGGTAGACCGGACAAGAGCTGAAACCCGGGTCAACAATGATAGGGGATGCTTCAGGATCTTACAGACCCGTAACCTTTCTGCTGGACAGGTAAACCGCTTTAACAAAGTAAGACAAGTGTCTGTAACAGAAGTGTTTCTTGTCAAACGGACCTGCTGTAGCGTGTTGTAGCGCCATCGCTAAACTGTCCTCCCTCGGGTCCTGGACTATGTCACTTTATCCTAGTTGTAGAAGTCCTGCAAACATTGTGTTTGCTGGTAGTCTGTTGGCATCTACAGTAGCACCAATGCTGTTTACTTTCATGTTGACTGGGCCCCATTTGTAATTATCTGAAGTATTTATCTGCATTATGTCTGAATTTAATTGAAACGATACGAGCGAGCAGGAGCATCTGTTTGTGGGCGGGGCTTGCTGGAGCAGAGAGGAGGAGCTGAGGAGAAAACTGGTTGGGAGGGGTAGAGTTTACATTCAAGATTTCTCCCAGAAACTGCCTACCCCACCTTTCATTTTTGCAGTAATAATACTTTCATTTATCTTATAATGCTCTTCACCTCCTTCACAGAAGAAACAAATAATTTGGTGCAGTCCGCAGAGGGTAAGACACTCTGATCAGGGTTAAAGCTCCAGTACAGAGTTTTTAGCTGTTTGCAAAACAAATAAGAATTGATATTGATGAATCCTTCTGCGCTATCAAAGAGTATCGTTATAAAGACAAACTATTTCTAATTTTTTATTTTTGAGCTCCTGTGAGGAACTTTTTGTCTGTGTTGATTTTGGCGCCCCCTGTGGACAACACTATAACCTTGATATTGCTGCTTAACAAAAAAGTGTGCAGCTTCACTTATACTTATTTGGATGAGCAATTTAATTACAAATACTCTCATAATTAGCTTATATCTACCGTACAAGGTAACCCCAAAACTGCCCGGCTCACACCGCAAAAGTCTCTCGGATTTTATAACCCAAATGTTGGCAGGTATGGTTTGTATATTGTATTGATTTTTGCTTGATCCAAGTGTAACCAGGCTTCATTAAAGCACCTGTAAAGAACTTTTTGTCTGGGCTAGCTTTGGCGCCCTCTGTGGACAACTTAGCCAGTTTTGTCTTGCCCATAAGAAAGTCGAGTTTTCTGACAATTGATGCTTTTAATCAGTGAAATGGGTTAAATGGGTCACATAGTGTGAAAATAAGAATATATCTTTAAAGAACTGTAAATCATTTCCCCCCATCAGAAGTTACAGGCATAAAAAACCTGACATGAAAATAATAATTGTCCTGTTATCGGTGGCCTTGTTTTCCTCTGTAAGTCACACAGAGCCATCACTGTTAATTTCAGCCTGTTTCTAAACCTGTCAAAAACTCTTCACAGTGGCTTTAAAGTAAAAATTATATAAAATCTTTTCACTAATTATGTCCTAATTATGTGAAAGTAGAGTTTCCTAGAGAAAAATCTCATTCTGCTTTCAGTAAAGAGTTAACAATGGCTGGTCTGGCAGAGCACAGTCAATATCAAAATCAGCGATAACAGGCATAAATAAAGTATAAACTTTTAGTGTTTTCTGACCAGTGAAAACTCATATAGTAGCTTTAAATAAGACATTCTGAAACTTACATAAATTTTGAAGTTGTTACATAAATGTGCCTAACAAGATATTTTTTCTTTGAGGTTTACAAACTTCATAATGTTTAAGTTTTTGTCATGTTGTAGCTTGATGTCTTAAACCTCGATGTTAAAAAGAGAAAGTGCATCACCATCTAAATTCTGAAGCATTTATTTATTTTTAAATCAGAATAGCGTCTTTAGATGTTTTGATTCATTGACTCGCCTTCGAAGACTTTTCCACTTAATTCAGTGGCAACAAAAAGCACCGGAGGACAGAGCAGTGACAGCTTGACTGACAGCGATGTCATTAATGCCCTTATGGCAACTGTCATGGACGTGCCTGTCTCATCCGCTCAGCCTGAAGACACTGCATTTAATTGAACTGTCATCTTTAGGTCAAAGTAATACCGCTCCAAATGGCAGGACACTGACTAAGATCACCTCTGACAGCAATTACAAACCAATCCACATCCACATCAGTTACATCGCTGATGTCTCCCACTTCAGATTGATTGTCCCTTATCAATCAAACTGTCATTTGCAGGGAAAAAAATTGGATGTTAACATGATGAATGGTTTGATAGTGAAGTAATAATTCACATTTTCAAATGGATAAATGATGGTTTTAATCTCTGCTGCTGATTGACATGAAACAACAGTCATACAAACTCTGTTTTTCTGTTTGTTGTCACATGAACTCCACATCCGAGAGGAGAAATCCTCTTCAGCACATTCTTATTTTATTTATGTGTTGGTGGGAGGAAAACAGAGTGGTAAGGATGCACTATTTTCACTCGGGGACGGTTTTAAACTCTTGAGTTGTAAGACTAATAAACAAAAAAATGCACCAGACAACAATGCTTTGTTAATTACACTGCAAAAACTGACAACTAAGCGAGTGTTTTCCACTTATTTCTAGTTATAGAGGATCAATTAGTCTTAATTTAAAGGCATGGTTGACGATGGAGAGATTGGTAATTATTATAAACCTCGTTTCTATGGCGATAATGGTCCTATAGCGCAATCTCCACAAAGTAAAGAGAAAAGTGAATGGAAAAAAATCTGTTCACCCGAGCAGGTGCGGGCTGCAAAAAACATTAACCAATGGGAGCCATCCGTCCCAGACAACTCCAATTGGTCAATATCCTGCTCTGAGAAAAGAATATTTAGAAGCACCACAGAAATGTCAGACTAAAGGTCCTTACACACCAGGAGCATTTTTTCATCCGGTTATTTCGGACGTCAGTATTTCTTTTCCAACCCGTATCCTGTCAATACAAGCGTTCACATCAGCAACTTTTTCCCGTCCTGTGATATTGCAGCATTTATTTTCTTGTATTACAGTCGAATTTTTTAAAGTTTCGCATACTGTGTGTCCACTTCTGACCAATCAGATTTCATGTTGTTGCAACGTCAGATTCACCGGTATATCCAACATGGCCGACCGGCTGATTGTTTACGTGTTGGAGAACAGAGTGATTTTTGATAAAAGACACAAATATTACAAAGATAACGACCTGAAGGACAACTTGTGGAGAGTCATAGTGTTGGATCTCTTATATGACGATGGTTTTTGTGCTTTAACAGTTTGATAAACGTCTTTGTTTTAACTTTCATCTGTGCTAAGTAACTTTAGCTCGTAAGCTAACCTGTTCAGATTCAACATGCCATATGGATTTTTACTGTCTCAAACTCAATCCCGTTGCTGTCACAGCACCATTAGGTCTCGGTTGTTACCTTACGTTTATGGATTAAAGTTTAATGTTCTTATCTGGTACTGGCCCAGACTCAGTACATGCTATCATGACAGACAGACATCTCAACACTAGTGTCTAATCAGAACTGAAAAACTCTCAGTCTGCTGTCGTGTTTTCTGTTTTTAGTAACTGTGGCATATGGTAGCTCTTATTATTTTTAAAAGGAGTACCAATTCCCCATCACTTAAGTTGAAGTAGACTCCATTTTTGTCTTCTCGCTTCCACCCCGGACACGTCTTTTTTTTCCCCCCGCAAAGTTGTAAAATTGTATCGCGCTTGATGTGTATAGTCAGGAAAGTCAACATTCGCCTCCAATTATTTCTTAATTTCACGTTGTATATTTGCGTCATTCTCTGTGTGTAAGGACCTTAAGAGTTGAGACAAAAATCTGCGACTGCAAAGCGTCTCAGAGAAGTACTTTTAATGTCAAACCCACAGTGTCAATAGACTAATAGAGGATTAACGCAGTAGATTGATTTTAACACCCTCCACTGATGCCGGATCATTGAACCAGACGGCAGTGACAATAGCTAATACCCAGAGTGTTGGTGGAGCTGGATGGTCTTCAGTAATTGATGGTCGGATGTGTTTTCCCACCGATAATGTGTCTTTGCTGTCAGGGGGTTGCTGCTTTCCTTCCTCTCGCTCCGTCAGAGCCCTTACTGTCAAAACAGCACATGTGTCTCCCCAATGAAGATGGATGACTCTCTGTCGGGTGGATACTGAGGGATGCAGAGGAGGGGAGAGGAGAGGAGGATGGAGGGAGAATGCAAAAACAGAGGTGAAGGAGGAGAAACAGGGCAGAGAAGGAGAGGGAGAAAGAGATAGAGAGAGCAAAGGCTAATGGGAGAGAGGAGGAGAAAGTGAGAGAACAAGATAGGGAGACACATGAAGGAGTTAAATGATGGATTAGTGATGGAGGAGGTTGGGGCACAGATTGAGGCGTTTCCTATGTTAGATTGAACCTTTAATATGTTGTGTTTCCTGTGTGGGAGTGTTGGCCTTGGACCAAAACCAATGAATGGGAACTTTTATTTTGATAGTTTCCCAATACACAGGGCACCGAAACACGGCAACTGTCAGCAAATTTTCCCTCTAAAGATGATTAATAACTGTCACAACTCTTTTCTTTATTCATTTTATTTGATGAGTGTTGAAAACATGGCATGTGTTTTTTTTTTTTGGTGGAAGCACAATTTCTACAAAAGAGAGTTTTGTAACAACGAAGATCATCAGTTTACAATGAAAGTGTTGTAAAAGTCAATACAAGGTGTAGTTCGACAACAGTTAGAGAGTTATTTCAAGAAATGGATAACAACATATAAACATAAATCAAAGTGAATCACATTTCTAGAGCAGGTAATCCTGGTGTACCACAGGGAAAGGTACTGGGGCCTAAGTTATTCATGTTTCATTTCAGTGATTTTTGTAGTTTGCAAAGTTGAAATTCATTGTTTTTGCAGATGATTCATGTTCGTTCTGTTCTGGGGAAAATGGTCAAAACCAGAACTACTTGAGTTGAAAACATATTGTGATATACATAAGTGACTTTATCTACTAAATGAACATGAAGTATCTTGGTTAGTTTTAAATAAAACACGGTTTTAATCTAGATGAAATTATATTAGTTTATAAAACAGAATTTCTATACGGGACTTGGGATGATGCAGTCTACCAGTGCAGATTATAACGTGATTGATAACAATAGTGAAGCACTTCAAAATAAAAGCACAGTTTTATATTGCATATAACGCAACCTAAAAGAATATTAAAACAAATAAGCAATAATTAAGATGTGAATATGTGATATCGTGACAGCCCTAGGAGTGACCGTAGACCGTTAACTTTGTTGGACGCCACATGAGAGCCAAACATTTTTCCACAATGACGCAGTTTTTTTTACTATTTCTCTATTTGTCTGCCTGGAAACAGTTTAAAATTTGATTTAAAATAATGAAAATAGCATAAACAGATATACACACAGGCGTTTCAGTACCTAAAATTTTTTCAAACTTTAAATTAAACTGAATTTACAAAGATAATAAATTCACCCTTAAACGCCCACATCGCCACTTTGACTCATTACAGGCGTTTCACACAGACTTTACGAGAGTTTGTCCTTAAAACTGCGGCACACTCGTACACACACTCAAGCTGACGTAAAGCTGCTTCCCTCTCCACACCATCCATTAGCGTTGACCTTTGACCCGAGCAGTTGTGATCATGTGATTGTGCAACACAGAGGTCACGCTGCCTTGTCAAAACAGCAGAGCTGATGCGTGACAATGTGGCAACCTCCCTGCCAATCTGTTTGAGGAGATGTTTCTGACTCACTCACTCCTGCCGTGGTTCTCACACAGACCAACAAAGGAAGGAAAGTGTGTGTTTGTGCAGCGCTGTGAGTTTGATTTCAGGAAACTGAGCGATTGATGAAGCAACGACGTGCCGTTTCGAAAAGCCCTTCAGTTTCCATTATTCATCATTCTCACCTGTGATTTATGACTGTCAGCTTGGATTTCTCTGTGATGCATCGGTTAATATGGGGCAACATATGATTTATAAATGTACCATTTCTTTAAGAGTCATCATGAAGCATGCAAAGAATCCAATCCAATCCACTTTATTTATATAGAACACTTTAAAAAACATTCAAGCTTACCAAAGTGCTGCACAAATAAATTAGAAGAACAAACACAGCAGAAAAAATCAAGATGAAATAAATATAAGCAGGTAAAAAACATTTAAAATGAAATAAAATAAATGAAATAAAAACACAAAAGCATAAAAAGAAATAAAAGTGATAAAGGACAGCGATCACAACAACTCTCATGCTGAGCTGAAATGAGTTTTAAGATACGATTTATAAGTAAAAAGAGTGGGGGATGTTTTCATCTCGAGTGGCAATTCCATGATTTGGGAGCCACAGCTGAGAAAGTTCAGTTGCCACGGGTGTGAGGTGTAAACATTTAAGAGGTCAGAGATGTACTGTAGTGCTGATTCATTCAAAGATTTAAAAACAAACAATAAAATTTAAAATGAACGGGAAGCCAGTGGAGGGACGCCAGAATAGGCCAGAATACAGTAAAAGCAAATCAGATAAATAAGAAGGACCAAGACCATTAAGAGCTTTAAAAACTAACAAAAGAACCTTAAAATCTACTCTAAAAGGTAGCCAGTGCAGAGATGTTAAAATTGGTGTGACGTGGACTCTCTTCCTGGTCTTCGTCAGCATGTGTGCAGCTGAATTTTGTAGGAGCTGAAGCTGTGAGATGTTCTTTTTAGGAAGACCAGAGAGGAGAGCATTGCAATAGTCAATTCTACATGTGATAAAAGCATGAATGAGAGTCTCTGCATTGGCTTGAGAGAGAAACTGGCGCACTCTGGAGATGTTCTTTAAATGATAAAATCCCTTTTTGGTAACATCTCGTATGTGTGGCTCAAAACTGAGGTTTGAATCAAATGTAACACGCAGATTTTTAACTTCTTTGCATGGACTAAAAGATAGAGCTCAGAGTTTTTGCTCCAGTTTCTCTCTCTCTGGACCTGTACCAATAACTAAAACCTGAGTTTTGTCATAATATGGCGTAACTGTTACTGTATGAACATGGCGATGCATGATGGCAGCCTCTACAGAGAGGGACAGGCTCCTTATAGAGATGGAGAGATTTGCCTCATTACACTTGACCCGTGTCTACACAAGTCCACATGCACCCCCTTGAAAATGTAACTACTCATTGAAAAAATGCAGACCGTGTGATTGGTCCACTTGGGGGGTGACGTTACAGCCATGACAGTATCACCGCCGCCCTCTGCCCTCTGCCTCTGCCTCAGCTGCCATACAGTCAGTCTCCTCCATCATCTTTTCCCCCCTGATCTTAATTGTAAAATCTGAAGTTTGTTGTGTTTTTTAACCTCAGTAGAGTGAGACTCACACACAGTAAAAAACTAAGGAAATTGATATTTATATCGCCGGCTTTCAATGCCTTGCGCACACAGTTGCAGATCTCCGTTTTTGATATGTTGTAGTCGAGGTAGACATCATGTCTGCGCCTTGATCCAGATACAAACACAGAGTTCCTGTCCTCTTCGTAGAGTGCACTGTAAGTGATCTGAGATTGGACCTGAGCGTGTGTTGTTTACCTTGTCAGCCATGAAGGACAAACAGGATTTGTTTGTGTACCAGCCGCTGATTCAGGTAGCGTATTAGTCGGAGGAGATTGGAAGCAGGGAATATTCCCTGACACTAATGAATATCAGTTTTATTAGGATATGATTGCGGCCATCAAAAAGGTTATTGCTTTCATAACATTGTATATTAAAAACAATTTAATCTCATCCTTGTAAACAGTAATTCAATCTCTTTCGAGTTGCATCTCATGTGATGGATGGCAAAAGAATAAATATCGTCTATAGGAGAACTGCCTTATTTCACAAAGCAGGAACTGTCTCTGATGAGTGAATCGGCTGCAGATAAAAGGATTTTCACCTCTTTGCGGCTGCATTTCTGTTCTTACACTAAAATAAATACTGAATATGACTTAAAGGTGAGAATATTGTATTTTTAGGGGGGACACAAGGGTCATAAGGCGACAAACACAAGCCATTTAAGGTCAAACACACCCACAGCATGGAGTTAGACGGATTGTAATGATCCTTGTGATTATTAGAAAATGGATGTTGACCTCAGTTGTCCTCATTTCTGTCACCACCATTGATCACAGCGCCTGCCTCCACTGGTGGCATTAAAAACTCTTGTGATAAGAGTTTTATCGCTGCAACTGTGTCCCAATTTGACCAGAAAGAAGAGGGAAGAAAGAGATTAAGAGAAAGAGTGAGAGACATGGGGAGAGAGAGAAGCTTTTAAAAGGATTTTGTCGGTTATTGACTGGTTGCACTCTTCAGCTAATAGCCATTTAAAGATTATGGGCCTGCTGGTGGAAATCAAGGCCTCCATTGTTTGCCTTATTGCATTCTGGCAGATGGGGGCTGACACAACAACACGCAGCATCCCTCCGGGCACACTCGCCGAGCACCGACCCTCCATCAGCAGATCTCCTATTGAACTGGCCCTAATAACTGGCCATGAATTATTAATCCACGTACCATATTGAAGACAGAGAGGGAAGAGGGAAAAAAACAAGGGAGGATTGTGGGCCGGCTGCAGCGAGTGTGATTGGCGTACAGGTGCCAGTCGGAGGAAAAAAGGTCCGTTCAAAAGAGTCCCAGGGCGGCTATTTCTCGGAACGGGGAGGACATTCCGATAACTGGCACGGGAAGATAAAATATATATTCATTAAATGTCAGATTGCTGATGAAATGGGTCCGATCCATTAGTGGGTAGCGGAGCGGCCGGTTAATGTTTCCCGGTTGTTCTTGGGTTGGGTGGCTTTTAGTGTTGCTCTGCGTTGCTGCTGGAAAAAGGATCACTCTCCTGCTATCTGGAAAAAAACTTTGCCAGAGTAAGAGCAGGTGCTGCTCAGAATAAAAAGGAAACACTTTGGAAATCTGAGTCAAATGCACCTGTTGGTGAAACCTGATAACTTTGTTGTGTTTGTAGTGGGGCGAACCCGGTCTCTGATTCAGAGTTTATTGGCCGTCTCTGCTCCGGTCAGGTGATTTATTAGCAGGGATTGATTGCTGACTTTGGCTAGACTCGGTCTCTTTTCTTAAGCCGGTACTTAAAAAGCTGGGAAACAAAGACGGGTCGCAAATACCTTTTAGTAAATAATGTTGATTTTTAGCAGATAAAAAGAGCGCCAGTTATTTGGGGTGATCAATACCTATATCCATCCAATCACCGCATCTATCCAACCATCCATTTTTCTGCTCATCACGCATCCTGCCTTTCAAATCATCATCTCCATTTTCATCTCCCCATCTATCCATCTTTTCTTCAATCCAACCATTCTGTCGATCCATCCATCCATCATCTCCATATTCTTCCTCCGAATCATCCACATTTTAATCATCCGTCAATCCATCAACTGTTCCAATTATTCATCCATTAATCTTTCCATCTAACCAATCAATGATCAATCATCTCTGTATTTGTTTTTCAATCTCCTCATTTTTCCATCCATCTTCACATACATCCAACTATCATTTCATCCATCCATGCTGCATTCCCAATACATCCATCCATCCGGCTGGCCATCGTACATCTCCATCTTTTCATCCGTCAATCTTTGTACCAAATATTCATTTTAATTCTATTCTATCATTTTTGTTTTATCCATCCATCAATTCTTACTTTTATATCCCTCGACTCAACTTTATCATCCATTTTTTATGACCAGTACCTACTCTTCTTTTTTAATTCTGTGAATCCTGGTGACCTGGGGTTTGTTGACAATACATACAAAGACGAAATGCAAAGAAAAGGCTCGTCAAAACATGTCAGGTTCCCCGTGTTATGTAAAGCGTTTGTGTTGTATTACAGACCACAGCGATAAAGACTTTGGTGCAGGCTTATTTGATCTTTATTTTGACTCGCAGCTCTTTAGGTTAGTCATAAGAGTTCATAAAAGGACATGTCGGCTTTAGGGGAGTTTTCAGTGAGATATCAAAGAATTTTATATATCCACGCCATGTCTTAACAAAAACTCTTTAGCTTGTAAAACTGGTGAACTTTTGGAATATTTCATACTCTCTGTGCGAGTGTGAGTGTAACTGTGTGTGTGTCAGCCGTGAGCTCTCGGTGAATTAAAAAGCCTTTGGCAGGGCTGTTTTCTCACTTCCCGTTGATTCAAAATGAAGTCTACCCAGCGTCTGATGAATTGAATTTCCTGTGTCAAAAGCCTACGATTTCAAGGAAAATAATGAACAACGCCCGAAGAATCCCCTTTCAGATTTCATTATGAGGGAGAGGTTCTAATTGCAATGAAATTAAATTTCCATTGCTTTCTCTCTCTCTCTGCGAGTTACTTCTCGGCTGCTGATGATAATGCGGTGAGGTTTGTTGCAGTTTGACGCTTTGGATCCTTTTAAAAGCCAATCATCTCATGTTAACCAAAACCACAGCAGGAATAATACAATCAGCTGGAATCAAACAGAAGATTATGTGTCTGTCTTCAGCTGCTGACCGCTCACTCATTCAGTCAGATGATGATGAAAGCTGCTGCAGGTTCACAAACATCAAAGAGACTCTCGGATGAGTCTCCCCTCATGTTTCTGCCTGAAAGCTGCTGTTTGAATGAGTGCCCCCATTTCATCAGATGCACAGACATAAAAAGCATGAAGGAAAACTGCAATAAGCACCTGACAGAGAACCAAGAGTGAAAGAAAACAGACTTGGATCCTTTCCAATGCAAGTGGCCCGTTGCTTGCACTGACTCGTTTGCTCATCCAGTTGAGCAAGTTGTGGAAAATAAACTGTGAACTTTTATATAAACTTTAAAAGACGTGTTGCTTCGTTTTTTTTGGCTTTTTCATTTACTTTTTTTCTGATGTTGCAAAAGTGTAAATGTTTTATCCTGTGATGACAAGTATTAGCAAAAACTACATATAATACATATAAAACTTTCAAACCAAGTATCAACCAACCGGTCTTCAGACAGAAAGCAAATGCACAATGAGATAAAAGTTGCAGTTCCACGAGTGTCCACTTGAGGCTGGCTGCAGAAACACTGGAAACCGCATACACATGAAGCAAAAAAGGCAGTTTTTTGAGAAAATTTTGCACGTTTACAGCCTGGTTCAAAACATAGTCCTTGTCTGAGTAGCTCTAGGTTCCCATGCCACCCACTGTACAGGGAGTGAATTGTTGTGTAACGGATTTAAGTCAAAGTTATTAAGGATAAAAGATCAGTGAATCAGAAGCTGAAAGGCAGGAACACTGTGAGGAGGCCAAAGTCCTGCTTACAGTGGGTTGACCGTAGACTGTAGGGAGAACAGCACCCTCTGTTGACAGGCTGCAGTATAGGCCATAAATCCCACCTCCGCCAGCAAAGCTCATGGAAATGCCAGAAATTACCAGAAAATGAACAATGAAGCTCAATGTGATGTGCAGGAATCGGGTTTCTACAATTTAAAGCCGAATCCTGGTGGCTGAGGACCCCTGATCCAATACATATTTTTGCAAAGAAAGTTTAATGTTGGAAAGAACATTGGGATTTAAAATGGCACCGATGACTGCATTTTCTAATTATCATAAAGGTGTGCAAACTTTTGTAGTCCGTTTGTCTTCTACCTGCCTACAACCTTACAACAATATCATTTGTTTTCAGTTCCCCCTGGAAAGCTTGGCCATTGTACACCTCCAAATCATTCTTCTCAAGCTACCAGTTTCAATAAAGCTCGATAAACTTAATGAAATGTTTGGTTAGTGTGTGAGCAGCTATAGGAGGCCTGAGCAACTGTTGAATAGCTCATTAAATATTCACCACCAGAACATATGAAGTGTACTTTGACATTCAGATGGGATTATAATGGCAGCGCAAATAAATCATCCGCACACAAAAAGTGAAAGAGCTGAAATGAGCTTAATCGTGTGCCATGACACAATTATATGGGTGAACACCATGAGTGTGTGTGTGGGAGAGAAGAGAAAGAGAAGGAAAACGCCTGCAGGCAAAGAATGAATGGGACGTGGAAATGAGGAGGAGGGGGCAAACACGGAGCAGGTCAAAATGAACACCATCTGGGTACATGAAAGGAGGCGGGTGAAGGTGGGGGCAAACAAAACAAAAGCACCAGTTCTGCCAGCATGTAGCCCACGACGCCACAACACCGCCACCGTCAACATTAAACCCCCCTGATCAGGTGGAAGAGGAGTAGTAGGGCTCGTCATCACTCATGCAGACCCTCCCCCCTCTTCTCTTATCCCCCCGTGGGCTCAGATCATTGCCAAAGGAGCCACAGGCCACTTGCAGGCTGACAGTCAGCTCCTCTAATGGGCCTGGCTGTTTATTTTGTACCGCTTGGAAGTGGATTAGCTGGAGGTAATTATGGTTAATGATCTGCCCGACTCACCCCGCTGATCTGTAGTCACCCGTTTGCTTGGCTAGTAGCAGCGCGTAGCCACCGGCACCATTAATATGGGATAATGTTACCTATTAGAGCTACAAAAGGGGTGGGGAAGGGGTCTGTGTGAAGGGTTTCAGAGAGGGATGACGTGGATCCATTTTGAGTGGAAGTGTTGTTCAGTGAGGTTCAAGGAGCTTTTTAAATTACAGTTTGATTACATCCTCGGATATACAGGCCTCAGAGCGAACACTCTTAGAGGGGCTCGCTTTGAAATCAGGATTTCTTTAGTAGACCGTGGTTTTTGTGACTCTGAGTGGCTGATGTTGGAGGTTTGTTGATTGAAACATGATTAACCTTTTGCATGTAACGTCACAATTGATGTGTTTTCACTTGGCCCCTGGATTTTTTGGGGCCGATGCCGTTACCGATTATTAGGGAGGAAAAAAATCTGATTACCGATTAATCAGCCGATTTTTTAGATTTTTTATTAAGTTTTAAAAATTTATATTTATATATACTGTAGATATCTAAAGTATACTATACTGTAGATATACTGTAGGCTACTGCTCTTCACGCCAGGAAGTCATTGTTGGGAGTAAACTCTTCACTGACATTAGCAGCCATGTTGTTGTTGTTGTTGTTGTTGTTGTTGTTGTTGTTGTTGTTGTTGTTGTTTGTGTCTTACTTTGCCGGAGGTGAACAAGGAGGGAGGATCAGCAGCGACAGGAAGACCAACTGATCAAACTTGGGCCAGAAATGCATTTTCAGTCCAAAACCAAACTGGGTTTCTTCATGGGAACACACCAAATGTCTAAAATGAATACTCTTGAATAGAAAGGCATGCATTAATCTCCAAATTCAGCCATGATTATATCTTGTTTTTCAGTGGGTATCAACTGTGCGCAAAAACAAAAGAAGTGAATCACGGCAGAAGAACTTTCAGCCATTCTGAAGTCCGGCGGTTGATGTGTTAAGCTAACAGTTGCTAAGTTATCAGTGAGTATTCACAGCAGTTTACGAGTCTCATCTCCTTTCTATTGCAGAAAGTATGAAAAATGAACCACAGTCGCTGATGAAAAAAAGTGAATGTGTTAAAAAATAGTGTTTTTAAAATGACCAAATTGGATTTTGTCTCCTAATCCTGTGTGGCTTATACGCAGAAAACTTTGCCCATTTTCACTTTACCTGAAACCTTTGCAGGTTTTTTTCATAAATATTTGAATTAGGACAAAAACACAGACCCATATTCTGCATTAATGTAAGTAACTAATCGGTAACGTTGCACCTCATTGGGTTTCATTGTAATTTTCACAGCTTGGATTTTAATGCCGTTGTTTGGGAGTCATAAAATGTCACCTTACAATAAATGCGGTCCTCCTGAAGATACTTAGTATGTTGAAAGTTAAAATGGCTCAACTCAAGAACTCTTACTGATCATATATCAAATAATTAAACCCAGAGAGGTTGTCATAGAAGTAATGTGATTACCTGCAATCAAATCGAGTCATGGCAGATCAAAACAGGGTTGACTATAATGATGTATGGACAGAAAGAGCGCTGCAGACATTTTTGAACCCTGATTTTAGAGCGGATGTTGTTAACTGTAACATTTAAGGCTAAAATGAAATCAGGAAATGTTGCTCGGTTATGATCAATGTAATTTATGGTCATCCTCAACACTTTTATCTCATATTGCAGCATTATGTACTATGGGAACATGAAACTCTCCTTTAAAACCAGAGATGCACACACACACACACACACACACATATATATAGACCGTCAGTCAAGTAAACCAGCTGAGAGGGACATAAAATAATGACGTCTTTGAGCAGCTCGCTTTTTTCCCCTCGTTCATCCATCTTGAAAATGCACCAGTAATAGCAACAAAGTGGTTTTTCGGCCCAAAATGAAGTTTTACTTTATCAAATCAGGGGTCAGAGAAACATATCTGCGCGTGAAAAGGACAGGACACATCAGGGTTAAACCGATTACGTCCTGTTAAACAGGCATTTCAGAGTCTCCATCTCAGACACATTTTCCTGCCTTTTCCAGTAATTTTTGAAAGCCTTCAAGCTGTAATAAAATATCACTTTTTGTGCATTTGTGCATTAAACACTCTTGGTCTCATTGCTTTTTTTCTGATGATAATCACATTTCCCCCGAACCCTCCCCTCTGGTCTATTCCCATCTCCCCTTTTAAAGCACTTTGCTCCTGTTTCAGTGAAGATGACACTGTCTTGGGGTGAGGAAGGGGAGGGGGAAGGAGTGGGGGAGGGAGCGGGGAAGCTTCGGCTAAAACGGAGAGCTCTAGCTGGGGCCTTGTTCTGCAGGTTACATGGCGTCACGTCTCATTTTGACTGAGCCGGAGAACGGCCTTGCCACCCTCTTAGGGACCCTCGTAAAGTGCTCTGATGCTTCATAATGCAGATCATTACCCAGAATGCTGCTGAGGACCCCAAGTCCCCACTTAGCTGCCTAGCCTCCCCGAGCCCCCGCCATGTTATGTATCCCTGCAGATCCCCTGCAGACGCTCTGATTGTCCATTCCTGCCCGCCGTCGCCTTGCCAGCACCGGGGTTTATTGACACTAAGTTGCCCCCACAAGGCGATGTTAATACGCACGACAAAGACGTTTCTTTCCCTCTGTGTCATCCTGAAGGTGCTTACAAGCCGCAGGTTATTGAAACACGCCGCCATAAAGCTTACAGAGATATGACTCAAGATGTGATTGCACCAGGTGACCGATGCATGTGCGAAATCAAGTCATGGATGATGATTTCATGAGGAGACAAGAGGCTGCAGAAAGGAGACTGAACCAGGAAGACCAAGGCCTTCAAGACGCTTCATTCGTCTCAGATATGATGTCGCCTTCAGCCTCATTTATTCTCTCCAAACCCAGAGAAATAGATCTGTACGTTTAAAACTGTGTTTTCGTCACAGGCCACATACTTTCATGTGTCCTTTTTGTTGGAGTGGGTGTTAAATAATACATCGAGTTGGACAGAGACTTCAGTTCGTTAGGTTTGTGTAATCTATGGTTTGAACTATTGGCTTCATTGTCCCCACGACTCTCAGCGGTTGCAGTCCCACCCTGTAACTCCAAATTTAACAGCCTAAATGCTACAGGATGTTTTTTCGATGGCGTTGATTCCATTATTTCTGGATCTTGTTCAAAGTGCGGAGAAATCTTCATTTGGTCTGGTTGTCCAAATGTATCTGGTCTTCGTGAGTTATCAGATAATTTTGAGGATACAATTATCTCGGCCTCCACCACATGAGTATTCACACTGTCCTCAAGCAATCATTTATTCATCCACACAATTAGAAACAACACAGCCTTTGATTTATTAACTCTTTCCCTACCTGGACTCTGTCAAGCGAGCATAAAGAGAGCTTCAGGTGTTGAAAAAGAGCGAGAGAGAGAGAGAGTGAGAGAGGAGGGGCAGATTTAATGAAAGCTCTGGCATCTGTATCCGATTCATCTTGTCAATGTTGCTCCGCCATCCCTGCCCCAAACCAAACCCCCAGCATGCCTTGCCAGCCACTTTAATTACTTTTCCTTTTTGCGTGGAATGGCGACCCGCAGAATTGACAGACAGGTGCAGCAATCCTGATTAATTAAAATAATAAAGAGCGGGAGAAGAGGACGAGGAGGGGGAATATCAATGTGTGGACGACTTCTCTTGATGGGCAAGCGGTGAGGGGACGTCAGGCTGGGGCGGGAACATTGATTCACTTTGTGACAACAGGGTGGCCTTCAGGCCTGACAGGGCTGTATAAGAGAAAGAGTGGAAGTAGGGGGAGGGGAGGGGGTCCCATTCATGTCCTCGGGGCAGATGTGTGGCTCCCAGTGTGGGGACATGAAACCCCTTGGCGCCTGAGCAGCTGCAATGACCCCCTCTGAAAGGACCGGTGCCGTCACATCTTTCCAACATGAGAGGAGTTAATAAAAACCACCTCCAGGGATTTATCAGCTTTGATAGCCAGATATCATTTCAGCTGACAAAGGGCACATCTTTCCGAATGATACGCCCTAAGAGAGCGCATACTTATTGTCCTTTAAATTCCTCTCTACATATTGATACCACCACAAAGCTTTAGTTGACATGGATCAGGAATGACAGACTCCTGAGGAAGTGGACTCTTGGCTTTAAAGTGGAGCAAGTTCAGGAAAGCCTCTTATTTGCAGTCTGTCTAATGGGCAACAGGGGGCAGCTCCACTTAACTCATAAATGAGGAAATGAGCCTTTTTGCAGATGATGCCCTTCTATCTTCCTAAGAGTGTATGGCCTCTTTCACTGGTTCCAAGTCTTCTTTAATACACCATCAACATTAATTTGTAAAATGCGGTCTTTTAAGTGAAAAACTCTTACTAAATAAGATCTAGAGTGTGACAAGTTCACACTAAAGTGACTATTGAACTAGCACAGAGGCCTGAAAATCTCCATAAAACAACTCATCATGAGAAAAAAGCCTCTATTGAGAAGAAAGACAGAATTTTAGGTGCAGAGTTGTGTTGTTTTGAGTGTATCTACGTGCTTTGGTTGTATCATAGACGGAATAAGATCCATGAAACTGAAACTGGGGGTTTCATGGGGGAGTCAGTCATGTCAGCCATCTTTATTCATAACACTTTAGGTCTTTACACACCGGGAACGACGCAAATATATGACGCGAAATTACGGAATATTCAGAGGCGAATTTTGACGCAAATTTTGACTATACACATGCAATGCGATTTTGCGACTCTTCAGAGGGGAAAAAAGACGCGTGGAAGCGAGAAGACTGACACAACAGCAGACTGACTGTTTTTCAGTTCTGATTAGACACTAGTGTTGAGTGTTGAGACGCTATGACTCTCCACAAGTTGTCCTTCAGGTCGTTATCTTTGTTATATTTGTGTTTTTTATCTAAAAGCACTCTGTTCTCCGACACGTAAACAATCAGCCGATCGGCCATGTTGGATATACTGGTGAATCAGACATCGCAACAACACGAAATCTGATTGGTCAGAAGTGGACACACAGTATGCGAAGCTTTAGAAAATTCAACCGTGATACGGGAAAAAAAACCGTCAATATCACAGAACGGGAAAACGTCGCTGATGTGAACGCTTGTATTGACAGGATACAGATTCGAAAAAAAATTTTGACGTCTGAATAATCGCACGAAAAAAACGCTCCCGGTGTGAAAGGACCTTTAGTCTTGATAGTTTACTATCTTGACTTTTTACAGTGTGTGCCAGACAGGGGCATTGCAAGACTTTTTGACTGGGGTGGCCGGGTATGCCAGTGCATACACTCAAATTAATAACACTGACCCTCAATTGACTTTAAAAACTATATTTTTTTGTATTATAAAGCTGCTCAACACCGATGTAAAAACTTTGATTTTTAAAAGAAACATAACAGAATCGTGTGGCAGAATTTTTCAGGTTTAGTTCTCTAGATGCATAAAAAAGGATATTTTTTCCAAGTCAGATTTGAGGGCCTCAACAACAACAAAATAAATTCTACATTTAAGTAGAGTAATCTACTGCCACTCTGTTAACACATCTAATAGTTTATTTTGCTCTAGGTCAGTCAAACAGCCAATCAAAGCCCTAGATTCTGGAATAGCTCTTGCAGTGGCCAATTAGACTTCAAAGAGTGGGCAGTGCCACCCTTGATCGATCCTCTGGACACACCCCTGGTACCAGACTGGAAACATGTTAAGTTTTGCTGTTTGAATGCACATTTTAACATGGGTGTCAATGAGAATTCTTGGCTTTTGGAGTCATCCTCAAGTGGACACTCAAGGAATTGCAAAGAAGCTCTTACATGTCTGCAGTATTTGGGCTTTTTGTCAATCTTGGTTAACTGAAAAATGCATGTAAGTGTTGCAAACAAGCTAGTTGCTATTGCTATCATCTTTCACCCAGATCTTAAGGTTTTGTCTTTTGGAAAAGAGTGACCAGTGCATGGAAAATGAAACCTCGCCCTGTATTTGCGTGGTATACACTTATACATTTTAGTGTAGTTGTTTCACAGGCAAACAACTGAATAAAGAGCTACATCACATACCGTAACCGAGTTAGTTTCAACTTGTGCAGTGCGTCAGCGTTTTCAACCAGCAAGGGGACACTGGCAGTAACATCCACCCATATTGTGGGCTGAAAGCTGAGAAGTGTAAGTTTGTGTGTGTGAAAGCTGACCTGCAGAGCCCACATCCTCAAGCTGACACTTTAGAGCTGCTCTGTCTCAGCTGAGCGTGTCAGAACAACAGAGATGTGGAAAAGACCGGCATGTTTACCACCTCTCTGTGAAATCAAATACAAGCTGCTCGCAGCCGTGTGAAAGCAACAGATTGAGTCACTCACAGATTCAAAGGTGCTCTGATTCACTGCAGACAAATAAAAGCCTCTGAAATGCCTCTTTGTGTTGTTTCCCCGGGTTAATGTAAATACTGGTGAAACGATGTTAACAGTTGTGATGAAGCGATAAGATTTCATGTTACCAAAATACACTATAGGCTAAAATCATTGGTGAAATTTCCTCTGTAATTTTACTTAATATCATCTTAAATGGAGGTTTCCTCTCACTGATCAGCATAAGTTAAGGATTTAAAGTCATGTTTTTAGTCTTGCTTTTAACTAAATTTTATATCATTAACTTAAGTGTTTTAGCATTTATCTATTCTAGTTTTAATCACAGGATCGTCTCTTATAGAGCTATTTTGGTGCTCTTATTTTAGTATCTTTTACTGTTGTTTTTATTTCATCTTATTTATTATTTCTTAAATTTCATTCTTTGTTTCTTTGTTTTTAGATTTAAATCTAAACCTCCAGTGTTTCCTTATCTTGAGTTTTAAAATGATGTTTCCTCAGTGCGCACACTCCTGTTTCCACGAAATCAAGCCCTTTTTGAGTTTATGCATTTTAATACTGTTTCTGTTGCAATTAGATCGTGGGGTGGGAATAAGGGGTGTGGCTGGGGTAGATTTGGGAATTCCTTTTAACTTTGGGTTGGGGTAGATTTGGATATTCTTTGTTTCCTTTATTTCTTTTTCAGTGTAAAGCACTTTGTGCTACATGTTGTGTATGAAAAGTGCTATATAAATAAAGACTGATTGATTGATTTAGAGACTCATACAAAAATGCCTCTTTTTCGGCTCTAAGTTTTTTATTTCTCCTTCATGAAACTGTTTTGAAGTGCAACATTTGTGGTTGTTACTTTGCTTCAGCGTTTTAGATTCATGCTAATTTGACTTTGATCACAAGGTAATTCACACTTGCCACTTTCACAATTAACAGTTTAGTTATTCAAAACTGTTCCTCTTTGTATCATCAAATAACTTCTGTAATATATGATATATTGAAGTATTATACAACAATTATCATGTTGACTTATTCCATCAATTATTTATTTTTTATTTTTTGTATTTAAAGTCATTCATTGCAATATATTTTTCTATTAAAGCTCCTGTAAGGAACTTTTCATTTGTGTCAGTTTTGGCGCCCCAAAATCCAATCCTTCTGATTTTTGACGGTCAAATCTTTTGTTTTTTTGTGAATATCTATTATGGAAAATGTAAAAGGGGCTCCACACCACTTGCTCCTATTTGAGACATTTAAAATCAGGATAAAAAAATCATTAATCTTGTCGCTGATGGTTTTATTTGCTTTCGTATTTCATTAAATGTAATCAGGATGAATTTCAGTCTATTTTACAAATGTCAAAAAAATCCCTCACAGGAGCTTTAAGTGAGTGTTTTTCAATTCATAAGAGAATGGGTTTACCTTGGTGAAGTGCAGTTTTTAGAGACAGCCGAAATTCACTTCTTTTAGTTGTGTCCTGACCAAGACAGGCAGCAACACTGTCAACATGAGCAGCTCTACATAAGAAACATACAGACGCAATTAACTAAACTGGAAAATGAAGGATAAGTTTATTTCTGTTGATGATTTTAAAAACTTGGACTTTTTTTTACCTTTAGATAACTATTACCTATAAAGTCAAATCTTTACAGACATTCTTTTAAAATTCAACTGTAATGGTCTATAGCTCATTAAAATAAGAACAACAGCTTCTCAAATAAACAGAATATTATTATTTTTTTTAAGTGTAGAAAAGCACAGCATCTAAGAAGTATTATTATTTATACACCTAACACTTTGTTTTGGCTCCTTTTCTAAGAATCCAATGCAGGTGTAGTTGGTTAAAAGTGTGAAAGATTTTACAATATCCTGATACTTTGAGATGCAGCTGTAATATTTATTTAAATATTTACCAAAATAAAACACAGTAAAAAAAATCCTGAAAAAACGTAGTCTCACATATGAATCAGTGCATTTGGCTGACACTTAAAATCTTATCAAATGTAGAAAAAAAAAACAGATGATTAGCCGTTAATGCTACTATTCTTGCTGTGGTTTTTCTGTTTGTCACACTGCACAGATTTGTTTGTAATTGAGGGTCTAATCTGGCAAATACAGATGTTGAAACTCTTGATAGCATTTCCAGGCTGTGTAAGACCCTCAAACTCTGAATAATGCTCTTCTCTGATACTGATATTTCTCTTGGATAGACTCTAAATACCTCCACCACCACTGGCCTTTTGGGTATCTGTGTCAACCAGGCAGTATTTTTTGTGACAGATCCGTGACACTCAAACTGAGTGTGTCTTTACGGTGAGAACATCACCATGCCTGGGCAACTGAGAGCGTCATACGCCACCTAATGGGCAAACGATGCTTAGCATGGTCAGCGACAGTCACTCATAGTCAGTGAGCTGAGAGCGGCTGAACAGGATCATGATGACTGATGGTAACCACGCACTCCGCTTCAAGATAAATGGATTTTTCCACTTCGACTATGAGACTTTTTTTCTGCTGCTGAAGAAGCCTTTTCTTCTTCTCTCATTCAAGACATTTTTGTTTGTCTGCAGCTCCTTCAGCCGAGGTTTATTGCACCATAAGATATGCATTTGCAAATGTCAGAAGTTTGAGGGTATCATGCACCGAAGCTCGTCTTATTAGACATGTAAAAAGGATAAAAGCATGAATTGATGATGCGTTTTCATTCTGCAGGAGCTACAAGCTAGTTGGAAAGAATATCTAAATGAAATACATGTCACTAAATCAGATTTAATAACCCAGTTCAACATTTTTATTCTTTATAGCACTGCACCATTACAGAGAAGAAATTGATTTTCTCTCTTCTTATTAATGCAACAAAGTCAAAAGCTCTCAAATCAGCTGGCTATTTGATATATTCATAATCAACTGCACTGATGTACTGTATGATGGTCCTGAACAGCGATGGATCTGGCAGGAAATGAAACAAATTCGATTGGCTTTCTCCTTCGTGCCTGAAGATCGGCTGCTTTGTTTCCTTTTGATTGGTCAATTAAAAGTGCGCTTCCACTCTCCGAGCCCTGGACCCATTACAGAAAGTAATTTCAAGAGCCAAGCTGTTTGCCCTGCGCTGTCTGCAGCGAAGAATTCCCTCTACACTTTGGCCAAGTCAGGCCGAGGGAGAGAGGGAGAAAGAGAGAGAGAGAGGGGGTAATATTAGCTCCCGTTTTATTGAGAGATCCATTAATCGCAGCCTTCTGCCGCTGACCTTTTGACCTCTGCTGACCTCTGGACATCATGTTACCAGCCGGGAAAACCGGACTCATAGCTACCCTAAAACAAAATCACCAGCTCTCAGATTTTTCCACTTTGTGAGACTTGTCTTCAAGTTCTTAAGGCTGTGGAGGTCACCGAGAATAAAAACTGTTTGTCAATTATTTCTCGGGTCAAATTAACTTAAACTTCCATCGCATCTTCATCAAAACGTGTGGCCTAAAGTGCTTCAAATAGTAATGATCAAAACAGCACAAACAGAAAATATGTATAAACTGAAACAGCTAAAGACTCATTTATGCAAGTTAAAATAATTCTAGTCTAGCCTAGTTAAAACACAATCTCAAATCAAAAGCTGGTTTTAGGTCGAGTCTGTAATTTGTTTACTTCATACAATCTTTTTGGTTGTATTATTTTGTACATATGGAAGATAACCCACAAAAGCTATATGCTGATCTTTGAGTTTCCCAAGATCATTTAAAAACTGTCCCATAATAAAAGTGCAATTAAACACACACAAAAAAAGATCATTTAAAATCTGCACTTGCATACAAACACCCCAAATTATGACTTTTAAAACATTATAATCTGGAAAAACTTCTCATAAATAATAATAACAACAAAATCATAGTTTTATTATTTGTTATATGTAAAATGTCATGTCTGGGACTATAACAATATGTTCAGATATTTTTCCAATCAGACTTCTTTGAATGCCACACAAGTTAAATGTCTGAGTATTCTTTTGTTCCTATGACAGAAAGCAATGGTGTGCCCAAATCGTCAACATATATCAAGATATAGCATGGAGACATATCTGGATATCTTATTCGACACAACATTTGGCCAATCCAGAGTCACTGTATGTTCTCAGCTCTTGTCCTGATATAAATCATATTAATAAATCTATACATGTGCTCCAGATAAGATCAAGATCCCTGCAGGAATTGAAAAAAAAAATCTCTGGAAGAGTAATTTTCAAGAGTAAGTTTTAAAAAACGTGGTGCCTATCACTATTAATTAACGTACCGAAGATGTCAGCGTTCTCAAAAATGATGAACTGTTTCCAAGGAGCTGCTTAAGCGCATGTTATTAAGGCAGAGAGCACATGCATTAGCCATCCAGCCAGGAGGGGCGGGGTTATGAACAGTAATATCCCCCCATTAGGTATCCTACCTATCTAATGCTGCCATTAAGTATGTTGTGTCTTTAGCAGGAGCGAGGAGTTTCATTGTGCTAATGCTGACATGATTGCCGGGAATCTATGCTAATAATACATTTTGACAATGTGGACTCCTTGCAGAAGAATAGATGAGCTATTTCATTTCCAGTTTCTTGACAAGCTGTTTTCAAGGATGATTGCTGAATGCATTTATTGTAGCTTCATGACGGGTCATTTAGGAAGTATCATCCCTGCAGTGCTTCGCAAAATCTCTTTATCAGCTGTCAAGCGCCCCACAGCAGAAGACTAGTGTAACTTTATATAGGCCTTTGTCTGATGGCTACATAAACTGCACTCTACCTGTTTTTCGACAGCTGAGGCTTGGGCCCAGGACGGGCGTTGAAAGCAAATACCTGATTGTATTAGTGTCTCCCCTTTAAGCTGTTGTCACCTAGCTGACCGATTATGGGCAATTACCTGCTCTGTCGGAATCCTAGCCGAATAGATTGAATTCAGATTGATTTTTGCCCAGGAAAGAGGAGGGAATTTAAAGCCTTTTTTAATTGGGTATTTGGTGTGTGCTGATCTGAACACCGTGGCCTTCCCGAGGGATCCTTTATGGGCCAATAATGGCATTGGAGTGGGGGGGTTGCTGCAGTCTCGTCTGCTGACTCCCTCCCAAGGCCATAACCCTGCATTTGCTCTGAGTGCTTTTCTATTATGCATTGATAGTTGAGCATCAATCAATAAGAGGGGAAACAGAAAACCCAACGAAACCAACTTCTTAAGTGTAAAATGCCTCTTAATACCCGGGGCCTTTCAAACAACTTAACCTGGACGCTTTTTACCCTCGCCCTTCCTCCCTCTGCTCTTTGAGGGACACTTACCGGCGCCTGGCGACACAATGTTTTATTTAGGAGGGCTGGAAATGTGCAGCTCTCAGGTGAAAATGTACCGCAACCCTCTGGTTATACTTGGGCAATACATCACTGTTTGTGTGTTTCTGCGCATGTGTGTGTGTGTGTGTGTGTTTGCAGGCACAGGCATATGGCAGCAAAATAGATCTGTGCTTTCATTTTATTTACAGGTTTTGTTTTTATCCTGCTCTGGAAAACAGTCTGAGGCAAATCCTCTGAAACAAATCAGCAAAGTAAGAACAGGCGGTGGTCTTTCATTGACTTAGTGAATCAAAAATAAGTATCCACACAAGGTTGATAAGGTCAGCAGAAACCCAGTTGATTGGATTATAAATCTAGCATGTCTTGAAATCAAATCCCAGACATGATTTAAAGATGATATGGAAGCATGGCCTCTTTACGTGAACTTTGCTGTTGCTTTGATGAGACAGAAAAAGCAAAGACAAAAAGAGTCGCCTTACATATAAGCACTGCGACAATTCATAAAACGGGACGATTCCAGGAAAGAAAGGGGGGAGAGACTGAGTCCAACCCACAGATAAGAGTGGCGTTGGAGATCGGTCTCCCACAGTGGAAAAGATAAGAGGAAGACAGTCACAGCAAAGGCCAGCCACATAATACACAAGCCCACCTCCAGCCGTCCAAATCTCCCATCAGCACCAGTCCCCACCGGCCCTCCTGTCATCACTAATGCACCTTTTCCTATAGGACGAAGCCCCAGATGCAGTAAGGTTATCTGTGGCTTTGCAGGTTTTCTCGGAATTGGGAAGTTCACCTTTCCTTTAGTCCAGATGACAGGAGATGATACAGTCGGAAAGATCGATCGTTGGTCGCATTTCGCGTCTCTGTCGACATTTTCGATCTTCATCAACTACTGATCGCAGTTTTGTTTAACACCAGGTTTGGACCAAGAGTGTAGATGGTGATTTCAGACACTTAGTCCGTAAGAGATGAATATGGGTAAAACTAATCACCCAGGAAGCCTTTTATATTTCTCGTCACTCGTTACAGTGACTTTCTCGTGCTCTCAGATAAGTTCTCATGACATTAGTATGCTGCTTTAAGCCTATAAGTGGAAAACACACAAGCACCACAGCATGCAATTTATTCCTCATATTGAATTTATGTATTTCCCCTGACATAAACACTAATCTTTGACCATTTTTTACGCACGCCAAAATTTCCACGTCCCATTTGTTGCTTATTGTAACACCAAATTCATCACCAAAGTTCTCTGGATTTTCAAGTCTTAAGTGGATTTGGCATAAATCTCAACTGGATACTGATTTTACAGATTATTTTACCATTGAGTGAATGTCAGATACGTCCCAAAAATTTGCAGCCCTTGGTGACACCATTGCCTCAAGATTAGTCTGTGAGTGATTAATTACACTATGAGGAAATACCACATGCTAATGGCCAAACCATTTTGTAATCACTGTTCAATATATTAAAAGACGCCATTGTATCCCCTGAAAATGTCATCATCGCCACTAAGACAAAAATATTAAGCTGGTTGGGGGGTGGAGGATGCCCCCGAACTACTTCGGTTACACAAACTTTGTTTTCGGCCTCTATGCATCAGAGCCCTTTCCCTCCGTCTGCCATCTGCTGCTGAAGAATCTGTTTCACTCGATGAGCCAAGCCCAGCCTTTATTGGTCCTAATGGCACTATCAGCTGAGCCGCCAAACCCAATTACCTTTTAAAAAGGGAGGCCACCCCAGCTAATCATGGCTGCCTAACCTGATTTGCCTGTGATGAAGAGACGGGATAAAGAGCAGTTAATGGAGGGAGAATGATCTCACAAATACAAAAAACTCAATTCATTTCTCCGGGAGAGCAATCTGTCCGATTCAGCTGTAATGGAGTGGAGATTCATTAGTCCTTGGGTCTTAGTAGTAGCACCGTCCCCTTATCAACTGGATGACAAAATAACATTTATGTTATTTATATTTTACACATCATATTGGAAAGGTACAAAGAAAGACTGGAAAGTCTGGAAGGGGCGCAGAAAACAGGTGGTGCTTTGCATGTTTCAATCCCGAATCAAATTAGGCTACCTTCTACTGAAAAAGGAAATTTCACCAGTTTTACATAGCTGCTGTTTCAGCTTCAAGCTTCAGTGTTTGTTTAACTCCTTTATTTATACACAACAGAGAGATAATCACTTGCAACAACCCAACAGGACATAAAGAAGGACAAAATATTACGAAAAGCAGGTTAGTTTGGCGTTCAGCTACGGTTATTGTTTGTTTGAGGTTTCTTTTCCAATCATTTCGTGCCAATGAAGAGGTCTTTCATTACCCTTGATCCAACAGCAACTTACTGTTCATCTTAACTGAAGTTCAATTATATTCCCCAGTCATCCTCCTGATTTTCCCAGTTCAGTCGATCGCGAATCAATGTGTAACCTACAACAAGAGTTTTAATATAGATGCCCTGTGTATGTGCAAATAACAAGCACAAACAAAGCAGTAGGATAAAAACCCTTAGCCTCTCATCCAAGCATGATGGGACGGCAAATTTCAGCCTTGATGCACAGATGTTCATGAAAATGCCAAACAAGTTGAGGTTATTGTGATATGTACTAGTTTTAAGTATTGCTACAGTTGAAACTTACTGGGTGCCCTCAGCGGTTTTGACGAAGGATCTGCCCTCTGGACATTCCTCTCTCATGGACAAAGGATCAAGTACTTAACATCTGTTTGCTGAGAGTGACCCAGATCTCAAAGGTCCCGCCATTCAGTACCAAGGCCTCAAATGGAGCTGCTTGTCAGTTAAAAACATCCAACATCCGTTACGTGCTCTCAGCAGGCTCGGGTCTCGTTCACACGCGTGTTCCCTTGATGATGTAAGTGACACGCATGAATGACCGATTCATGCCAAGAATGTCAAGCAGAGCTTGGGGCAACAGAGAGAGCGATGACTCTGGTGAATCCATACACCCCTGCAGCTTCAGCACGGCCTGGCTTAGATATGATCCAGAGGATGTTGGTTGGATGGGGCATAGGGCCATAGCCAGGGTTTGCAGACGGACATTAGGCCAAAGCCAGAGTTAAAATCCTATTAGTTTGAGTTGGGAATCGGATTATCGTCGTCGAGAATCACTCGTCTGGCAACTAGGGTCTAATTTACGCCAATCAACGGCAATTATTGAGGGGAAGGGAGCCCCTATTAGAGAGCCTCATCCACTTAGTCTAATGAATGGGGAAGATTCAATCTTGGCTGTGGAGTCGCATTGGAGAGCTGCAGCTGAATGTGACTGCACCAGCAGGCTAAAGACGAGCTGCTGTTATTTATCAATGGTGGGCTGCTGTCAGAGCTAACATGCGTTAGCCATAGGGGGCTAAGGTCTGGTTTCCAATGGTTTGGGGCACTATGTCCAGTCAAGAGGATACTGTAGCTCTCTATTAAACTTATAGGCGGGACCATGCCTCTGTGTACATCATGTGCCAAGCCCAAAGAGGATATTTTTAATTTTCATCATAAATCATCAACTCCGGGGGCAACAGTGTTACCTCAGAACATAATTTACTGTTTATACTGAGCTCAGTGGGCATAAATAACCTGAAAGGCATTAAACAAAAAGTTATTCCATTTAAATTTAGTTTCTAGCTCAGATTATGACCTGAATGCCATAAATGTAACTTTTAACTTTTAATTAATTTTACCCTTTTCAGTTTGAACAATAATGTTTTTGGAAAAAGAAGGAGGTGTAATTGTCAGCAAAACTGACAGTCTGCAAGTCAAACCCAACCACCTAATATAGCTAGCTATGGATAGCTAAATACTTATATTATTTTGTTGCCTTTACAATTCACAAATATGTCTCACTGAAAACTTCATAATACTGAATGGGGCTTTCAGAGAGGGCTTAACCTCCAGTTTGCATCCTCTACTTTTTCTTTATCTCCTTTCCTGCACTGCCCTCTGCTGTGACAAAAGGGTAGCACTTACACTTATTTCTGTTAAACTATAACCTATATACAGCACAGACGTAGGCATGGTACAGATGTTTCATGAATATAAATACATTGAAATATGATTCTGTGGTCTTAATTTTTTTAAGTGGTATTAGGTCTCTACTCATAGAGAACTTATTACTAGACTTTTGGTGAGATAGTATTTTGGTCATGACATAAATTTGAATGAAAACCATACATATGTTTGAAGACTAGTCCCCTGACTTCCTGATATTTGCCACTCAGGTGCACCCGTATAATTCACCTCTCTGGTGCGTTTGTATCATTGACCTCTCTTGTGAATCTGTATCTCCTGAATGCAGATTCAGGACTTCCGTGTTTAAATAGGTGTTCAGGTCCTGAAAATCTCACTCTTTGGGGGAAATTCCCCTGCCCGTTACGGGTGTCGCAGAGTTCACCATTTCCCAATAGGTGAGAGGGTGCAGACATGCTCAAAGCTATTATTAACAGCAAATATTTCCAGAGTTGAGGGTTTCATTTCCTATCAGCACTTTTCCGTGCCTATCGAACAACCTTGCAACCTCGAGAAACGTTTTCCAACCGTCCCTCCAATGCGACAGTTTTTTCATGTTTCATGTGTTTGCACTTGTCAGTGAAAAGGTAAAATTTTGTTTTTAACTCACCCTGATCATTTCATTGTGTTTTTATCATTACCCTGGCTGTTTTAACACTATCATCGGAGGTACTAAATATAACTATCAGATGGATTTTGCTTACAGTGGTGACAGCAATCCGGATTTAAAATCTGTTTCTGCAGATAATAAAATCACCTGTTCTTCTTTATAGGGAGGCCATGTTACTGTTAAAACTGTGTTATTGTTCAGGTTAAGCAGTTGCCTTAAATTACTCATCTTTTTCCATTGTCTTAACTGCTCATGGGATTATTGACAGGAAGATGGAGCATGCAAAGTCATTTCAGACTGTGTCCTTTCCCTTTTCAAGTGTGACAAATTAGAGGACTCAATTTAAACTCCCATAAAGTCTGCGGGGGTGTAAGATCATATCCGTTCCTGTGGTGATTTTCACTGCTTGTTGGTCATGATCTGCTTGTTCCATTTCACTTGTTACACTCTCGTTATTGATAAGCACTGCTGCCCCCAATGACAGTAAGATGGGGGGGATTTAAAAACACAGAGGCCAGTAACCTTTTATGGCAACCCTCACGCATGCTAAAAGTTTCGATTCTGACTGTGTCCTGCATGTAAGCAGAGTCAAACCCCAAACCACAGCCAGTCATCACCTCCCACCATACGTGCAATATTGTGACTGTAGAGCATCACATTTTGGTTGGAAAATACGAAATCTGAATGTCCAGCTTCGTGGGTGATTGTAGGTGACTTGTCACAAGCTTTTTCCGTATTTCTATTTCTATGTTAAGCTTCACAGTCAAACGGTACATTTATTAGTACTTCAGGTTACAGTTGTGACCACTAGACTTACAAGACTTACAAGAAAAAAAAACTGCCCTCTGCTCCCATTTGCTCCCACCATCTTGTGACTCTTAAAACATACAAAAAAAAAAACAAGATGTGAAACATAGATGTCAAAAACCGCGCTGTAAAGGGGCTGAAGCTTTTAAAAATAGTTTCTCTTATCAACCAAATCAGATATGTCATTTGATATGTACATTTTGAATCATTTAAACCTTAACTTAAAAATAGTGTAAAGAAAACACATTCACTTGCATTTCTGGATCATGCTTGTGTGTGGTTTCCTCTGTGCATGGAGTAGCTTTAACTTGCATTTGTGGATGCAGCACAAACAGTGGTCTTTGGGAGTGGTTTTTAGCCCATGCAGGGATTTACACAACAGAGTCATGTCAGTTTTAAATGCAGTGCCACTTGAGGGTCTGAATATCACAGCCATCTAGTATTAGATTTTTCATGTATTCCTTTTGCACAGAGATTGCTCCACATTTTTGAATAATTCATTGAGATAATGTACCGTAAACTCTTTGCAGTTTTATGCTAATTGTGAAGTTGGATGCAAAAAAGAAGTAATTTTTCAGATTCAGCATTTGATATTCAGTCTTTGCAACTTCTTTAAATTTGTCTTTCAACAGTGTGTTTTCAAAGGTGCTCGAAGAAAAAAACTTGGTGTGTGTTTTCAGATTATAAAGACAAAACTTGGTGATAACATAGTCACTTCTTGTGTCTTGGTGGAATACTAAACCCTGTGGGAGAGGCCGAGGGATTTCACCTTGAAATGCCACGAAATGACAACACAATGCTATAACACTGCAGATGCACTAATTTCCCATGATGTGTCCTCTCTGGTACAAGAGAGTAAGTGTTTAAGATAGGTAAAGAAAAAATTACTTCACTTCCTGCATGTATGCACAGCCACTCAGTTTGAACTTGTAAATTAAGTTAAGAGAAGAGTATTTTTAGTTTAGCACGGCATGGCGTCTATTTTGGTGGTGGTAAACTTATAAGGCCACATGTTCTCTGACCTATTTTCTTTTTGATTGTCTGTTTTCCATAAACAACAAAAAGGAAATTGTAGAAAAGAACTGAAAAGCATCAGTGTGAGGTGTAACAAGACAAAGTTTTAGGTGATCTGAGTAAAGGGAAATTCCTGATCTACAAAACTAGTCACTTTCAGAACCCCGACAGGGACTTAAAAAGATAGAAAAAAATGAAAACAAAAAAACAAAAGACTGCTTGAGGATCTGTGTGTGAGAGGATGCAGACTAAAGTGGGAGTCTTTTTCGTCACCAAATGTGGGTCTAAGAGTAGGAGGAAGCAGATGCGGTGCACAACTTAAGCAAAGAGTGTTACATCCTCTATTAAAACAGCTTTACGTGGACTGTGTATTAAAATCTGAGTGTTGTCATTAATTTAAGGACATGGCGGCCTTCAGTGAGGTGAACCACTACCTTTATAGTATAAAAAGACTTTTTCTTCTTAACCAGAAATGAAAGGATTATGATACTCTGCTCACATTATATATGTTTAGAGGCAATTCAATGTGCTTTACAAAAAAACAAAACATTTAAAAAACAAAAAACAACAACAACAACAACAACAAAACACAGTTAAAGGCTTTTTCTTCTTAACCAGAAATGAAAGGATTATGATACTCTGCTCACATTATATATAAAATGATCTTTTTTGGTCTGAACACAATTCTAATAAAACTTATGACAGACTAAATTCAAACCGAGGCAATTCAATGTGCTTTACAAAAAAACAAAACATTTAAAAAACAAAAAACAACAACAACAACAACAACAAAACACAGTTAAAGGCTTTTTCTTCTTAACCAGAAATGAAAGGATTATGATACTCTGCTCACATTATATATGTTCCATTTCTTTGGGAAAATGCTGCTAAATTATACAACATGTACCTTTAACGGCATGACTCAAGGAAATCCTGTGGGGGCCTGAAGGTAGCCTATCTGTTTCACAAATATTAAAGAAAATACTTTTATCAAAGCCATTACATATAATGCACATGAGAAATTTCACGACCAACTACTTTAATCTAAGCCAAACATCATCCTTAGTGCAGATAAATGAAAAATGAGATCCATGGAAATAATTCATCCCTAAATTACAATAACCCATCTGCACCATAGGCTGTATACCGTGATATGGTATTTATGGTATAGGGGAGGGTGGGGTAAGATGAGCCATTTTTTCATATTTCGGATCACTACATCAAGTCAATCATGGTTTTGTCTCTAACTAGTGTATCTGCATATATTTCAAGATGTTGTGCATCCCTGCAAACCGACAGAATGAGTGTAAACATAACTGTCTTCATAATATAGCATGCCAAAAACAAAGTGGTCTCCTTTGGTCAACTTAACCCTGTGTATGGAGTAAGTTGACCATAAAAGCGGGGTAAGTTGAGCCGTATCCCTACTACCCTCCCCACTCTCCACCCCAGCCCTCCCTCACCTTCTCTTTCCCTAAATAACAATCACTTCTTCACATTCATGTGTATTTTTATCTATTACAGGCTATTCGATTGGTACATTAATTGTTTTTTATTATTATTGCATATAACTGCTAAAAAGCTGTTTTGTAAAAAAAACATTTTAACATGAGAATGCCTTTAAGTGATTCAGAACATTCACAGCTGTATTTTTGAAAAGAAAAAGTAACACATTTCAACAATCTGAACTGAAACTCTGATCCTCTCAGCAGACTACTTTACTTTCTCAGTTGAGTCACTGGCTCATCTTACCCCAGGCCAAATGGGTCAACTTACCCCAGAACTACTATGATAACTTTATTACTCCTCAAAGCTAAAATGGTGGACTTCATGTTAGTTTTTTTTTTTTTACCTCATGTTGTAGCTCATAGATACCACAACTGATGTATAAAACAAATTTAAAATGATCTTTTTTGGTCTGAACACAATTCTAATAAAACTTATGACAGACTAAATTCAAACCGAGGCAATTCAATGTGCTTTACAAAAAAACAAAACATTTGAAAAACAAAAAACAACAACAACAACAACAAAACACAGTTAAAGGCAGAAGCAATAGAAAAAGTTGAAAAATAATTAAAAAGAGCTCAGCCATACGCACATGAAAAGAGAAATGTTTTTAAACCTGGATTTAAAAGAGCTTACAGATGGGGCTGATTCCAGTTCTACTGGTAGTTTGTTCCAGTTGAGTGAAAAATGTTTTTTTGGAAATAAATGTCTAACCCCTTCATCCATGTGCTTCTAACCTTCACAGACTCCATGAATTGATGCCTATCTCCTAAATACTTGGTCACATGATCAATTTCTTTTACCATTTCCAAGCAACAGGGGGTGGCTCAAGTTACCCTTTGGTTCAGCTGTCAAGGTAGAGAACATTATGTTGCTATTATTTTCGGCTTATCTGAATAGCCTCATGAAATTATTAGAGGCACGCGCTTTTGAATCCATCCAACGGTAAGGAAAACTTGAATTATTTCGCCTTGATATGTACTTTCAACCGTTAGGGGGTGCATTCTACGGCAGGGGTGCATTCTACGGCACAACACCTGTTAGTCACGTTTGCTAACGGTCTTTGAACGCTGTCAATCAGTGGACAACTTCCAACGCACTTCCGTGAGACACGCCCACGATCCCTGAGCTTCTCTTGAACGGTGAGACACAGTTCGGAACCTGTTGGAAACTCAACATGTTTTTACTGTTACCTTACTAACACGAACCTTCCGGTGAGTTGGTTTTTAAATTACATTTTCGCCTGAGAGTAACCGGGGCCGTGAATTTGGCAGCGTTAAGTGTTTGGTGAGTGTAAATATTTAATTCAAAAGCTAGCTAAAACTGTACTGTATAACGCCCATGGGCTAATTCAGTTAAGAAGTTCGGACATACTTTTATACAATGTATTTTTTTCCAATGAATTTAATATCCTGATACGAGGGAATTAGAAAATGAGAAGTCCTGTGCTGTTGTGTAACGCAGTTTATGTAAATTGAAAGAGAAGAAACGGACATAAACTTTGGTTGAACACGGCCAGTTTGCTTCAAGTTGTGTCGGAATGATAGAGCATCTTTTGTCTATGTTTAAAAGTGTGATTGAAAAAGTTATTTTAGAAAGGAAAACCAGAGAAAAATTATCCTAGGCCCTGCCGAGTTGACGAAAATTGACGTTGTGTAACTAAAAATGGCGGAATTCAATTTCCCCCCAGCTGTAATAGCTTAGAATTGCAAACAAGACCACGTGTCTTAAATTGAAACCGAGAAAACTAAACATCCGAGCAGCACGTAAATGCAACACAGTTACAGCACCTGTAGTTGAAGCCTCCTAAGATGTCCTGTGGAGGGGCTGAGTGAAGTTACCACCTGGACTGGAAGGAACCTGGTTTTGAGATTCACGTTTTTTAACTAGGAACAGGGAATCATCCAACTTGATGCTTTATTTATTTATTTGGAGCATTATTAAAAGTTTTCTTGTTTATTTTTCTGTAGTCCTTGGAGCTCTCAGGATGTTTTCAGCTGGCAGACCAATTCAGCGCTCTAGAGGTGCCTCTTTTGCTCAAATCCTCACGAGGAATTTGCAGGCAACTACAGGACCAACCGAGACAGACGCTTCACCAAGTTCCAGTGGTTCTAACAGTGACAACAACAACAACCAACAAGTGACAAGGACAACCGCACATGGTGAGAAATTTAATTTACGGTTTAGCAGAAAAGTAGTAAGATAACAACCTCCTAACTGCATTCATCTTTGGAGATGTTTGTCTTGTAATATGTTTAAATAGCTACATTATCAGATGTAAACCTGCACATGTAAAATTAAACCAATTTCTTTGAAACCTCTTTCTTGTTTCACTTACAAAGGTTATGCTGTCAAGCCCAAGATTTCCCCCAAAACACTGATCGACAGGTACAAGGAGGGTGAGACAAATGCTTTGTCCTTGCTCCATCAGCTCGCCCAGAGTTTTCAGCTTCACCTGGAGATAAAGGAGACGGTAACCACAGGTAATCACGCCCGTGTGCGTGAAAATTCACACAGAGGAAACCTAATATTTAGTGATGCTTGACAGTCTACTTTTAAGATGAATACGTTGCTGGTGTTCAATTTTTGATGTGGGTATTTTGTGGGTTGTGCATTTGTTGTTTTTTTTTTCAGCCCAAACATTTGCCACATTTGATGATCATGGATTTTCTTACTGCATGGATGCTGGATTGTTTAGGATGGAGACCTGCTGCAATTTAACTCCTAATCTAATAAAAAACAGACACATGTGCAAACGGAGCCAATCATTTTCAAACTTTGAACCTTTTCAATCCAGGTAACATATCAGGCTTTTACTTTGCCTTTTGTGTGGTGGTCGACGGGGTCCAGTACATGACCGGCATGGGTCTAACCAAAAAGGAGGCTCGGCTCAAAGCAGCAGTGCTTGCCCTGGAGGATCTGCTGCCCACCTTGGAAAGTCAGAATTCAGTCTTCCCTGAAACATCAGGTGAGGTCTAGTGCTGATTGAATTATATGTTTCTCTGCATGATTCTGAATCATGATCAACAGCTTGGAAATGTCATTTTAATGTGACAGTATATGACGTTTTAACTTGTCCAGCTAAACCATGACCCCTGTAGTTAAAATGTATCATACCTGATCAAAAAGAAATAAGCCAAGAGTTGAAACATCATCCTTAAAGGTAGTTTTCTTTCGGTAAAATCACAAAAAAAGAAACACATTAAGTATAAAATGATGACACACTATTTGTAAACACAGTGAGGGCTGCTTTCTCTCACATGCATACATGGTGCATGAGAAGCACAGCGGAGAAGGTGATGACGGACTGAAATTATATCTTTGAATTGAACTTTGATTTGATGATATGAAGCCTAATTTACCTGGGGCCTGTTCTACAAAGCAACTTAGCGAGGTAACTTCGAGAGTAAGTTTGGGGTTTCCTGTTCCACGACGCGGGTCCACTTATTAGCGAGGTGAGTCTCCATGGCAACGTACGCTGAACGGCTAACCTGCTCCGGGGCAGGTTAGGTTCCAGATTGAACTCACAGAGAATAAAAACCCCGCCCACTGACCAATGAGCTCTCTCAAAAAATTGCTTGTCCGTTCTTGGAGGATCCTATAGACCTCGGTGCTCGCATTGTCCGAGGAGCACTCCGGCGCACAAGAGTTTTCAGGGACCGCACAGACCCACTTACTTTTCCGCATGACCACCTTTATGAAAGGCTCATATGGCCGACATATCACACAAAAAATGTAAACACGATAGGAATGAACAAATTAATGAATTCATCTTGGGAATGAATTAGACATGTCTGGTGCATGTTAAAAGCACATGTTGACAGTGCTATTTCAGGGTGATAATGGCAACAAAGGTTTTTTGCACACTATACTTACACATTGAGACTGTCAGCAATTTTCTGCCAGCATTCCTTCCGTGCTTTTGCAGCGGCGACGGTGTTGCTTTTTAGGTTTATGATAGATTTGAATTCCTTATACTTTCTCATGATCATCTCCTGCTCCTCGTTTGTAAAGTACGCAGTCCATCGCTCTCTGGCCTGCTCTGACGCTCCAGACTGGTCCATGTTCGCGATTGGTCAGATGCGGCGGGCTCCGCGTCACAGGCGTGCATGCCCTCATAGCAAAGCTAGAGCCACTTACAAGGTTGATAACCAGCGTTGTAAGACCGTTAAGCGAGACCGCTGGCTACCGCACTAAGTTGAGCTTTGTACTTGCTTTGTAGAATAAAGCACTGCACTCTGCAGTTTATCTGTGTATTAAAACGGCAGCAGTGCAGCCTTGAGTCTCATTCGAGTTAAAAAAAAAACACAAACTCGTCATTAACACACAGATCCCTGTAATGTCACAAAAAAATGAAACGCTTTTTTGTGTGGCAAAATGTTCTGAAGCAATCTTATCCTGAAATAACCTGTCAAAGTCAACACCTGGTACCTACAGCAAGCATGACTCCGTTTTGTTTTTTGTTTTTTTACCTAGAGGGTTTGATGTGCTGTTGCAGACAACAGCATGTGAACAGGTACCAGAAGAATACAACAAATGCAAGGCTGTCAAAATGATGTGTTAATTTAGATAACCTGTGATTTATGGATTAGTCTGCTGTTTTGACACTAATGTATGAACAAAGTCAGCAATTACTGACTAAGGTGAGGCCTTTTTTTCCCTCAACTTAACTCTAGCTGCAAACCATAAGAACTTGTGAAAAGGTCCTGTGTCATTCAGACTTTGCTTTTGATCACGCTGATACTTCATCAGCAACGACCCTCCTCCACACAGCGCTCACAAAAAACAAACAAAAATGCTGACGAAGACGGTTAAAACTGCAACCACTTGAAAGGGGAAGACATAGATGTGGGTAGGGCAAGGTGCAAGTCTATTTAGGAAGCCTGTTTGTGTGTGGGGGTGAAGGCAGAGTGGAGGAATGATGATTAGAGAAAGAGTAGATTATATTTGAAATGTGGAAGTTCGTATAAATCAAATGGAAGTTAGATAACACAGCGAGTCTACTGAGAGGAGGGAAAGGACCTACTGGCTAGACGTGAATCTGGGTCGACAGCTTAAAGCATTACCTCCATATATGAGGCACACGTGTAGACCACTAGGCCAGCAGCGCCTCTTCAATACTAATTTCAAAGAACAATTACTGACAAATACAAACTCTATTCCTAAGACCTACATCAAGTCCTCCATGTACATTTGCTTCATGCAGACACAGACACGCTCAAACGCAACCACAGCAGCAGGATAAAGCAAGAGTCACCCGTCGCTTATGCAGTGTTGACTCTTGATAAAGCAACTGTCCAAGCACAGACATCAACATCATACTTAAGTCTATCTAACGGAGCCCTGGATTCTTATTTCTGAAGAAACATTAACAGGTGAAGATCCGTAGGCCTGTTTTGCTTTCAGATGCAAATCTTGCAATGTTACTCAAGTGTGGCTTTGCTGTATGCATGAAACTTCCTTTAATTTTGTGAAACCTCAAACTTCAAAACCAAACTCAACCTGTGATGTTGCAAAGTGTGTTCTCATAGTGCTTTCAGACGCTGCCTTTGTTCGCAGGCACAGTCAGGACAATAAGCCCTGAAATTGGTCAAATCAGGTTGAGAGTGTGCTGACATGCCAGAATTTCACGCCGTGACTAGCCATTGTGACGAGGAACGACAGGCGTGACCAGGTTCTGAGTTGGCCTGACTTCTAGAGCAGTCAGTTGAGTTTAATATCGGGTGTACGGCGTACACCAGCGTAATGTCTTCCATTGTTTTATTCAATGAGCAGTCATATGCAGGTAGAGGACAAATATCGGGAATAATGATCAAATCCACAACACTTTTAAGTAGAGTGCAGTGTCTTGAAAGTTTTTTAACATCATTTATGTCTGTGCATTTCATTTTCCTTTTAGATTTCACTCCACCACTTCCAGTAAAAGAGGAGCCCTCCATCCCCGAGCCCTCCCATTGTAGAGCTAATTATGGTAATTCTTTGTTTCTTCTTTCAAGTGCTTTCCTGTTTGTGAGATACCAGTTTATTTAGCAAAAACTTCTCAAACACAGGGACAGAAACATGTTGCACTTAACTGTTTGAGATTGAAGCACATGAAGATGTGTGGAAGTCTGTTGTTTCATGAGTGTCACTTATAAGTTTTGCAGCCACAATAGTTGGTCAGCTCAGCTCCTTCTACAGGAAACTACCTGTTGAAACAAAAGGCGAGGTTTGCTGCCTTTTAATTCTGTCAAACTTGCTAGAGGCATGACAGTCATTTAATGTTACTTTAAAAATATTCTAATATCCTTTAAGATGAAATTAGTCCAGCGCAGGAAATCATGGCAGGGAAATTATTCTCCTTGTGAACTAATTTTTATGATAAGCCCGGGTTAAGTCACTTTTCTCCCCTCTATGTTTTTGTTGTTGTTTAGAAAGGAAGAGTCTAGTCAACCACCAAATCCCACAAGCCGTCAAGGATCAGCTCAGTAAACTGATGGGGAGCAATTCAGAGTTCTCTGCCTGTGCCGGAACGACAGCAGCATTCATCATCCAGACCTGTGAGTGAGCTCCAACTAAAAAAAAAAAAAAACCTTTAGAATAAAATGCTCTCAGAGCTGCTTTTTGTAGGTTTTACTCAAATAAGTATTTATTAGTTTAAGTGCAAGTTTAAATTAGGGCAAAAACTAACATTGCAATGTTTTTCAACCCTGCGTTACAAAAAAAAATACAGGAATTTTCACCAGATGACCTGAATAGCACTTAATGCTATGCTGCACTGCTGAAATCTTGTGGACAATTCACCTGCACTGATCTTACCTCTTTTTGTGAATGTTAGTAGAATGGCTTCTGTCTGTCTTGGAGATATTTTAAGCATGCTTTTTTTGTGCTGGGAGTTATCTCTCGTTGTGGCAACAGGTGAAAGGCACTGCAGACACAAAACACGTGTTCGGTCGACATCATCCCTCTTGCAACTGAAATAATTCCAAATAACTGAAGTTGCTTTTCTTTTTGGCAACAAGTCTTCATTTTTGGTGCAGCAACCTGCAGTGTATGATTTTTAACATTCATAAGACCAAGCTCATTTTAAATGCAAATGCACTCACCCAAATAGTTTCCATTTAGATATATAAGATTGCAATGGTTTGAAAGATTTATGGCAGTTTTTTTGCATTAAGACTCTCACAGTTTTATTGTTACAGCTGCAGGTGGATTCTGGGAAGTGGTGGGGATAGAAGTCTAAGTGCAGCACTCATGCATGGCAGCAGCAACAACGGCAGAACAGAGGCAATGACAGAAAATCTTGCAGCTTAGATAGACAACAGAATTGGGAGGATATGTTTGTCGTGTCATTGTGCTGCTTAGTGACACGCACAGTGAGCTCAGTTGTCTGCCTGAACTAGCTCCAAGGCATTTCTCCATTTTAGCCTGTAACTGATCGCCCTTAGTATCATACACTGTATGGCATTAAAAACAAAAATAAAAGCTCATCTCAGAATAACATGTTATTGATGCTGTTTTTGAAGGTATTTTGTGGTTTAATACGACATCACCAAGCCTTTGTACAAACCCCTCTCTCTCCCTACAGCCAGTGAATATGAGGTTGTTGCTCTCGGCACTGGAAACTTCAACACCAAAGAGAGTGCTTCATCCAGTGGACGCACAGTGCATGATTCACATGCAGTGGTTGCTGCGAGGAGATCGCTCATGAGGTCAGTGCTCTAAAATTCAAGCTAGCTAAAAATTTGTCAACAGTTTTGAGGTGAAATTAAGTTTTTATTCTCGAGATATGGAGGTTTAGGATTGAGGCGCAATAACGTTTCAGTGATGCTCCATACTTTGAATGTGTAAGTTTGAGCTTTTCTTGAAATAGTTTCAACATGACAACCAGCCACTCTTATACTCTCCTCATAGGTTTTTGTACCGGCATCTGCTGATGTTCTTCAGCAAAACAGTCAATCTGACCCAGAAGTCCGTTTTCCAGCAGAGCAGCAGCAGCGGCCTTCTCACCCTGAAGAGCGGCCTCACCCTCCACCTCTATATGAACCAGCTGCCGAAGGGTGCTGCCGTCCCCTCACAGCTGTGAGTGTTTGATAATAGCTTCATGCATTTGAGATTTTCTCTCCTTAGTTCACATGGGGAGTTAGAGATCAGGTGTGATAGTATTGAAATTTACACAAAATTCAGTGGTAAATAGATTTACATTCCTTTTTTCTGCTCTGTGCTTCTTTCCCAGCCGGCTGAACCCCCTCTCAATTTCAGCGTGGCAAGTCAATAACGAGATCAGCCTCCACATGGCAGTGGAGGGCAAGGTGTTGTTCTGTTTTTACGGTCATTTTGAAAATTTTTAGTACTGCTTTGAAACTCTACCGTGAAAAGTGAAACCGACTATTTCCTCAACACGTCGTCTGAATGCATTGTCAAGACTTCCTTTCACTGCTGCAGCAGAACTACAATCTAATGTCTCTTTTAAAGGTGTTTTCTGTCTTCTCATCGGCGGCCACCAGTCAGTCTGCTCCTAAGGTGGTCAGCATGTCTGCCACAGACAAGCTCACTCAGTGGCAGGTCCTTGGCTACCAGGGAGCTTTGCTCAGCCACTTTATAGAGCCTGTTTATGTGCAGAGCATCCTCATAGGCAAGTAAAGAAGTCCAAATGTGTTTTTAGATAAGGTTTATTTACTATTGTTCATGTTAGGAACTTTTGTACAATAATAATACCCTTTCCATGTCTCACCAGAAAGTGATGTGTGAGCTTAGTTTTTCCATGTGAGTTTTTCCTGTATTCTCTTTCCTGTCATTAAGACTTAATAACCCACATTTGTCTTTTTGAAAAGAGAGGGAAAGTCCGATATTCGTGATACTGCATGCATGTTTCCGAAAAAGGAGTAGGATTTGCTGTGTGACACAAATGGGTACCTCCCATTCTTTGAACAGGTTAAACTTCAGGTTTCACATAATGACTCACCGTTGAACACCCTCATCATACAGAGAAAGCTCTTTTATTTCTAGAACCTCCATGAAAACAGGCGCCATCAAAGAAGTCCCAGGAAAAAAAACCAAAAAAAAACCAGACTGATTGGCCTGATTTTGTCCCAACCTACGACATTATTGCATTAAATTTTATACTTCCATAATCAACACAACAACTTTCAAAACCCACAGGTGACTCTGGCTGCAGTGACATCCGAGGGATGGAGATCTGCATTAACCAGCGCGTTGAGGGAATCACCTCCCAGCTGCCCATGTTCTTCTGCATGATGAGACCCCAAATCAGCCTGGGGCCGTCTGTGGCTGCCAACAGCCCGAACAGCAGCGAGTTGACCTACAGTATCAACTGGAGTGAGGGGGACGGCTCCCTGGAGGTTCTGGATGGCCTTGAGGGCAAGACTGTAGAGGAGTAAGAACTTCATGAGAAAATGAGGAGCTGGTAGCGGGGCAGAAATCAAGTGATTTAAATCCAAAGAATCCCACCTATAACTAAAGACAACATCATGAGTTGTAGCAGCCATTGCACTATAATGAGAGATAATTTATACTTTTAAATGAATGATGGTTCTTTTACACTAATTTCAAAATTAAAACGATTCAGCCTGCACCTCTGACCAGCTCTAAATTCTTCGAACTTCATCTGTAAGCAGTGTGTCCTTGTCTGTTTGCTGTGTTACGAACCACATACTATAAATTTTCTGCCGTTTTGGTCACACTCAAGCTGTGTGCTTACCTAAATGTCTTGTGGTAGATCTCCCTTTAAGAGTGGCTCCACTCTAGCAAGTCGTCTGTGCAAAGCTGCGATGCTTCACCGCTTCAAGTTGGTGGCCAAAGAGGCCCAGAGGCAGGACCTGCTGGCCACGAGCTCCTACAGGGAAGCCAAGGTAACCTCCTCATGACTCATGACTTTTTTGAATCCAAGTTTTCTGCAGCAACCACCACTGTTCATCTCATTCCTGTCATTTGTTTGTGACTGCAGAAGATGGCGAAGCCTTACCAGGAGGCCAAGAGCGTCCTGAGGGCGTACCTGAGACAGATGGGCTTTGGCTCCTGGCATGCCAAGCTTTCGGTCAGTGAAAACTTCCGCATATGAATAATAATTTTGAGGGAAAAATAAACAGTTTGAGAGAGTCACTTATTCTACTCTGCTATTGTGTTGCACTTTTGTTGTGTTTTCTAAGAGGATTGAGTCAATCCCTGCTCTTGTTTGAAGAGACGTTTGGAGTTTGTGAGCTCTGTCTGACCCTCAGGGTTTGGTCTGATTTTCACAAGATGATGGTTACTCCCAATACCCATATGTGGTTACTTTTTCAGTGGGCAGTTTGCTTTGTAGCCCCGTATGTACCTTTTTTTCAGGGTAAAGGTTCTACTTCCTTTAGTGGACAAATTCCTCTTTATACTGTAGAGGATGTATGGTGATGAGAGCATGCTGTTTAAGTAACTTTGTATTTTGAAAATGATGTTTCATCCGTCTCTCATCCCTGCTAAAGTGAAGTTATATTATTATACTTGTTGTTACTTGAAATATTTGAGTTGTGTCTCTCGAAAGTTACTGTTAGCATTTTTATCGCACCAATAAATCCTGTTTTGATCCATATTTGTTTTTACAATGCACGATTTCACTCTATATTAGCCATGGCCAGAATACAAATCAACAAAATAAACCAATCCAAGATCAACTTCTAGAGAGCTGAACATTTTTATTTTTTTGCCAACATTACCCAGGAAACCCTCTCAAGGTCAAAGTAACCTCAGTAAACTAAGCAAAACTATGAGTTCATATATTAACCAGATTATCAGGTATATTTATCCTTCCCTTTCCTATCGCCAGAAGACACTGTTCAAACATTAGGTTATATAAACACATGTCTGTTTCTTCCCTAGATTGAAACTTGTTGACCCCCAGTGTTGTTGCAAACTGTTGTTCAGCATCATGCGCAAACAGGAAATACTTTGGTTTCCTGAGCATGCACTGCAGGGGATCATTTACTCTAAAGTGTTGAGCAGTCTTGTGAATGAAGATGTCTGTTTACCTTTTACTGGATCAACCAAGAGACGGAGTAACCCGTGCATTCATCTGATGCTCAAGGATGGAGTGTTTCAATTGTATGTGCAGCTCCAGGTTTTGTATTCATTTGTCTTTTTATCTGTTATTGTGTGCAAATACAGAGCACAGTGTAGTTGTAACATGCATTACAGTGCAGCATACTCCTGCTTGCATCCTAAACTTGTAGCATCGTCAGTGCAGCCATTCTTTATTATGCAGATTAGTTTAATTGCATTGAAATGGAAAGGTGCTGCTTCAGATGTGCAGATCATCAGAACTGATATCTGCTGGTGTCTTTGTGATTACCCTATCAAGACGGTCATATCCCCCTACTTATCTGATGTAGTGTTGCATAAAGGAAATTAATGGCAGTGCAGTATTATTTCATGCATTTTATTCTCTCAATATTGTGCATGTTTGTAAATACACAGTGCATTTGTGAGCTACCTCTCTGTCTTCTTCAGGGAGAGCATGTTACGAGCTCTGATGTTGCGTATTTCTGCACTCAAAGTTGTTAAACAAAAATTAGATGAAAACTCACACGCTCCTTTTAAATTTGATGCCAGCAATGTGTTTCAAAACAGTTAGGACCAGGGGCACAATTAACCGTTGTCTTTCTGATAGCACTTTTTTACTACTTGGGAACCAAAGAGACGAGTTTCTGAAATGCTGTCCTATTCTTGCCTGAATCAAGATTTCAGGAGCTCAACGGTTTGGGGTTTCCTTTGTCATGTCTGTGTCATGATGCACTGTGTTTTCTAATGAGTGACTGCAGGCAGGCCTGTTAAGCACCCAGGCTCCTTTACTATAAGCCATGCTGCTGTGCAGAAAGAGGCCTATCAAGTTCTTGATGAAGCATGCAAGGTCCACCCTGTTAAAAGCACTGTCTGGATGGCAGCACGAACCTGCATACGCTGCCCAGCATTAATGTTGACTTCCCAGATGTGTTCGATACCCATGCCATTGTTAATTATGTGTTCTCACACCATCATGGAAGCCGGTTTTTGGACTGTGCCAGGTGGTCCTTCTTATCTTTGATCAGGGTGGAAGAGTTCATGATTTCCAGACAGAAACACTTTCAGTTTTGACAAACCAGGTTTTGACAGATCAACCATGTATCCTGGTTGCTGGTGTGTTAAAATATGGTTTTTGTCTTCACTTTGTGTTGTGTTATCCTGCATTTGTGTACACAACAATGAGCGGTGGCTCTTGGATGTAATTTTGAGCTCGTGCTGCGATTTCCACTGCAGAGTCATGTCTGTTTTGAGGCATTGCTGCCTGAAGGGCTGAAGATCACAGTCATCTGTTTAACTTTGTGTTGTCTCTTTTGCACAGAGATTTCTCCAGATTCTCTGAATCTCCAAATCTAAATGATATTACGCACTATAGACATAGGTGTGTTTCTGACAGAGTGGTGAAGCTTCTCCACGTTTCCCACGAGAGACTCAGCTGGTCCAGAGTGGATTTTTGAAAATAAGCTTAGTCAGTTGGCAGATTTTCCCTCAGGTGTTTTAAAAGCATTATTAAACCTTTTTGAAGTGTTTTGTTGTCCCTGCCCTGACTTGTATTAAAATGTGTTGATGGCATCAAATTTGTAAGGAGTGTGTATTTTCCAGTTGACAAAGTTTTTTGGTTTGATCACTTGGTTTGTTGTTTTTGCACTATTTTCAATTAAATCTGAGGTTTAAATGATCTGAAAAATATTGACTTTTTTATGTAGAAGGATAACATTGCTTGGTCAAGGCACTCAGATCTGAAATAGTGATATAAGATTTAATCTAACACATAAAAGTTGCTGATTTTATTCTCCTAAACAGATGCAGAAACCTACAACCAAATGTATAAATGAACCAAACCTCATTTTTTCAGCATCAGCCACTGAAGTGACACTCGTAGTTTTAGAGACAAACAGGATGCGCGACTCTATTGATGTGGTAACAAAGCGAAAACATTTGTGACCTGAGCCCTCCGAATATGTGACACCTGTGCTGAGGTGCTCTGCAAAAAGATGTGTAGTGTTTTTTGTCAACCTCGCTAAACTAAGATCTGCATGGCCTAGCTGGATCGCTTTTCACATTGAAAGTATTGGGGAGTGCATTTTATGGCTTCCTCCAAGATATGAGAGATACTGAGAGACTCGTATTGTTGAAAGTCCTGTGAGTGTGTGTTTGTAGCTTTGTGTTTGTTACAGCCTTGCCTGAATGAGTTATGCATCAGTGTTAACTCTGTGTTCCGTGCTTAGATGGAATCTTCATGAATGCCTCAAAGGGTAACAATATCTACCTAGATATATCCTGACAGATGGTAATTACATCCATAAAGCTGACATATGTACACACCTTATCAGCCTTACAAAAACAGTCATATCTGGCCTAACAGATAATCAACTTTTCAAGCTTTTCTCTACTTTTGTTAATATTGTGCCAGTCATATTGTGCAACCCTCACCATAACTAAAAGATTTAGTTGGAGACGCTTTTGCCCTGAAGTTCATCAAACTTTACAGTGTCAGTGTAATGGCCCAGATAACCACTGTGCTATATGCTTTATATCTTACTTTTTTATGTAAATACTTCATTTATCTGATGCTTTATTATATCTTTATTCTTCATATACATTGCATTTATTTGATCATCTGTGTTTTTTTTTCTGATGCTGATGGAATTTTAATTTTCTTGAGGTAACCTTTCCAAAAGGATCAATAAATCTATCTAATCTAATCTTATCTAATCTAATCTAATCTGTTTTTCTGATGGAAACATGATGGAAAGATAAATCAGCTACAACTTGACTCAGTGGCAAAGCAGATAATATGAGTCAACAAGCCACACTGTAGTTCAGTTCAAATGTTCTCATGTGCCTTCAGAAATACCTAATACAAACAGCTCCGTATCATGGGATTCAGATGAGCTTGTTCCTAAAATGGCTCGACAGTGACTTCACTTTTACTTTATTTTCCACCTCAAGCTTGTTGCAAACAACATGATGAGGAAATTTCACCACCTACGGAGCACGCATTATTCCTCTCCCACATGCTGTACGTCACAGCTAATGTTCATTAGAGGAAACTGGCCCTGACAGAGAATTTGTACTATTGTTAAATCTTCCCCTCAATGTATATACATATATGTTTGTTATAGATGATGTTTCCACCGAACAATAACATGGTAGAGGGTAAACCAGTAAAGGGACACCCACTGAAACTCTCAATTGCCACATTTTTTTTTCTATTTTTTTCACATTTCTTTTTTATTCTATAACTTGCGCCCCTCTGATAAGAAAAACTCTTTCAGATAACTTTGGTTAAATTATATTAGTTTATTAAGTTATAGCTTAAGTTCTATGCCACCATGAATAGCATTTAAATAATGTTAAATATACAGTACATCAATATAAAATCACACCTACAGCAGCTTAGATGAAATACATTCTCATTCTTTGAAATCGAGAACTTAGCACACTAAACATTTTCTTACAGTAAACACAATATTGTAGACATTCATTGTAATATGATAGTGAGATAAAAACAGAATATGTCAAATAAATATTCTTATCATTCTAAATGTACATATTCCAAAGCCTTAAATTCAACGTGTAAGGCTGTTGATTGCCCACTTGATACACACCGGTACGTGCTGTGATCAGCTGTTGGCCGTGTCATCATGCGCTTGATGAAATTCAGTCCTCCTTTTTTTTGCAGCATGTGCTTGCTGCGGTGTTTCCCTGGTTAGCTGATGATGAAGCTTTGACACTGAGGTGTCCACGGCCTTGACCACTCTTGACCACTTTTTTCGTTACCATAAAGCTGCAGCATTTTCAGACTGGAGTAGGGCTTCCACTTTGTTCAGAAACTGGCTGAAAGGAGCTTGAGACCAGCTTTCACATGCACATTCACTGGAGTTTGTCATCATCTAAAAAGCAGGGCAAATAAGCACATTTTACTTTGAGTACTCCATTTTTAGATTTTAGTTTTCAAACTAGGCAGTTTCAAAGACTTACCTGGCCTTTCGACGTTCGTTCTTCGATTTCTATCTGGAAGAAATCAATGGCCTGATCGATGTCTTCCTTGGGGTCCGCACATTCCTCTCTTACTGTTCCATTTAGTTCTTTCATGATGCAGTCCATGGCTGTAGTAACACATTGGCCCTGTTCGTATAAGAGAGAGATGTTTTTACTTCCTTTTGCTGTAGCAACTGAGTCAGATCTGTGGCTGCACGCACACAAGTCAGCAAGCAAAAGAAGCTGTAGATGTGTGAGGTGTTCACACCTGGCAAGCCCATTTCCTGTACTAGAGAACCTTTACATGTGGTTATAGAGGCTCTACTATACAACCCTAAATATTGAGCTCGATGTTGGGGAGCCCCCAGTATTGCCTTTTATTTGTCTCAGTACATAAATCAACTTTATGCCGTTGTTACATGATGTCTTGAAATGCTTCATAAAACTTGAATCACCTGTAAATCACATAGCAGTGTAGCTCAGACGGATCCTTACCTTGATATTTTTCGGAGTGTAGAAGGTTGAATCAGAAGGCTATGTGGATAGAAGAAAAAAAAAATTAGACTGTATTAGCAACTAACAGAAAATGACCAAATAGATAAAGCTGACTTACACATTTGACATTATCCCGCATAAAGCTGATCTGTGAGTCTTCTATAGGTAGAGATCTTGCTTGAAAACAACGAAAAAGAATAACTATCCAGAATGTAATCCTAGTGAAGTGCTCCATATCAAGCTTAAGGCTTTGTCAGTGTCATAAACCAGTTTCTCACATGAGGTGTTGTATTGATCTGCTGAGCCCCTGTGCTGCTTTGACTTTATAGAGGTGTGGAATGGAAAGGGTGGGCTGATAAAGTTGTATTTTCACCTAATGCATCTGCGTTTATTTTCCTCTGCATGACACTTGGAATTTTTTTTTCTCATTGCTGCTGCATGGTAAAATCCCTCCAGTGGCTAATGCAGTGCAGAAGTTCAAGCGGTCTGAAACTGGTTTACTTTCTCTTGTTTGTGGTGTAAAGGGTTTGTACTTCACCCCTCTTGTTAGCTGACACTTTCTACTTTTATGAAGGTTTGTTAAACTTACTCCAGGCACTTTGACTATTTGTGTTTGTAATGCACAACTAAATAAGGCAGAGCTCATGACACGAAGTAGTTAGAATATTCTTGTTTTGTTTTTGTGTCGTCTTTTCAAGCAAAGTTCACCTTGAGTTCCACCATCAGCTTTGCAAGCACACAAGCAGACTTAATGTAAACATATACGGCAGGTTATGGAAATATGTGACTAAATAAAGCAGGTGAATGGAAAGAAAAGAGGATAAGGATTTTTTAAAGCTGTATCCACAGTATTGCGTATTATTAGATGATCAGTGGCCCAAATTTACCATAGTTTTTGCAAGATATGAAAACCTTACGTTGACATAAGGCCACTTAAAGCAACTTTATTTGTATTAAAACATAAAACATCAAGCTACAGTTAAAAGGAAAAAATGCTTGGTTTACTCATTAATGGTTTGTCAAATAAGAGGTATGGCACTGTAAACTGTAATAATCGTAAAGTAAACGTCTTCCTTGGTGGTGGTGGTGGGTGGGGACTCCTGAAATCCACTGTCATTTCCACAGTGTTAAGGTGGTTAGATAAATAGGTTGAGAAATTGATTGGTTGGTTCACTGGCTGATTGATTGGTTCATGGGCCTATTGGTTGGACAAGTGGTCGGTTGGTTGATTGATTATTTGATAGGTTGATTTTTGATAGATTGGTAAGTTGGATGATCGGCCTTGTGGTTGATTTGTTAAATGATTGGTTAATTGTTGGTTGATTAATTGATTGGTTGGTTGACTTGTTGTTTTGGTTAATCAGTTAATATTTAGTTTATTGGTGGGTTAATTGGTTGATTTGTTGGTTGAATGGGTGATTGGTATATTGATTTGTTGTTTGATATTTCGTTGAGAGTTAGTTAAATGGTTAGTTGGTTTGTTGGTTGTTGATTGGATTGTTGGTTGATATTTGGTTGATTTATTTGTTTTTTGGTTGGTTGATTGGCTGATTGGTTGGTAGACTTGTTAGTTAATTGAATGATTGGTTTGTATTTGGTTGTGTGGTTGGTAGGCCTGTCACGATAGCGAATTTTGCCGGCTAACTGGTTGGTTGATTTGTTTGTTGGTTGATTGGTTGATTGACATTGATTGACATTGATTGACATGCATGCATATTTAAAGAAAACCCCACCGACAACAACTGTAGTTAATCACATTTTATTTGCAATATGGCACCTTACAATAATAAGTTAAGTTGATTTGAAAGAAAGAAAATAAATAAATAATGTGAGAACCTTTTGCAGTGTCTTACCAATAATTTAAATAGAATAAAAGTCACATTTGAGTCTAGTGTGTAAAAATAGATATTGATAGGATTAGAGGAAACATCTCTTCTTCAAGTGTTGATCACACATTCCCGGCCATGTTGAGCTCCTTCACAAATTTCTCCGTCGCCTTCACAAAGCCTTCAAACTGCTGGAGGTATTCCTCGCTTTCCCACTTGCACTGTTCCTGAGAAGAGATGGATGGTTTAGCATTGGATCATGACAGAAGAGATTAAGATCATTATAAGACATGCTGACCTCAGTGCATTCACGTTGTTCTATTTTAGGTGTATGCGACAGACTTTGCTCATACGAGTGCCTTTTTCAATAATGCAAACAAAGTGCATGTAAAGAGAACAAGATGTGGGTCAACAGGTGCCAGGTGTGAACAGCTGAGCTTAGAGCGGCCCAGGTCTGAAAGAATCGTCTCAAACTCATTGTCAACGCCAAGTATACACCCCTTTGCGTTTGCATTAACAGGCACTGCAGATGCCAACCTTTGAGGTCCACTCTGGCCTCCTCACCTCTCTGGTTTTTCTCTTTTGATCCACATTGTGAATAACCTCCTCATTATTGACCTCATCACACATACTGTGCACCCGTTATTTGAAAAAGGATCAACAGACGTCTCTCAGCAGGGAAAGTTTAGAGGAGACAGCAACTTGGATGGTGCCAATTGAAAAAAAAATTACCAAAATGTAGCATACATCTGAAGTAGAACAACAAAAACAGAGTCCCTTTTAGTTCTATGAACACAACACTTTCAATACTCACAGGGTGTGGGCACTTTGTGTTTTGTGGGTACGAGTTCCTGATAGCATCCAGTGTGTCAGTCACCCGGTCAACATCTCCTGTGCAGCTTGCCTCGGCCCGTTCCAGTCCTTTAATGAAGCTCTCCAAGGCTGCAGTGTAGCAGATCGGCTGGTAGTGACACAGAAATCATTTAGGTCACACACAGCTCAATAAACACATCATAACAGTGGCAAAATGTAATTTCAGATCAGAGTTCATTAGTGTTGACAAAAATATTAAAATGCTAGCTGTAGTTTTGGTGTTAGATGTTAACAAACAGGCAGACTAGAATAACCCAGGACTTGGATGTAGAAAAAGACTAAAAGACTGAGAAGAGAAAATGAACAAAAGCAGCAAATTCTGTGTGATTTCTTACCTCTACATTTTTTGGGGCTGTGAAAGTCATTTTCTTCTCCTACAGAAAGGAAAACAAAACAAAGAAAAGTTAGAAATATGAATTTAAACCAGGTTAAATCATCTCTTTTCTTGGAGCACATAAACCTCATGTTTATGCTGAGTTGACTTACACATGTGACCTCTTTATGAAGAAAGTTGAAGCCCAGGTCACCCAAGTTGAAATGGAGGTGCTGTCCTGTCTGGCTGCTGCACTGCGTAGTTCCGTCAGTGGGGATGGGGTTTGCTTGAAGGTAGCCGAGGAGGAAAAACATCCAAAGGGCGATTCTAAGGCACTGCTCCATGTTAGACCTTTGAGAAGCTTGACTGCTGTTTGCTGATCAGGTGTTCAATACCTCTGCTCTGAGTATGTGTGACTTGTGACGACCCCTCACGCAGCTTTTATAGGCAAAAGAAGTGGGTGTGTGTTCTTGTTGGAACATCTTTTTTCTTTCCCTATTAATCATGAAAGAAATTTTCCCTTTATCATCTGCGGGGTGAAAACCCAACAAAAAGATTAAGTGGGTACAGATTGATCTTTCTGATAATGATTAAGAAACAATTTAACATATTTTAGCAAAAACCACAGGATGTCTAAAGGATATTTTAGGAGCACTGAGTTTTACCCCTTTAGGAATTAGTCACATCATATTTGTTACACTGCTTAAACTATAATGTATATAGGAGATTTGTTTTTTTGTATGTTTACCCGCATTTTAAAGTGTGCATTTCAGAAAAAACAGCCGCCGAAACGACAGGTGTCAAATGTTTGGTTTCCTTTTTTCAGAGAAGCTAAGAGACCACAAACTTACCTCTAAAACTCATCATTCATCAAAAACAAAATGTGCTTCATTTTTGTAGTTATTTTTTTAATGCAACTTTGTTTTGATAGTTTATATGAAACTATGTTTGCTTTTCATTCATTTCTTGAAAATCAGTAGTAAAATCAGTGAGATTAGTTGTACTTAATAAATGTTTGCTTACGAACTACATTAAAATAAAATGACAGTTTTTGAAGACTTGAGTTCTGGAGTTAATAAATGCAAAAAAAGAAAAGAAAATGTTTTTAAAATTCAAAGTTTGACAGACAGGTTGTACAAGTTTTTTCAAAAGTAAGTGTAAACACTCTGAAAGTAAAAATAAGGGAAAAATAAACATTGAAATAAAGTTTGTAGAAGATTTCAGTTTAAAAAACACAAGCAGGATTAGGAATGGTGACTTTTTACGCACGGTGTTGCTAAAAATAGAAGCTTGGAAGTGTGTTGTAACACACACACAGCAAAAGTGATAACGCCTACAGATTTGTGGGGATCCCCCACAGGAATCCCAGACCACTGAGGTTGATGTGCCAACATCACTGCTCTTCACATCTTGTCACACAAGGTGTTGTCATCAGTTACTCTTTATTGCTCAGCTCGGAGTGAAAATCAGTTAGGTTTCAGTTTTCAGAGGTGTTCCCTTAGGGTCACTGTAAAAAGAAAATATGACAGGATTTTGACGTGAGAGAGGAGGGTGGGGAAATTTCTATCCATGGAAATTTGTTGCTCTATGGGGGCATTCCTGCTGTTGCCATATCTGTGAAGTCAGTGCCCACACGAGAAAATAACTTCTGCTCTCACTTAACCTTCATGAACTTTCACCAGATCGGTCAAGAGAAAGTTCTTTAGATGAAACAATGACAAGATAATCACAAGCTAAACCAAGATTTTACAATTCAACATTTCAGCTTTAGAAATTTCAGGTTGAACTCAAATTTAACTCTGTGCAAACTTCCTGCTTGAACATATCATCATGCTGTGTGAAATCCTGTTGCAATTTTCTTTCATGTTCCCGCGAAGCACAAACTTTAGAGAGTTGAAGATGCAGCTGCCATAAGCCTTTATTTCTAACATTACAATACCTTTAATTTCAATCCATTACAGCGTGAATGACGTTTGCCTGGAGTGTTGTGCTTTTGTTGTGTTTAGTTTCATTCTTGTGAATCTGATGCAATAATATACATGTCAGTCACATGAAATGAAACATGCCGTGCTGCTTTTTTTGTGTTTGCTTGTTGCAAACAAAAACTTGACAGCTTGACTTTTGTGAAAAATCAACAAAGAGCGTGTGTGATATCACGCTGGTGCACCTCTTCATCAGAGCTCGCTGACCACTGTGCACGCAGAGGCTTGACTGTACCATCACAGAGGAGTGAACATGATGCTTGAGTGTGGATATTCAGGTATATGTGTCTGTGTCCACTCAGTGATATGTTGATAAAAACAGAATCTGATGGTTTGCAAATTAATTAGCTTGGCATATGATGGGTTCTCTTTTGTCGTATTTTCAGTTTTATGGCATTTCCCGAGCATGGTGTTATACGGTTTTGTCTATGGGTACAGTGATGGTCTCTGGAGGTGATTTCTTCCAGGGACTTCCACTTCAGAGTTGTTTTATTTTCTTATTTTTTAATCTAGTGCTGTCTGAAGGCCCAAAGATCACAGCCACTGAGTATTCAGATGATTACTTTACTTTACACTTTTAAACCAAGGAACTCTATTAAGGAATTGTCGAGCCGACACCCACACAGTCTCTTACTGGCTGAAGGTTAAACCTCGTGTTTGATTTGTTGGTGGAAAACGACTAATAAACACCTACAAGGTGGATTCAACCAGTCGATGACAGTTTAGTTAAAAAGTTCCAGCAGGTACCTTTCCTTTCCTGTCCTCCTACTTTCTCTTACTTTCATTGTTGAAAAGCTCAAAAAAAGTTTCTGTGAATGATTTCACTTTCAGGAGACATGATATGTATGCTTCCATGTGTTAAACTAAAATTGTGTAAGATAGTAAGATGAGAGCAGACTTGAAAGTTTCGATGAAAAACGTCTTGGTGATGGTGACATCTGCTTTCCTCCTTGGTGCAATCTTTAAAACTGAAAAAGGAACCATCAGTCATGTTTGCCACCAGTTAACATATACACACACCTACAGCACAGGACATGCAAATCACATTGCTCATATTGGGGAGCTTTCCCCTCTACTTTCCATCAGTTATTTTGTGTTTCTTCCAAATTTCCAAACTCGACCTTCTTCTGTCTTTAGAAACATTTTAATGACCGCTTATCTCGTATGTGTTTAAAACTATATCTTATCACCTCTTTATTATTGAGATGCTGAAAAAAACAAAAACAAAAGATGTGTTTATCTTGAAAAAGAAAGTTGTTGAAGTTGTGGGCTAAGTGTGAAACTGTGGCTCCATCTGTTATCAGTCTGATGATAGTCCAACCCTTGTGCAGTTATAGAGAATGGATTTAAATTCTGAAAGTTTTACCGCTTCTTGCTGACAGCTGAAGGAAAACAATCCAGTCCTATCCAGTCTACTTTATTTGTACAGCACATTATAGAAAACAGCGACATTTAGCAAAGTGCTGCACAGTGTCATAAAAGAGGAGAGTTTGTAGAATTAGAAATATAAAATGAGTTAGGACAGGGCATTTATTTGATCGTAATTAATGATCTCGATAAATCTCAGTTCAATCACGGTGCTCAACTGTGGGCATATTTACTCAATCAAACATGGCGGAAATGTGTGTGACAACAGCCAATCAGAGTCAAGTTTTTCCTGCTCACTTCTTTAAGTTGCCGGAGAAGTACACAGAATAACAGAACATGGCGCTGAGGGCAGCAAAATAGATGTCAGCCGTGACTTTGAGTCATCCTCTGAAGATTCCATTGTAGAGAAGAAAAGTTACTCAACATTGGTTGAGTGGCAGTGGTTCGGGTATCTCCGACGTGATGTGGAACAATTATGCCGAGGTATGTCGGCAATTTGTGCCCTCACAACAGATCGGTGTAACCATTTGAAGAAGTTCTTCCCGAGTGATTATGTGGAAAACATGAAAATGCGAGCGGGGTCTGCACAGCCTGCCACTGGAACAAGTAGCATTAGCAGTTCAGCCACAACCAACCGACACAACAGAGCAGCAATCAATCGTATCATCTACGTTTACATCATCTAATGTTTACGTTTTAAAGCGTCTTCATCATCACTGAGGGGGTAATTTGTTTATTTTGGGTCTTGCATACCTGCAAAAACACTCAGGACTGTAATAGGGGTGTCCCAATACAACTTTTTGACCTCTGATACAATACCAATATTGTAGCCTTCAATATTGACCGATACCATTATTGATCAGATATTGGCACAGAATTGTGCATGACCAGTTTTCACTCAGCTGCAATGTCTATTTGGACTTTAACAAAAAATACCGCCACAGAGCCGACATCACTCCTACTCCTTGATTTTTTGTTTGTACCTTAGTACACACTGTTGTTGTGATTTTGTGTGCTCAGCTTGCTGGATCAGGGTGCTGCTAGATAGAGGTGCTGGAGCGGAGTCTGGAATAGACTGCTTGTATCAGAGTGCTAATATCGGAGATTTTCGATGCAGGGTATAATCTGATGTTTGTTTTTTTGCTGATATCGGACCGATATCCGATATCAATATCATTTCAGGACACCCCTAGACTGTAAACTAGTTTCCTGAACTATTAAATATTTATCTATATTTGTTGTACTGTTGAGTAAAAATGGTTTTTATATTTTTCAATGTTTATCTTTTTTAATTTTTTTATTGACTTTGTATGTTATTAAAATGTTGAACTAATTTCTAGTTTCTTTAGTTTTCAGTAGAGATGCATTAAAACAGAGTTTAAAAAAAGTTTTAAAAAATACCAAAAAAAATCGGGATAATAACCGAGATCAGACGATATGACAAAATATATCGTGATCATTTTTTGGGCCAAATCGCCCTGTCCTATAGCACAAAAAAAGCAGGGCACCCACAATAAAAATGACATGGTCGCCAGCTGAGAGATGGAGACAGTTTAAGGCACAGTTTAAAGCAGGTAGTATTGGAGACATTAGGATATGAGGGGGACGCTTGTCCACATCCATAGCTGAAAAGCAGTTTTTGAACCCGGCGTTAGGGACCCCAAAAAACGGGGGTGCGGGTTGCAGAAAGTTAAAAGATATTTTGTGGTGCTGTACCTGCACCTGAAGACACTTAATAATCAGATATTGTGGTTTAAACCTTTCGTGTGTGTCAGTTTTCAGTTGGCCAAGGTTTTATGGTTTTTAGCGTACTCTAACTCTACCTTTTTTAACTTTTTTTTATCAGTTTTTAAAAGTTCAGTTAATTTGTGCCCTTTGCATACCGCTTTCTATATGACGCTCTGTGTGGAGAGTGATGTCATCTGAGTTACACACTGACCATAAAATCCACATGTCCCAAAAAACGAAATGTCACTCTTGTCACCACGTTTTCTCCAGTCAGAGAGAAAGAAAAAGTGTTTCCGTGATAGTAGTGATGTCAGTGGAGGTTTTGTCACCACAGACTACCACAGTTCTATATCACACCCATCTCGTGGCTTTGCAGAGTATACGTATAACACTTGAGTCAGCTTTTAGCTAAGGCTTATCAAATATCTGTAGTGTCTGGTATTTTATATTGTCCCATTGTACTTACAAGCCTTTTATGTTGGCAATGACGCATCTTATTTGTAACAGTGGTACTTGTCAAAAGGGTGGGGAAAAAACCTGGATTTAGCTTTTTGGCATCAGTTGCGATAAATTAATTAAAGGGCGATTTCAGAAGAATTAAAGCATTTTTTTGGCGATCACAGATGCTTGTCGGTTAACTTTTTGTGACCGCCATGTTGGAGAGCCATTTCAACCAGCCCCAGTAAATTGACTTCGGACAAGGCTCAGACATGCATGTCTAGGGCTGGACGGTCTGGCCTAAAATTAGAATCCTATATTTTTTACATCAAACTCGCTCTTTGATTCTAATTGATTTTTAAAAAGAGAAAAAAAAATGATATGACAAAGAGTTGACTGAAAGGCAGTTTTAGCCTTCAAGTGATTAGCTCACTTTTGCAGTCATCAAGATGGGAAGCTGTTGCTGATGAAATGCACCGCCAAACACACCTCAGGCTGCACGATAACAGGACCAACAACCTGTTTTAGTCAACATAACCACGGCCCCTACAGCTTCTTAGCTATGTTTGCCTTTGCAAGACAAATGCACATAACAAAACTTGAAGTGTGTTCGTGCGCCGTTTACCTACTGTAGTGTCTAAATAAGTGATCAAACATTCATATACTGTATGTGTGAAAAACCAACAATAGCTCCCCTGTGCAACCAAACCTGGCGCTGCGGCTCAATGGGAGAGCAGGGTAGGCTCTTGGGTGCGATCCCAGGTCCTGCTGTTAACACACTGGAGCAGGATACTCAACCCTAAAAACAGTCAAGCGGTTAAACCTGCCGGAGACAACATTTGTCAAAATTGCAGCCCTAATGTAAGGTAAAAGTGCTCTGAGTGGCCAAAAGACTAGAAAAAGTGCTGAATCCATTTACTGTGTGCAGCCACACAGATGAGGGTCAGGGCTACTTTACACTGGGAGGAGATTTGAAAACATGTGGCCAAACCTCGGCTCATCCCCGGTGTTTATTGGCACCATATCTTTAGCGCTCTTCAGCACTATTGCGTATCCCAGTCATAGGGTGCAGTGAGGTGGTTGTGGCTGCTATAATCTGGCTGGCTGTACACACAAAGGGTCAGGTACTGTTTCTATTTCATTGAACGAAACCTTGGTTTCACTTTTTGATCATAGTTCCCAATGATTTTTAACCCTGATTTTAATATTTTCAAATGTTAAAAAAAGATTTAAACAAAAGTAAGGCTGCTTTTATTTTCGGGACATTTGGGCTCTCAAAAGTGAACTGTTACCAGTGATAAGATGTGTCTTTTATTCTTCTTATATGAAAATTTCTCCCATGATGTGACATGATGTTACACCGAAGCAGCAGGTCCTGGCAGATCAGTAAAAGTTTATGTGGACTGCAAAATTTTTACTGAAGTTAAACTCTGTAAGATTTTAGTCGCCGTCACGAGCTGAGAAGTGGAACAGATATAAATGTGCGTCGTCAAATCCACAAATCTTAGAAACATGGAGCGAGTTCCCAGTACCTAAAGCCCATGCACATGTAGTCGCAGCATAAATTTTTTATGGAGTATTTATGAAGTGTGGTATTATAAGTTACAGTGATGACCAGCAGCCGCCATGGCTTAATGAAAACACTGATGCTTCTGCAGCCCTGTATTTTGAACATGCTACAAGTTTTCTTCAGGCCACATGTGAAAAAACTCCAGACCCACAAGAAAACAAACCAAGAGGAATTCCCAAAAGCGAAAAACTCTCAGTGTGTTGTGTTGAAGACCTTTGTCAGCTGCTAAGCTCAAACCCGCGGGTGCAGCACAGCTGGTTCGGGTTGACGGCTTTCATCACTGTGTGGTTGCAGCTGGTGGTTAGATTTTTTCAGAGCAATATAGACGTAAAGCACGTTTTTGCAAAGGATTCACACCTGCAGTCTGCAGTAATGTACGACCTCCTCAAAATCAGTGTCCACCTCAGATGTTAACTCACATATGCAACACCAAACCTGTGTACTTACAGCACATCTTCGAGTTGTCTTACACAGTCTGAGACGCTGGGTTGCCAGAGGTTTGCTATAAGAGGATCAAAAGATAAATATTGTATCTTCTGATGTTACTGTTGTATTCAGCCATAAATCAAGATGACTGTAGTGTCTCTAAGTCCAGTAAGCTTTTCCACAGAGACCAACCCAAAACATTCAGGGGTTCAGAAACCTCTTTATTGACACTTCTTTCACTGGCAGCTCACTGGTTTTTCTGATGTTGTGCTACTTTTGAGTAAATCAGTCAAAATCTAAAATAAAAACGAACATGTAAGTCATTTCACTTCATTCGGGGAGAGAGAGAGACGAGTGCACACGAGCAAATCAAACACAGTCGCGCAGAGATTAACTCAAAGATGACCGTATGTAAAAAAAGGAGGAAGAGAAGCGAGCAGACTCCAGTTACTTCAACTTTTCCTCGTACTTTTCTGTCATTTCTGTTATCAGCATGTCCAATTTGGTCAGTGTTCAGTGGCTTTTTCCGCACGAGCAAGTAAGGATGCATAGATCCAATCCTGGTATCGGGTATCAGCCAGATACTGACCCAAGAATCCAGACTGGATATGGGTGACAAAGGGCCGATCCGGACGGCTCATCCTTGGTGTGGATCTGTTCAGCTCAGTGGAGGGAAAGAGGCTCAGCAGTCCAAAGGAAGCTAATTTGAGCTTGGGATGGGAATTGAAAACCGGTTCCTGAGGAGAACCGGTACCTACTAGTTAGAACCATCAACATTATTTGCCTTTCTTCTTATTAATGTCTCAGTTGAGGCCGTATGCCAAGTCAACAGAATGTTTCCCAGCAGAGCGGTGAAGGTAACTGCGTTTGTCCCATGTTTACAATAGCACAAAGCATAGAGACTATTAATTTGATGTAAGACGTAAATGTGAAAGAACACAAAAATGTTCTTATTTGGTGATAGTGGTTCACAAGAATCGTTAATGTTTCACAAAAGCAGAATTGATGGTATCGATGTCAGAATATAGGAATTAAAACGTTGTATTGGTGCATCCATACCAGTAAATGCTCGAATCAAGTAGAAAATAAAAATGAACTTTAACTGGTTTCATATCAAAGTTTTAAGTCCAAGCACCCTGACTACAGTGATCAGCATTTTTGGTTAGCATGTTTAAATGATGAACTCAAGTAAAGGGACTGAAATGTTATGATAGATCTAGATAAAGGTCGTAAATTGACTTCGGACAAGGCTCAGACGTGCATGTCTAGGGTTGGACGGTCTGGCCTAAAATTAGAATCCTATATTTTTTACATCAAACTCGCTCTTTGATTCTAATTGATTTTTAAAAAGAGACAAAAAATGATATGACAAAGAGTTGACTGAAAAGCAGTTTTAGCCTTCAAGTGATTAGCTCACTTTTGCAGTCATCAAGATGGGAAGCTGTTGCTGATGAAATGCACCGCCAAACACACCTCAGGCTGCACGATAACAGGACCAACAACCTGTTTTAGTCAACATAACCACGGCCCCTACAGCTTCTTCGCTATGTTTTCCTTTGCAAGACAAATGCACATAACAAAACTTGAAGTGTGTTCATGCGCCGTTTACCTACTGTAGTGTCTAAATAAGTGATCAAACATTCATATACTGTATGTGTGAAAGACCAACAATAGCTCCCCTGTGCAACCAAACCTGGCGCCTTTTACAAAGGGACGGCTGCGGCTCAATGGTAGAGCAGGGTAGGCTCTTGGGTGCGATCCCAGGTCCTGCTGTTAACACACTGGAGCAGGATACTCAACCCTAAAAACAGTCAAGCGGTTAAACCGGCCGGAGACAACATTTGTCAAAATTGCAGCCCTAATGTAAGGTAAAAGTGCTCTGAGTGGCCAAAAGACTAGAAAAAGTGTTGAATCCATTTACTGTGTGCAGCCACACAGATGAGGGTCAGGGCTACTTTACACTGGGAGGAGATTTGAAAACATGTGGCTAAACCTCGGCTCATCCCCGGTGTTTATTGGCACCGTATCTTTAGCGCTCTGCAGCACTATTGCGTATCCCAGTCATAGGGTGCAGTGAGGTGGTTGTGGCTGCTATAATCTGGCTGGCTGTACACACAAAGGGTCAGGTACTGTTTCTATTTCATTGAACGAAACCTTGGTTTCACTTTTTGATCACAAAGCATAGAGACTATTAATTTGATGTAAGACGTAAATGTGAAAGAACACGGTGCAAAAATGTTCTTATTTGGTGATAGTGATTCAAGAATCGTTAATGTTTCACAAAAGCAGAATTGATGGCATCGATGTCAGAATATAGGAATTAAAAAGTTGGATTGGTGCGTCCATACCAGTAAATGCTCAAATAAAAAATAAAAATAAACTGGTTTAATTAAGTTAAATTTCCAGAAAATGGGAGCGTATAGGACTGCAGTAGAGACGAGTTGTTTATTTGTTTCTTGTTGTTTTTCTTGAGTACTATTGAGTCTTAACCCCAGTGTCACCACAGCTTCAGTGCTGTAAACATGTTTGTTAACAGATGTACACATGTACACACGGTAAAATCCCACCTCGACCTGAGCGGTGTTGCTGAAATCCCCTGTCATCTGGGAAGTCCTCAGCAGTGGTGCTCATAGAGGGGCACCTGCACAAAAGCTTGTTTGCAGCTGTCATTGTGAGAGTTGTTTGTGGTTTTCTGAACTATGACAGCTCCTGTAGTAAATCCTCCTGGTTTTTAACCACTGAAGACGCTGGTGAAGTGGGTCACAACACAGTTTCTTCCCCTTAGGCGACCACTAATGCTTTATTTATTGAGTAAACAATCTAACAAAATTAGACAGCTAAGAAAAATGAAATAACAACAGTGACATTAAAAACTATTTAATTTTTTTTTTTTTTTTAAATAAGTCAGAACTTTCTAAATCTGGGATAAAAGCACACGTCTGCGTTTCGGTTTGTCGCCCTCTAGTGGTTAGGTACAGCTACAATAACCAAGTTAACTTGTCAACAATTACAGGCATGTGTATAAATATTTCAGTGACATTTAATTCATTTTGTCAAGAACAAGTTTTTAATAAATAACTGCTGATTGAAGTTAAGCCACTTTGGAAACCCTCTGGTCCTTTTTGGAGTTAGTGGCATCTTTCATGGCATCTTAAACAGGTTGACACTGAACCTCAGTCTTTGTTCTTGGCTAGTTATAAAGAGTTTGAAGAGTACAAAGCATCCATAAATGTAGCCAAGAAAAACCTTATTTTCATAAAATTAACACATTTTGAATCAACAGTATCAGGCTCTACCAAGGATACCTCTTTATTATAACTCTCCCATCTCTAAACATTGCATTCAACATATCATACATTCAAAAACAAATAGAGAAAGATCACGAGAGGACCCCTAAAGAAACAATAAAAGTAAGGAAAGGCTCAGAGTCGGGTGATATTTTCAGATTTTTGTTTTCAACCTTTTTTTTTTTCAGACTTAAGATGTGATTTTCATGTCGCTGTTAAAAAGAGAAAATGAATATTTTATATCAGGTTCAACAGTCATGGCACCATTTCAGTCTAAAAAAAAAAAACACATTAATACATCTTAAAACACAAAGCTGAGCACCACATTTTACACGAAGTCCAAGTTTGTTTCTAGTCCAAAAAGATGTCTTTTGGCTGCAACCGCTTAATTGCTTAAGAAATACAGGTCAAAACTATGAGGATTAACATTTTTCTGCAGTATAACACCACCTACTGGTTGGACAGATAACAGTCATTCAGGAATACACAGGTGCAGCTCAAAAAGTGAGAATCTCCTTCTCTCTTAATTTGATTCAGTAAGTGAAACTAGATCCACCTCACACAAAGTGAAATAATTGTTGATTACAGATAAGTTGAAAACTTAAGAATATCTGGTTTTATTAGAGAGAGGCCAATAAAAAAACATCAGTCACTTGCAATCAATCATCAGGAGGTAGAGCAAGCGAGTAGTTTTAGATTTCTGGGTTCATCGTCTCTACTCCTCTGAAATAGACAGATGACACCAAAGCTATTATCAGCAGATCTTACTTTGAAATCAAAGGTGTCAGCCGAGGGCTCGGTCTTGTAAAATATATCATATCAGGCCAACATGACTGTGATACGGTTATCATTGTGGTAAGGTCTGGCTCAGGTTAAACTCTTTGTACAATACAAATAAATTCAAGACATTTATTTTTGAAAAGAACAGTATAAAAAAACAGCTAATGTAATTTAACTAAATAAATCTAGGAATAATTATTTAAAAAAAATTAAAGTGCAGCCACAATATTTTTAAATAAAATTAAATTTAAAAAGAACAGAGCTAACAGTAAATAAATTACTTATTTAATAAATTATGTGATATCGAACCGGTGCCTGGACTCCAGTACTCGCCGACACCGATGTCAGCATTTTCAGCAGTATCTGAGCAATTTCCGATACTGGTATCGGAATTGGAACAACTCTACACTCACTGATATTTATGAAACACGGTTGGAAAAAGTGGCCCTAAAAAGTCGTGGAAGGCCACACACAGCAGCTGTAGTGCAGCAGGGCTGAAATTTCAGTTGATGGCGATCACAATATCGCTTTTATTTAGATAAGATGATATCTAGACTGTGTTCGGTTAACCCAACCAGTTGTTCAGCCATGTGGGTGTCAACCTGTAGGAAAGATTGAGTTTTTTTTAAGAATGTAAGTTTCTTTGGAAAATCTCTGTTAAGCAGCAGAATACTTGTGTCTCTTATGTTAGAGTCGATGCTCAACAACAAAACATGAAGTCGGTGTTTTTCTTGAAGTCTACTTCTGACTACTTCTGCTCCTCAAACAAACTCCTCAAACCAAAAGCTCTGGATTGCAAACTTTTTATTTTTCTCAGATAAATACAATAATTTCAGTAAAAAAAACTCCTGAATTATACCACATCATACATAGTATATATATTTATATGTATATGCCATTAAATACGCTGAATTCTTTGAGAACTACCACAGATAAATTAACTTTCACTCTGAGTGAAAAAGAGGGAGAAAAAAACAACAAACTGTCACGTCCACTAGGTGGCAGCAAAGCAGCTTTAAAGAAAAACTTTCATAGCTTGAGTGGGTTCACCACAACAATCTAAATAAATATTGAATAAGTTAAACATTTAAAAGTCAGTCATTTTTTAGACATTCATCAGCATAGTGTCTTCTTTACATTCAGACTTGGTCTTCAGCAGATTCTCGTCTTTTTCAGTTCATTCTCAGTCGCATTATGGCCTGAAAAAGGACAAAGAGATATGAATAAATTGAACAGAGAAGTGTTAAAGTGTGGCACATGTGTGTGAATATATACTTTTTAGAGTATTTTAAAAAGTGTCCTTACACTTTTAATCAGAGTCTCCAGTCTGTTGAAAAATACTGTTGCGTTTTGTTGCGGGTGTGCGGAGCAGGCTTGGCAGGTAGTCTGTGGAGCAGAAAAGTCATTTACTACAGATCAGCCAATATGATTGTGACACACAACAGTACCTGACACATCAAGAAAATCTTATCACAAATGCTGAAGTATGTCTCACCTGAGCGTTCTCAGAATCACAGAAGTTCAGACCCTTTACCTGAAATCAATAAAACACATTTGTGCGTTTTAGAAGTGGAAAATCCTACAAAGCTGACTTCACTCTTACACAGAAAGCAAGTCTCTTCTGCTCTTTTCTGAGGTACTCACAGTCAGAGGATCTTTCAGGCTCCTGTAGAGTTTGACTCGCTTTTTCCCTGCACCGTCCGGCAGGTTATCCCGAAAGCACTGCAAGGCTGACAGACAGCAGCAGTCCTGATTTTGGAAAAGACAAAAAAGTTTGTGAGCCAAACAACCGATGCAGTAGTAAAAAAAAAAAATTGCTTATATGCATATCTTTTAAAGTTTTAAGCTCTTTTTGGAACATTTTGCCTTTATTTGCCAGTGAGGACAGCAGAGAGTTGGGGAAAATGTGCAGAAACTGGCCATGGCTTAGATCACTGGGCTAACAATGCTCTGACATGCACATCTTCATAGTCTTTGTCTAGTTTGTCCAGTTTTTGAGATATTTTTATGGAAATGATGTCACACTGACTTGAAAAATGCTAAAAATGAGTACAACTGAAATTGCATCACTAAAATGAGCGTAATTGATATTAACCCTCTGAAACTTGGAGTATTTGAACAAAAATCTGTGTTATTCTCATCCATGTTAGAGATAATTTAACTTGGAATAGATTCATAGAAACTTTGCTCTTTCTTCTTGGTTTTGGCGTGCTGTTTAGTAGATATTATATGAGAAAAATTTACATTTAAAGTTATGGCATTTTCAAATATTGATCAAAGGTATTTTAAAATGGTGGTAGGACGACTTCGACAATAATGAGGAGAAACAATTTTTACAGCTTTAAAAGTTGCATCTTCTCAACCTTCTGTCTTTTCAACTTCTCCAGGTCTCATACAGCATTGTTTTTTTCTAATTGGTGATATTTTATTTTATGTGACATTCTTGTGTCAGCTTAAAAGGGGAAAAAAAGCTCCACTGAAGAGGACATCAAAACATTTCCAAGAAAGCAGATCAGGTTTCGTGTCATGACTCTATCATTGCTGTCAACTTTCCAATCACATGCGTTCTTGTCACTTTTCCCTAAAACTGAAACTTAACCAAAAAAGGCTCCCTCTTGTTTTACTCTAATCTGTTTCCATGTGCCATGTGTAATACTGTCATACTTTCATGTATCAAAAACCCAACAAGCCTCACAACTTAGTGTACAACACAGTATGCCACGAAGGTTAAGAGAGTTTGTCCGAGTTAACGCTCCAGAACACAAACTGTGATTTATTTTTCTCGCTTTACTAATTCATCCGTATTTTATACAGTTTAGCACAACAGTGTCAAAAGTGTCAGCAAGACAGGAGTTCTCATGTATCAAATTCACGCCGGTGTACGTTTTGAGCGTATGCGGTGTGATGAGGAAGTGTGTGAGTGGTTTTGTCTGCTCTCTGCCTGATTACTCATCACATTTCGCTCGAGAGTGCAAAGGAAGTTGTGAGAAAACAGTGAGCAAGCTCTTGACTTGACTCAACCAGGAGGGCTGACAAGAAACAGCTCTGAGTTTACAAGCAATTTACAAACACACGGTGTGTGTGTGTGTGCGCTCTTGATTTAAAACGAGAATGTGCATCCGTAATCGGGACTGTTTAAGATAAAAGAGGTATGTCTGAAAAGTCCGAACAACACTTCAGTATCTTACAATTAAAGTTTAAGTGAGTGTATTTAATTTTAACTGATGCAGAGAGTTGATCTAAACAGGTAGTTTGGTCCCTGGAAAGTTAGAGAACATTCAATTTGTGTTTGTCTTACACTTTTCAAACAGTGAATTTATTTTGTATAAAAACGTAAAAATAATAGTCTAAAATAAAGTTTGATTTTCTCCTGAAACTGCAAAGAAATTATGTTTTTAAGTGAAGTTTTACTGCACTTTTTAAGACCAGAGAGTACCCTCAAAGATTAACCATGAAGAAGTCATTTCAAATGTTTTTTTTTCTTTTCAAAATCAAATGGCAACAGATGTCAAACTAGATGATAATTCAGTGAAACAAAATTAAAATAATAATAATAATGATAATCTAAATGTAGATAACCCATGAGTAATCAACCACAGATATTAGGCATAGCCGTGGCTGTAACTGTGATGTGAGCTGAAGTTAGTTTGGCTTACCTCGATATTCTGTGGGGTGTACACCAGCTGCTGGCTGTTCTGCAGGACAAACCAACAACATCGTATTAAGCAACAGTTAATGAGACAGAAAAGGGCAAAAAGTGAAAATGTGAGTGTAGAAGAACGTACCTGCAGGCTGTCTTTAAATTTCTTTAAATCACTCAGGACTTCTTCTAATTTTCGGCTCTCCTGTGATCTTCCAAACCCGTTTGTCACCGAGCTGGCCAAAGGGTAGCAACAGAATGCAAAAAGGCAAAAAACAATCAGCTTCATATTGTCAGTGAGAGTTGCAGGTGCCAGATCACCAAAAGTGGCTTTTCTGAAGATTTACTGGCAATGCAGACTGTTGGCTTGCTTACCTTTTTATACATATCCCTGAGGACACAGGAAAACCACTTGCACAGAGCTGGAAAGCTGCAGAAACTGATGTGTGAGTAATGAAATTTTCTTTTCCACTGGCAGTCACCGCTACGTGATGCGAGAGTGTCGTCAAGCGGCGCGTGCGTGGGGCCCATACATACAAGTGTGTGAACGTAAAGCTGTTTGAGTGCACCCGGCAGGAAACTACAGGGAGACGCCACTTCCCATTTTCATTTTGAATCAGTGGAGCCACGGCTGTACCGTGTCATAGGTAGTGTTCGTAGGTGTGGTATTGACAACCTGAATGCATTCACTGCATCCTGGCCGCCTACACAAACACACGGGCCCGTCGCAACAACAGGAAACTATTTTGAAGTTAAACAAATAAACAAAGGGAGAAGTAAAGGAGGAAGTCCTTATCTCCGATGTCTTTTGGGGTTTGAGGCCTCAGCTTCTCTAATTTCATCTTTTCTTCATCGAAAGAAGACAAAACTCTCTCTGTGTGTAAAGATTAGGGAAGTTTGTCAAGTTTCATGCTCAGCCGTGTGGGTGATGCACTGAAACGCCGATGACATGAGAGTCATCTTGATGACGTTATCCTTAATAACGGCCACTGCAGAAGTCCGTCTCTCTCAGTGAGGGTTGAAATGCAACATTTGAAGTAGTCTACGCTGATGATGTTTGATTTATTCAGTCTAAAGCTCCCGTGAAGAGTTTGCAGCTGGATATAAAAACTTAAATTGATATCTGTGCCTTGTTATGACTCCAAAAGGGAAAACTAAAAGAGCATTAGCATCAAGATTCAGTCTTCTGTGTAGTTCTTTCCAGTGATGCAGGGTAGATGTCATGCAAAGTGATAGACTGTTGCTACTTTTTTTCACATTTTCCTTTGCAAAAGTCGCCCTTAGTGATGCGTATGACTGTCGATAGAGTGAAGAAAAGGTTGTTTTGCTGTTCTTTAAAAAACTTTGCTTTAAGGCTACGTTCACACTGCAGGTTTTGATGCACAATTCAGATTTTTTGTTAAATCCAGTCTTTTTGTCATTCACATTACAACAAAGAACGTGGCATCTAATGTGAACGGAATGCATCCGTAGAGTGACGCATGCGCACAAAGCAGGATGTGTCACAGTGTGACGTGTCCGCTTCTTAGGTTCATGTCCTTTGTCTCTTTATATTTAGCGTGAAGGCTTTTGATTTTCCGCTGGCACTGCAGACAGGAATGCTTGATGCCTCGCTCGGCCAATTCCTTGGCAATTTCCTCGAACAGCGCCCGGTTACGGTATGGTATATACAGTATAATACCCCTATATTTTGGCTTGAACTGTCCGGTCTCCCCATATATTCATCAACTCTGTTTCTTCATTTCGCCACTGGCTGTTCTCCGTTCCCTCTTCCGCCATTGCTCTCCGCGCCTGATGTATAGGTCGGATAGACGTGACCTGAGCGTCCACACTGCAGTCACATCAGATACATATCTGATTTATATCCACATACAAAAGAGGCCTAGGCCGGATTTGAAGAAATCAGAATTGCACTGTTCACACTTACATGAAAAAATCATATCTGTGTCACATATGGTTAAAAAATCGGAATTGACCTGCAGTGTGAACACAGCCTAAAACTGGTCGATATGTTTATGTACCAATTTCAAGCATCCCCATTGTTTTTGAACTTTTGGCAAACAGTGATTTCCACTGTTGAGTCATGGCTGTCTTTAATGCAGTGCCACTATAATCAATCAATCAATCAATCAATCAGTAAATCTCCATTAATGTAGTGCTAATTTATCCTGTGCAATCACAGGATAAGACTGGGACCCACTCCCATCCCATCTTTAACCACTTGAGTGAAACACTTACGAGCTTTTAGGAAGTTACAGTGGAGAGGAAGGATGTCCTTAAACAGGCAGAAACCTTGGGCAGAACCAGACTGATGTTAGACAGTCATCTGCTGAGACTGAGCTCGGTTTAGAAAAGAGAAGAGAGGAAGAGATGGACAAACTGATGCATATAGCTGGACAGCAGGCAGGTCCCCTGAAGCAGCCCACAGCTGTGATCCAGAGGAACTTGGGGTCCTTTTTTTTTGGCCTTGTCGACGGAGATTATTAGTCTGAAATTGTAAGGCTATTTGCCGACACGGTCTCTCACAGATTGAATAACCTTCTTATCTGTACTTAAGAAGGACTCAGCCTCTCCGGAGGATACTCAATCACATCACTAATTTGGTAGGAAATTAATCTGATTATTCTAAAAACGTTTCCCTGCACTGCACAACTTTTTCAGAAAATAAATCCATTTTCAACATTTGATTTTACTAAAGGTTCAAATGATCTGCCAACCATTGAACTCTGTTTAATTTATATTTTACAGTGGGGCTGTAATACTTTAGATGTTATCTTTGAAAACCCAGTAACGAGAGAGAGGGTCCTAAATCTTGGCAGTAATGCATTGATGTGTCAGCTCATCTGACCTACAGACGTTTAACCTTAATCAACTATTTTGTAAACTTGGTGTTTCCAGCGTGTAAGTAACGTGTCAGACAGCCGAGGAAATGAGGCCCAGTGACCCAGTCAGTGAGGCTGTAATTTAGACTTTTTCATCCTCTTAGTTCTTTTTTTGTTGTTGAGTGCTAGTGCTTTAGTTATCTCAAAAGCCTGTCTCAAAATGACGTTTTCCCCCCCAAACATTTTGAAGATTTTGACTTATTGTTCTCACAAGCTAAATTTCAAATCACAAGATATAAACTAATATTTAAAAAAGTACAGTCTTGGCACTTTGCTCTTGAACCTCAGCTTTGAATTTCTTTGCGTTAACTTGTTAATTCGAAGTTCGTATGGAAATGTGACTGAGTAATTCCTCTTAAACTGTCATTTACTCCAATCAGCATAAGCATTACACATTTGGGAAACCCAGGAGACATCATATGTCAGCGTGCGTGTACGGCACTGTTTTCTCCAGCGCGCCCCGTCAGTGTGTATTCACATGTTTTCTTACACGCTCAGTCTTGACAAAAGGGAGGAAGTGAGAGTGAAAGAGAAAACCCCTCTCGTCTGCTCTCTATCTCTCTCTGTCAGCGTAAAGGAAAAGGTGGGTGGGGGCCTCAAATGGTCTGAGAGGTGCTTCACCTCGGGCTGCCATCTTATCAGGAGTCCCTCCTGTGATGCTCATACAGAGAGGAAAATGTGTCCTCAGGTAAATTCAGAAGAATTTTCCTCATCGGGCTGCTCACAAGGACACCCTCCTAACCCACTAGTGGTGTGGGGACGTGGGTGTGGGTATGTGTGTTAAAACCAAAGTCTGACGAAGCAGCTTTGTCAAAATAGAACCAGACTGAGGTCGCTACATAAACTGCTCTACAAAGGGAAAAATGGGCATTAAATTAAAGGGCAGACACGTAACATTTATAAAAAAAATATTTGTAATGATTCATCCATAATTGTTTGATTGAACATAAGAAATGTTTTTTAAGAGTTAAAGGGACTTTGTCTTTTGTTGCCAAGTAGTGAAAAACACTACCTGATCATCCCTCCTTTAGTATGACAACTTCTCCTGACAGTTTAACCACAAACCTTTTAAGAAACCAACGAATCAAACGTCTCCACCAAAGTACACCAAAAACTTTAAAACGCCATTTTCATAACTTAATAGAATATAATTTATTAAAAGAGAAAAAAATATCTTCTTCAGTAACAACATTCAAGTTGGTTTGCTTGGTTGTGTGGAAAAAAAACAAAGTTTATGTGAGTTCATCGTTAAACTTTTAACCCCAGTTTTGACCCTTCAGTTTTTTCCAAAAGCAGAAAAAAAGCCACTTTCACGATGGAGAAACGTCATCAGCGTGAGCATCCTGTGTGCTCTGACTTTTTTCCATTAAAATTAAGTGAAACTCTTCCTATCTGACACATTGTGGTGCAGATGACAGAGGCTCTCGGTCAGGGCTGAAGACATGTCTCAACAGAGAAAGTTGCTCTTTGTGGTCAGCCGGAGCGTTAAACGCAGTCAGAAAAAGTGCGACCTGAAATTAGGCTGTCAGACAAAACTGACACACGGCTTTTGTGAGAACTTCGCCACATCGTGAACCAGCTTTGAAAACACAGAAGCTGTCGACAGTTTCACTGCAGTTCCCCTTGAGAGTATTCTCTTTTAAATTTACATTTGATAAGTATTGGTTTCACTGTCATTTGTGCTGTTGTAATCTATGAATGGTGTGAGCATCTCAGCTTTGGCACAAATTAAAGAAAGCTAAATAGGAAAAAAATGACAATCTAATGAGCATGACAAGTCATCAGCAAATCGTCAGAAAATGTAAATTTAAAGGCAAATTTTATTGATTCATAATAGTCTGTATACAAAAAATATAGCCCCTTTAATAAGAGTGTGTTATTAACCCTACTAATGACGGTTTTAATGTATTTGTAGTGATTGGTAACCAGTAGATGCACTCACTTTGGATGGATGGATGGATGGATGGATAGATAGATAGATAGATAGATAGATAGATAGATAGATAGATAGATAGATAGATAGATAGATAGATAGATAGATAGATAGATAGATAGATAGATAGATTTAAATTACTGTAGATAATATAGATAGATAAGTGTAGACAATAGATAATATAGATGATAGATAAATATAGATATAGATAATATAGATGGATGATAGATAGCTAGATAGATAGATAGATAAGTATAAATGATAGATAATATAGATGATAGGAAAATGTAGATGATAGATAATATAGATAAGTAGAGATGATAGGCAATATTGATGGATAGGTAAATATATAGATAATATAGATGGATAGAAATAGATAGATAAGTATAGATGATAGATAAATATAGATATAGATAATATAGATGATGATAGATAGATAAGTATATATGATAGATAATATAGATGATACGAAAATGTAGATGGATAGATAATATAGATAGATAAGTATAAATGATAGGTAACATTGATGGATAAGTAAAGATATAGATAATATAGATGGATAGAAATAGATAGATAGATAGTTTGATTGATAGAGATGATAGGTAATATAGATGTATAGGTAAAGATATAGATAATATAGATTGATAGATAGATATGTACTTTGGTAATCCCTGTGGGGAAGTTGTCATGTCCAGTGGCCAAGACACAGCTCAGAGCACCCCACAGACACAAAAAAAAAAAATCAAAAGTCAAATAAAAACGATCAGTGTGTAATTACTGCTCATGGCAGGATTAAAGACAAACGTTACCTACCAAAGCATGTGGACAGAAACTGACGCTTTAGCCACAATCTTTACCAATGTGATCATATCAGAAAGTAAAGTCTTTGCCTCAGTCGATCTCGTCGGCTGTCTTGCTCTTGCTATTCTGCATTAATTACCATTTTTAAGGGATTTTGAATCTTAAGAATAAAGTCCTTAACACAGCAGGGGGATGAGTATCAAACCAGGTAAAAATGTCATCTGCTTTTCTTATAACCCCTTAGTAAAAAATAAATTGTGAAAGCTTTGATTTACACAGACTGACAGTCACTTAAATAGATAAAGATAGTAAAATACACAGATATTTTGTTGTATTGATGTGAACTAGGATAACACAAAATCAGGATTAATTTTGTTGACTTTTGAGGAAGTTACTGATTAAAACAGATTGTATTTGTGATAGGTGCTGACTGTTATCATTTTAGTACATGAGACAACCTTAATCCCCCCAAAATGCTTTTACTAGCTATTACAATGAGAGATTTTCATCTCTGTGTGATTCAATTAAAACTGATATTTCTGGTTGTTATGACCCTCATCGTCTTCAATATCAGGACAGGGTCAAACCTTCATTTAAAGTGAATTTCCCCGCTCTGTATTTCGATATTACACAGTCTCTGTTATCATTGCACGTGTCCTGGCCGCAGCTGTTGCTCATCTAAATCAGTTTGTTTTGTTCTTACTAGCAGTCGCCACTTATTCATATTGGGATGTCATTTATGTTTTGTTGTTCACAGTTTGTTTTCAATGCCACCGCCTCACTCAAACTCAACAAGAGACACATCTGAAGAAGCGCTGGACGCTCTGCTGCTGTGAAATCTAACAATGATACGAGTATGTGGGTGACTTAACAGAAGTATTACTCATCCTTTTCTCTGTGTCTAACAGGTGAACATACATACAGAGCATTAGTCGAAGTATTTAAAGTCATCATACTTTACAGCAAAGTTTTTAAGAATACGCTTAACTTCCTCCTCTCACTTCAGTAGTGAGTTTCCGATGCTGCGGTCTCTGTTTCGTAAACTCTTTGTCTTTTCAGGGGTATGTGGGTGGGTGCAAGGTGAATAGTTTGCATGCAGCTCAAACATAAATTAGATTATTGGTAAAAAAGTTTAGCTGCACGTCCATGTATGTGAAATCCTTATTTATGGTGCAGTCTTTCATGAAGCTGAAAAAAGATAAACGACGGTGATTTAGTGTGTCTGAAAAAAGCCAGCGTGCTTGATATTCCTGTAAGTGTGCAGAGAGGAAACAAAGGGTGTGGGTGGGGAATTGCCCTCTTTTTGTCCTCTCTGTTGGCACTGCAGCTGTATTGACACAGCTTCTTTATACCTTTATTCTGTATTCACCTTCACTGTCATCATTCTTGTTTCTCACCGCTTTTCTTGCAGTTTTGATTAAATTTGAGATATAAAGTGCAGCTCCTTCCATCATTGCTCGGCAGATTATTCACTTTAAACCGATAAGAATTTATTTCCCATTATAGAGATATCACGAAGAAACATACTCTGTGAAACGATATCCACAACCGTACACTGAGGAAATATGATAATTAATGGGCAAAACCATTTTTCCACATCCTGTTTTGACAGCTTTATCCGCCCAGATTTTGATCTTGAAATTATTGTGGAAAAAAATAAAAACTAAAGTGCTTCAGCCTCATGCATAGTCAAAAACTTATCAAACTAAAGTGATAAAACCGCACAGTAAAAATGATGCATGTGCGAAATTTCACTGTTGAATGTGTAATCACACCCACAGTTTCTTTATTAGCTTTGAGAACATCCTCACTTACGCAGAATTTGACTCAGATTCGAAGTTGCTCTTGACAACTCTTGATTTTTATTTTGCCCTTTAAGTAACAACAGAAATGAAATCTGAAATCAGGGATAATGACGAAAAGTTTACTTTGCACCTTTGTGTGAGGTCTGATTACCAACTCAGAGCCTCTTAGTTCAAAATACAAAAAAGTGAACACCCGTCACAGGAGGACACGAGGGCAGCCGTAAATAAGACACTGACATTGTTCACAATATTATCAAAACTTACTTGACTTTATATAGTCTGTGGGCTCAAATGTCTTGTGCTTTGGGCTCAAAAGTGTGGCCATCAGGGTTCAAGAAATCACCTGTACATGTGATGGAGGAACACACAGTGCATGTAGGGGGCTTGGCCTCAATAGCCCTGCAGTAATCAGTGTGCGGTGTGCATGTGATTGAGGAGTGGACTTACATTAAATCTGTTTGTTTTAGCTAAGATTATGCTACAATATATTTTCTCAAACTATATTGAAGTTCCCTGTCGAGGGCCAACCTTCAATTTTGTAAATTTCAGATTAATTCCTGTTGATTCCCACGGAAAGTTTCCAACTTTCCAATTCCTGGAATTTTGCCACCCTATTTTTCACACACTGTCAACAGGGGACGGTGAAGTCCGAGCTAAATGTGCTGTACCTCTTCCTGTTGATTAATTTTATATGTGTGGTGTTTAGCAGACTGTCTCTTTAGGGTCACTTTTCAGAATGATCAACCCTTTTTCGAGGAGTTTTGGCCAATCATAATACAAACACAGTGTGGTGATTAGGAAAAAATTGGGTCGTAATATTGAATGAATTATAATAAAAATACCTTTAATTTGCAGTCGCCAGAGTTTAATTGAAGAGCAGACTGAGATGCTATTGTCAGTGAATGGTTAGAGACTATCTTGTTACCCGATAAACAAATTGAAAAGGTACAAAAGCAGGTAGTTAATATATATTTTTTTAAAGCAAAACCAGAAAACCAGATTATTTAGACCAGAAGCAGGAAGCGGCTGAATTTATTTGCACTCTTGAAAATTTGAACCTGTTACTCAGTCTATAGAATCAAACTTCCTAACATTAACAGGACCATCTCTCAGTTTCACTCTGAACTTCTTTAGCCACAATCTACCTCTGCTAATCCATAAGCATAGATAAGAAAGAATTAGATATGATAGGAAACAATAAGACTATAGAAGAGATGAAGAGGACACTATAACTTTCAACAGCTCCTTCAACACTACGCCTCTTATTTCCCTTCATACCCAGCACACCTAAATTACTCAGATGCTTGAAGGTGATTGGTTAACAGGTGGAAACACTGTTCTCAGAGCAGGTAGCAGGTAGCGGTAAAAAAAAAAGAAAGGCATATTGACGAGAGCTCAGAGAACATAAATCAGCAGCTCTTGACCCTTTTGTTAAAAAATGTTGCTAATCTAAAATGTCCTCATCTTCTCTTCTGTGTTTAAATACTGGATCAGAAATCGAACACATGATGTTAACTGGTGTTTGTTAACCTTTTCTGGCACACAGAGGAGAAAGAGGTAATGATATTGACTGATTGGAAACAAAACTACTCTTAAACTTGAGATACACTCAACATGAAGTTATAATAGGAATAGTGAAAACAGCTACAAGTACACAATAAAAAGTCTCTTAAAAATAAAACCAAAGTGAGATCACGTACCAGTGATGCAGCCACTCTCTGCTCCTTCAAGGCACAGTGAGGGTTATTAGTTTGTCAACAGCCTGACTGACTTAAAGGGGGCTTGAGAAAATAGGTCTCTTACACAGAAGTGACGCATCCCTGACCTTTAAGAGTTAATAACGAAATCCCTCTTTACCAGCAGCGACCACACTTACAGCGCTTTGTTGTTTTGGAAAATGATCACTTTTATTGAAAGAGAGAGGCAGCAGCGGAGCAGTGGGAGTACTGAACAGACTGTGTGAAGTGAATGTTGTTAAACCACAACAGTAAGGGGAATAACAGTCAGCTGAGGGGCCGAGGTAACAAAAACATCCAACTCCAATTGGAAACTTTCGGTCTTGATTCAATCGTCGGACGCCTACTCTTCCAAAATGACTGCTCTGTGCAGTCGAAACAGCCTTTTGCTTTTTCAGTGTTAAAACCATAAATTTCATATGTTTCCATTTACTACTAAAAGGGAGCTAACAAGCTTTATCATCTTTATGTAATTATTATTTTAAAACAGTATTATCTTGAGCGTAACGTCTCTGAGTTTTAACAGGAGCCACAAACACGTCATCTTAAAGCCATGACTGAACGTTGATTAAAAACAATAAAAAGCTGTTAAAACTAAATAAAAAGCCTTCTGTTTAACTATTTCACAACGTTTTTACAGTTGGACTTGAGGAAGTAAAACAAACTTACAATAATTAAAGCTCCTGTGAGGGGATTTAAACTGAAATTAAGAGTCTCTTTATGTGCTACAAAGGAAAATTTCAACAATTAACACAAAGATCGACTGTACTGTATTGTTATGTTTACAGGGTGTGACCACTGTAAGTGGTTAGGTGTCAGGCTATCTTTGTAGCAGCCCCTCTTTTATATTCACAGCAACAAATATTCAAAATGATGGATTGGTAGAAAAAAAGATAAGAAAACTCTGTTTGAATTTAACTTGATGCAGGACAAGATGTCAGAGTTGTGATGTCCACAGAAGGCACCAGAAATCAACCTGAAGTTCCTAACAGGAGCATAAAGGAGACAGTGAGTCCCATTTGATCTCTAGCGTTTGAAAATATGAGAAGACCACTCAGATTGTCCGCTGAAGGCAAAATTCCCACTTGGAAACTCTACTCTTCTCTGTGTTTATCAGCAACTTAGTTTTGTTTTGTGGAATAGAATCAATCACACTGATAGTACTTTGCGAGTTTTATTTATGAACATGTTGCCATGGGGATTTCGTCCACAAGCTTGTCATTGCCAACTTGGATTTCAACTCAACTGGAACTCAGTCAACTTGAGTCTTTCCCAGCTCCAAAGTCAACACCAACACATTTCGGTTTGAGTACGAAATTGTTTCCTTGTCATGAACGCAGTCCTGTACTCCACCGTACCGATGCTGCACCCGAGCATCCATCCATCTTATCGTCATGGTGAGGAAGAAACTGAGAGTGAAGATTAAGGACTTGATCTGCAATACATCTTTTAACCCTGTTTGCTATCTTTGGGTGGTAATAAAAGGATCCAAGTGGCTAAAAGAGGTACTGCCAGAAGTTAGCTGGGCACAGAGTAATAGGGCGCTCACACCAAGCGCGAGTAAAATCATCTACTCGCTTCATTCGCGTGTCAAAAGTAATTTCAATGGTAATCCCTGCCAATTCAACCGGCGGGATCAAGTTATAGACAAAAGTTTTTTACAATTTACCAGGTAATTCAACCTCCTCATTTACTTGCCTCCAGGCGAGCTCCTTTTCATTCTGGTTTCAGTAATTGAAAGAAAAGGTATCATATTATTCGTCCTCCATTTTAGATACCGGTGAACAACCATCCGTTTTCATACATCACCTTACAACCTTCGTGCTGATTAGTAATCGTTGTGCAGATATCCGCTGAAGTTGAGACATTTTCAGCTCCTGCCCAATGGGCATCATTCGCGCCGCCAGAGTAGTCGCATGGATTTAACGTATAATTCATTCGCGCGAATGATTTTACTCGCACTTGGTGTGTGGTGACAGTAAGGGGTTCAGACAGCCTCTGGAAGTACAGAGCAGAGCTGCTACTCCTCGGCATTGAAAGGAGTCCGTTGGATGGTTTGGGCTTTTGGAAGTGACGTCTCCTGTCTTGAGGAGAGGTTTGTCTCGGGTCAACTTGCATACTCAGCTGCTTCCACATACCAGCCCTGGAGACGCAGAAGCAACTGCTGTGGTGGCATATCCCTGAAGCTTCTATATGGCTACTTTTCTCATCGGCTAAGCAGTCCTAACATCCTCAGTGAGCATGTGATATTGATCACTCAAGATCAATAAAAAAGGCATCATGAAGTAGATTCAGTTTGCTCAGACCTCAAGAAGTTTCTCCATAATATCAGGTTATAATTCCTGAAATACCATCGGTACTTTCAGCTCTCACCTGTACTTTGAACTCTGAGAAGGATTTGAGTCACGGGAGGGCCTTAGTGTGTATCTCTGAAAAAGCTGACCTCTATATATGGCTCATCTTTTTCAATTCCAAGTTTCAACTCAACAGCCGTACAAACCGCTCGTATTCCACTGTCCACTATTCAATGAGGGCATTTCAAACTCCAGCAGTGAAGTTATCACTGTGAAAGCAAAAGTCATGAAACCATGTTTGGATATACAGAGAAAAAACAAACTTTGAAGTTTCAACATTGTAAGTATTGTGTCTATGAAGGTTGCAAGTTTAGTCTTTTCAATGTTTTACATTTCTTTTGTCACAACACCAAACATTTTAAAGGTAAAAGTTCCCCCTCCTTCAAAATAGATCATTTATCTTTGGACGAAACGTTCATAGTTTCCATTTCATGTTCCTTTGTGTCTAAAACAGGTTGTAAGAACTTTCGAAACCGGCTGCAAGCATCCTCGAAATAATAAACAGCCGTCTGACGGCTCGGAAAAACACGTCACTACAATATCCTGTTTATTTCTACAAGGTATGGCATTTTGGTCAAAACCAAACCTCACTTTATATTACAATTAATCAAGAGCATCTTTCCTCTAACATGTAGGTAAATCTGTGCTCTTTATTTTACAGATAATGACTTTGTTCAGTCTCAAAGCATGAAGCGAGAGTGACATTTACTGAGTCACTCATCTCATGTCTCCTGGTGTCATTCCTGTATACAATCACATATTTCTGGTCAGCTTAGTCATCTGACTTTCACTGTCTGACACTAAGTGTTTTTATGTCTGCAATTTAACTACAATACAAGCTGAAGGCATCTGTAGAAGTAAGACGAGAAGAATTTATTATTATGAAATATATTTATTTGTCTTGCAGTGTAGAAAATCTGTGCAAAGATAAATCAGGTTGAAGTAGTTATTTACACACGAGACAAGTTATAAAAATGCAACTGCAGAATTAAAATCAAATCTCCAAAAGGTCCAAGATAAAAACAGGAAAACACTCAAAGGGTTCAGTAAAGCTTGGTCTTCTTCATTATCGTCAAAAACTCCTGCTCGTCGACCTCGCCGTCGCCATCTCGATCTGCCTCATCGATCATTTCCTGAAAAGAAAACAAGAATTTTAAAAGTTTGTTTGATTCAAAGGGACTAAAGTTAGAAAAAGTCAACATCGCTCGTCATCGACTGGAAAAAGAAAAAAAACCCTCACTCCTACTCGGACTGAGAAAAAGTGACACAAGGCACCGCGGTGCCCGAGTTCCCCCAGAAATAATCACATAAGAGAGGGCTATTGTTGTATCATTTGTAAAAACATGATCAGGTGGGAGAGACTTGTCTGCCTATTATGATACAATTAAAAAGAAAACTACTTTTTGGGGCACTAAAAAAAATACTTGAATTTGTTTGTGAAAATCTCTTCGAAGCCCTTCATCTTTTTTGAAAAGAAAAAAAAAACCTGAGGTATCACACTGACATTGGAAAAATACGTTTTGAAGCTCTTTTGACTCTTTACGGTGGTGAGTCGGCAACTATGAGTGTCTGAGTCCTGGGTTCTTAAAATTGTTGCTTGACAATGAGGGTAAGTATAATGATTGATTGCTGCCTGTGTTGTCCTGTTGGTGTATTTTTCTTAAGACGTCAACTACCAGAACAGTCAGTAAATGTTGCACAAAATCAGAGACTTATGTAGAATAAATCTATTCTTGACAGCTACTTCAGTGATTTATGTGTGTTTTCCTCAATAAAACATGCAAATAAAAAAATGGTTTTCCTATCAGCACCATCAGACAGAACTATGTCTGAACCACTAGGTGGTAAATCTTCAAACATTTGTCAACATTAGTTTATGATTGTTAGTTTTTGGGATGTTTTTGTCAGTTTGAATTTGGCAGAGGGAGTAATGCACTGAGGCCTACATTTTTCCACTGGGCCTGTAATTATGTCTCATGTCATTTTAAATGTTTCATGAATTTTTTTTATGTATTTTACAAGTGAATAACTTCATTCAATCAATATTTATTCAAAGCAAACTCGAGACGTACCTTTTTAGTCTTGCTTTTAACTAAGTTTTATATCATTAATTTAATTCTATTAGAGTGTTTTAACATTTATCTCTTTCTAGTTTTAATGTCAGGATCGTTTTTCATTGAACTATTTTGGTGCTCTTATTTCGTATCTTTTTACTGTATTTCATTTTTATCTATTGTTTTGTAAATTTCATTTTATGTTACTTTTTCTCAAGATTTAACGCCGCCTCCAGCGTTTCCTCATCTTGCATTTTAAAATGGCGTCTCCTCAGTGCACATATTCCTGTTTTTACTAAATGGAGCTCTTTTTAATGCATTTTTAAACTTGCTTCTGTTGTGCTTGGATTGTGGGTTGGGGATGAAGGGACGGGGATTGAACGGCACTATTTAAAGGTCTTCATTGTATTCCTTTCTTTAGCATTCACACTATATTCTTTAGATCACATAGAAGTGTGGACCTATATGAGGTATGAGGACAGGTGTGCGTGTGTGTAAAACCATGCAAACAGACTAAATGAGCTTCTTTTTTCATTAATTTTGAACAGGAAAGTTCTGTTTTTTTGTTGCCACTTTCAAATGAATAAAATGAGTTATGAGATAAAGAACGGTGTGTTTTGTCATATTCACCCTCTTATTGTTCTCTTTATCGTTATTCATTATTCCTATGTGTATTCATGTCACCCTAACCACAAAATAATGTCCAAATGATTCAACTTTATAGACTAAAATATATATTTTTTTGACATACATCTTGGATAAAAAACAGTTATTGACATGACTTTTGACTTGTTTGACCCAAAAAAAAAAGAACATAACTTTATGATGTATTAACTCATACATGACAGGGGTTGATAAATCTTAGAGATGTCTTAATTTCAGTTATTGGATTTGGGCCTATCTGTGCATTTCTTTTCAATTGATCAGTGATTAGCATTACCATCCCCAATCGGTCGGTTACAAATGCACAGCAGCCTAACATAACCGTGCATTATGGGTTCTTCTGCCCATATAGAGACACTGGTGTGAAATTCTGGCCACAGCTTAAACTCCTGTGTGGAAACTTTCATGAACGACCAGCCAGATAACGACGACATTGGGGAAGGTGTTGGTGCGTATGAAGTCAGAAACAAAGTATAGACTATGTGGTACTGTGTGCATCATGATGGACTACTGTACCTGTAATTCTACATCAGTGAGGTTTTCACCCAACTCTTTGGCGACTCTCTTGAGATTTTTGAAGGAGATTTTTCCTGTGCAGTCATCGTCAAACAGCCGGAAAGCTTTCAATATCTCCTCTTTGTAGTCTTTTTCAGCCTTTTGGAAATTAAGACATGACAATCTCAGCACGATTGACGCAATAAATATCAGTTTTTACACTTTTTTCACCCACATCTTGACACCAAAAGCCTCAGTATTATCTTGACTGTGATGACTTGTGATGAATTTCTGCAACAGATTTTGTGGTTGAGATAACTGGAAACAACAAGTGAAGTGTTTTCTCGGGCATCAGCTGTTGGTTTCTTACTCTCTAAGAAGTTTCCAGGTTTTGTCACATTGCACAGGTGTATTTCACTCACCATTTTCGGTGCCATCATATTGAAAAAGGTGCTGAACTCAATTGTTCCAGAGCCTTCTTTATCAATGTCTGCGATCATCTGCTTGATTTCTTCTTTCTTTGGTTCAAACCCAAGAGCTCTCATGGCAACCTAGGGCACGAAAACACAACAAAGCTGAAGTTGCAGTGATTTTAAATCACTGAGCGCTGTGTTACAGTGAGAGGAAAAAGTTTGTGAAACAATCTAAACAAAGAAACTAAAGAAGCCAAATCAAATTTTATCTTCAAAAACTGTGTCAAAGCCAGTATGTTGAGTAACTACAGAGAAACATGTTAATCTAAGTCTTGGTGTGTGCGTTTTGTGGAAAAATGTGAATTAAGGTGGTCTTTTCTGTTTGATTTTGAAAAATAAGAAATAATGAAGTGTTTAGTTGATTTATATCTTGTGAAAGAGAGGCAGACTAGAAGATTTTTCTTCTTTCCGCTCCTCTTCATTCACATGTGTGAGATTTTTCTGATGAAAATAAAAAAAGAAAAGATCACATTCAGAGCAAACACACAGGATCACACCTTTAGCTCCTTCACGTCTATAGTTCCAGTCCCATCTGTATCAAACAAGTCAAATGCCTCCTTTATTTCTTGCTTTTGCTCCTCTGTCAGCTCTTTCTGAGCCGCTTTCTTCCTTTGGCTGGCGGACGGAGGCGGTTTTCGGTAGCCTGAAGCCTGAAAAGTAAAAAAAAATCGACGAGTTTGAACACAGGTGCATCATCCTGGTGATTTTTTTAAAGTCAACTGTTACCAGAATGCTAGCTAACTGTAGCTTCCATGCTGCACCACGAGACCAAACTAAAACACATTTTCGTCCCACATCAACAAATTCATACAAGTTTAAGCGAGCTTTAAACACAATTCTCATTAATCATATACAGGTTTCTTAAAAGACTCGTTAATAAGATTTACCATTTCATCAACGCCTCAGAAGGAAAAACTTCCAAAGTTGGGTAAGGTACTCCGATGTCAACAAAACAGACAACGGTTGAACTTTTCCGCGGAGTGACACACGGGTCGGCCAATTGTAACACTGAAAACAGAGCGAATCATATATTTCAGCCAATTACAAGAAAAATGGGCGGGTGCTACTGGCGTCCCCCAATGACTGTACTCGTCTTTGGTTTCCAAGCAACAAGGGAACACTGCGCGTGCGCAGTATCGTAGTGTTTGTACCGGAGCGGCTGAGCAGTTGGAGTAAACCTTTACGTTAATGTTTATGAAATATTAAGGTAACGTTTCCTTTTTACTCTGTATACATGCTTGTGCAGTAGTATTTTTATAAGGCACCCGCGTTTTTATATGACTAATTCACAGGGTAAATATACGAGCGAAGCTTTTCTTCCTCAAGACATGAGCTCGTTATCCTGCGTCCATTAGTGTTGTTTCCATAGAATGTATATAGAATATAAATATATATTCATATTATATACAGTCTATGGTTGTTCCTTGGCTGAACACAGACCTGTTGAACCGCTCTAGTCAGTGTTATTTGCTTTTTAAAGTAGGATATTTGTTTTTGAGGGTGATTGGAGGTGTTTTTGTTCCACTTTTATCATTGTTGTCTAAAGTTCAGAGCGTCAAGTAGGGGAGAGTGGGGTAAGTTGAGCCAAAGAGTAAGTTAAAGCACCTCTCTGTTGCTTGGAAATGGTAAAAGAAATTGATCATGTGACCAAATATTTAGGAGATGGGCATCAATTCATGGAGTCTGTGAAGGTTAGAGGCACATGGGTGAAGGAGTTAGACATTTATTTCCAAAAAATCTATTTTCACTCTTAAAAGTGAATTTAGTCCGTCATAATTTTTATTAGAATTGTGTTCAGACCAAAAAAAGATCATGTTAAATTTGTTTTCTACATCAATATGGTATCTAGGAGCTACAACATGAGGTCATAAAAGTCCACCATTTTAGCTCAGAGGACTAATAAAGTCACCAAAGTCATTTTTCAGACAAAAAAAAATCTAAGTTCCAAGTGCCTCACAGCAGCTAAAAAACAACAATTAACAACAACATACTGTACCTGAACCTCCCACCCACACACCCAACCATGGATACTACAGACACACAAAGACACACACGCCCACCCTCACTCACGCACATAAATATAGGTAAATATATGCAGATACACTAGTTAGAGACAAAACTATGATCGCCTTGATGTAGTGATCCGAAATATGTCAATAGGCTAATCTTACCCCATTCTCCCCTATTCTCCTTGTACATGTATAGTAGGTAGAAATGTGATTATGTAGTCATAATCAGCAGTCAGATTTGCTTGAACTATTCCCCTGCTGCACTCCAGTTGGTGAAGCGATGGCGGCCTTTGAAGAAGGTCACTGAAAACAAAAATGTGCATGTTACTGAGCTGTTTTTTTCTGTTCTGTGCTACAGTAGAAACATGATGGTGCAAGGTGACAGCCACTGTGGAAAGGGACCTGCTCCCTTGTCAGATATAATAAGCAAACCCAAAGTCAACAAAACTTTTAGGATTTATATGATTGTGTGATGATGATGATGCACCAATTTAAACATACTCATGAATATTAGATTTCATTTACAGTCTTTTCTGCAAAATGCTGCTAATTACAACAAACTTTACCTTGAAAGTTACCTACACTGGCTCTGTTTCAGTGGGTGCTTTTCTAAAAGAAAGTTAAGCAAATGTTGATCTTTCTATCCCTTTCCAGTTAAGGCATCTCATGTAATGCTGGGAAGTACGATTATTAACCATCAACAACATGTGGGACTGCAGAAGCTCTCAGCACTGGCGGGACTCGCACACTCCTTTTTGGGTCCCAATAAAAAGTACAAATTCATTCAAGATGACACGAGTGGGGAGTCAGTGATGGTGTGCTCATGTTTTCGCATTCTGGAGAACTTGGAGCTGACCTGCTCGGTGGGTCAGCTGATTTACGAGACTGTTCGAGCCCACCAGAAGGTCCATCACACCGGATCAGGATGTCTCCTGTTCCTCGCTGGAGTGTGGAGTCGTGTTGCTTTGGAGTTCCTTCACAGAGGAATTCCAGTGGCAAGCATCATCTTGGCGATGTCTGAAGGGATGGATATTTGCATGGATGTTTGCAGAAAATCCAGTGTGTCAATTGATAATCTTGATATGGAGCATTCACAGAGCAGCACTGCATTATCGGGTCTTCAGCTGTCAAAGGAACCCATCAAAGACACTTCACAAGCACCACACCAAAGCAAAGGGACGATAAATGTTGGGCATAAGTCTCTTAAAGCAAGCGCACAAAGAAAAATAAAACTCAGTCGACATTTTTGTGAACCCAAGTCAGAAAATATGTCCACAGAATTTCAAAATCCGCAACCCAAACTTCTAGATATTGCACACATTGCTGAGTGTCTTAGTCACGGTTGTGTGGAGGCAATGAATCTGGTAGTCGAATGCAGCAGAATACAGTCAAAAAGCAGCCAGCAAGATAGCACCTGTTCCAAGTTCAACGTCTCCAAAGTCATGACTTGTGTGCTGCCTGGTTTACCAGAGGAAGAAGCATGCACTGTACAGGGCTGCATCCTTCTCTTATCTGCTGATCAGGCTTCAGTGGCACATCACTTGAAAGATCAGCTATTGAAGGTTGTTCTTATTGATGGAGATCTATCGGGAACTTATCGCCATCTTGGCTTTAAAAGACTATCAGGTATACAGTTCATGAGCGAAGACACTGATCTGTCGAGCTCAAGCAAAGAGGAAAACTGGATGGAAAAGGTTATCACAACTCTGATGAACCTGGAAGTGAACCTGATACTCATCAGCGGGCTCGTAGGTGAGAAAGTGATTCAGCGCTGTTCTAGCCATCACATACTTGCGGTGGAAAAAGTAAAGGTTTCCGTTTTGAATGCATTCGCTGATTCAACGGGAGCTGTCCCAGTGACTTACGTCACACAGTTGAGTAAGAGCTGTGTTGGCGCTGGAGTGAAATTAGTGATATGGAGGGACCTCAGCAGCTACAAGAGGAAATCATCGTTAGCTGTGAATATTTCCACCGGAAGAAACATCGAGTTGGTCACAGTGGTTGTTACGAGCTGTATAGAGGGAAAGCTGCAGGCTCTGGAGGATCAGTTCTGGACTTGTGCCTATCGTGTACATCATGCGCTAAAGGACAGAGCCCTCCTGCCTGGTGCTGGAGTAATGGAAATGCTGTGTGCTCATCACCTTCAAAATCAAGCGGAGAGAGACCCTCCCCAACAAACCAAAGCAGCAGCAGCAAACCCTTACAGGAGTGTAGTGTTGCACCACATGGCAGAAGGTTTAATAGATTACATATCCACGGTAATGGTTAACACTGGAAAGTTTTCCAAACTCCAGGCCAGGACTGCTGTGAATCAGCAACTGCAAGACTGTAACAAAAATCTGGGTGGAGCTGCATTTTTTTCACCGCTTTTCTCAGAGGCTGAAAAAAAGGACAGGCTCATTTCCTCACCTGTAAGGTCCACTAATCCACCAGCAGTGAAAGTGTACGATAACCTCAGTGTGAAACAGGAAGCATGGAGGAAAGCCTTGGATCTGGTTTTCCTGGTCCTGCAGAGTGATGCAGAGGTCATCACGGGTATCGATCAAACCGAAGCCGTACAGAAAAATCTGATGCTGTTATGACCGACATAAAAAAATATGCGTTGATTAATTATGATTAAAAAAAGAATAAAAATGTGAAGTTTTATCTTTTTCTTGTCATCAATTTATTGCAGTATAACTATATCATTTTTCGCAGATGTTTAAGTACCTCTTTACTACCACGTGAGGGAGACAAATAACCATATCATACAGTAGTCCATGTGACCCTGAAACACATGGACTAAATTCTGATAAAAGTTAAAGTAGGACTCAGAAACGTTACTGTTTCAGATCACAACCAATCAAAACTACAGTACAAAGCAAAATAATCATAAAACAAACCAATAAAACCACACAATTAACCAGTTAAGTGATGGGTCAATGTGATATAAATCTGATTTGTCCTTTATCCTTTGCCATGATCTCAAACACAAGAGCCTTACTCAAAGGTAAACGATCGTTTTCCTAATGTTTACCCGGGGATTTAGAGTTGGATTTATCAACCGGTGTACAGGTAATGCAATACCCAGAAAACAGTCAAAATTGAGCCCAATTTGTCCAACACAGCTAAACATGATCGCAGAGTCTGAGGGTAAATTAAGCAGAGCTAGCATCACCACCGTTCAGTCCTCAGAAGAGTGCATCGCTCTGGCAAAGTCAACACAGAATGTGACAAAATGTGCCGTGCTGCAAGGACGCTTTCTTTCATGCGACCACCACACACTGACTGAATGCTGTGTTGGTGTATGTTAGGATTATTCTTGGAATGAGTTGGTTTAACATAATTAGAGTTAATAATTAAAGTAAAATTCTTGTACATTGTCAATCAGAGGTCCAAAATGACCTTGAATGGCAAACTTTTACAGAGCTTCTGGCAGCCAAAAGAGGTGGCATGTGTTTGAGCTGAGCAACAAGAGCTGCTCACTAAAATGAACTGCAATTCCCATCATTATATTGTAGTAGTACTATCTAGTGATGGGGGCTGCACTACAGCTGAGACTCAACACATGACTGATATTTAAGGCCTTTGGTTGTGTAGTTAAAAGTTCTTTATACCGTCATAACCCAGCTCTATGGCAATGACAAAAGGACGAGAGGAGTGCGAATCAACAAAAGTAAATCAATTTATTTACAATTTAAAGTTTAACAAGCGAACAAAAACTGCAGGTATGGGGTGTATTAGTCTTTAATATCAGTAGTGTGTTTGTGGTTGTGTGAGAATGATGTGGTGCAAGAAAGAGAACAGGCCACAGGGAGCCAGTATATGTAGGAGGTGGAGCAGCAGGCCCAGGTGCTCAGAGCAGATTTCAATCTGCCACTCCAGTTACCTCAAAAGAGAACAGATAGATATGTCACATCTCCAGTTTAGACATCTACACAGGGGCTGTCACAGTACTAACTTGTTGGTTCTGGTGCTTTTAGCCAGTTATGAAACAGACTGACATTAAAACTGATCTGCAAAAGCAAACCAGACCATTAGTGACAAGACTGATCACATCTATATCTGTTGAGATACAGCAGAATAGGACCATGGAGTCAACTCAGGGTCATATATAACTTTAGCTTATAAGAGCGTGCTTTACCCAAAGCAGCATTTTATACATGTGTGGAAAAAAGTGACCAAAAATATTTCAAAAAAAGATTCTGTAGTCGTAGAAATTATTCATGTGAGCTCAATACTTGTGTACTTGAAATCTGAGCCAGAAAATCTTAGCTAAAAGATTTTATTATTGGTGTATTACACACACTGATTTTCTACATGGACATAACCCTGAGGTTGCAAGCACAGATTTTTGTCTCCAGAGGAGGCGCCAAAATCAGCAGTGTGGCCAACACTAGCAAAGCTAACACCACTCTTTAGCATTATTTATATTTATTGTCAAGACAGTGCTGCACGCTTTGCTTGAAATAACCTCAATCCAGGCAAAAAAGATGAACATGTCCAAAACCCTGGTTACATTTCTTATTTTGGAGCATGTGAAGATTCTGGATTAGCCAGTAGATTTTTTAAGTGAAGCACTTTTTCTGTGCCCACGCCGCTTCATTAAGTGTCTTGGCCTGGCCTTTCCCCATTGGACATGGTTTCCCCGCCAAAGGTGGTGGTTTTATGACCTCCCGTGTCACAATGGGAACGACTGATGTAGAAGGAACACCGCCGGATACAGAAAATAGTTTTGCTTACAGGTCTCATTAGGCTCCACTCTTTTTGAAGGGGAAATGAAAGTAATAACTTCTAGGATTTATTAAAAATGATTGGATCCTGGAAACTTCTAACAAGACCTCTGAAAGGTCAAAAAGATAGTACCAAGAGAAATGCCAACAGGGAAAGTCCGAAACAGAAATGGTCATTAGTTATTAACTCTTGTTATCTTTAGATTTTTCCTATTATACACTCGAGACCTTCTGTTTCCTCTGAGATCAAAGTGAGCTAGCTTTGTGATGCTAAAAATAGTAATAGCGAAATTAAGAAAGGCTTCTACATGGAGCCATAATGATCTTGACTCAGGCATCAGTCAGCAGTGGTGAGAGGGTGGATTATGACATAACAATCACAACATGGAGAAGGAAATTGGAAAGACATAATTAGAGAAACATCAGAGAGTTCAGGCTGAGTTCACACTCCGCTGTTAGCCCTGTGCTTCTTCTGCCCTGAAAGAGCCAGGAACTGATGCAACTCTGCAACTTTTTCCAGAGTCAGAGGTTCACTTTTGGTGCTCTTTTCATCGTATTGAAGAGTCACCCTCCCCTTTGGTTGTACGGTTGGAAAAAAGTCTAAATTATACTGGTATTAATGTAAATCAAGGTTTCATGACACAATGGTGTCTATCAGGTATTTAAGGCAAAGACATCCGCGCAGGGGAAAAACACCTGTGACATAACTGATACCAAGATGTGTCACAGGTGTTTATTTTTAGAAATAAACCATGTGTAAACCATACCGTTTTCCTTCAGACAGAGCTCACATCCTCTTGCGTTTTGTACATGTATGTAAACTGATGTAAGAGAAGGTCAAGTTGGTTAAAACTACTGCTATGATAATCACAAACTGTATAATGACTCAGTTTAGCCTGCTCAAGGTTTTACGCACCAACTTGCACCAAAGTTGCTGACCAGCCACTTCTAAAACGTTGTTTTTGTTTTTTAATTTAGATCAATTTAAGATGGATACTCATGGAGAAATTTACTTTGGTAAGGATGTACAGTTGGTTGTTTTTCTTTGGTCTTTGGTTTTTGGTTTTGTTCATTTGTGTCTACATTTAAAGTCTTTAAATAGTGTTGATAGTGAGTTTGTCTGATCTTAAAGGGATATTCCGGCGTAAAATTAATTTAGGGTCAAACACACCGTAACACCAAGTTAGACACCGTCTCGAGAGATGAATGTTGCCGACCACTTGCTTCTCTAGTTATACTAACTTTAGTGACAACCACACAATAGCAACACACAGCGATCTGAGGAGCCATGAACAAACCTCAACCAAAACGCCACTCTATAGCCATAAATAATGCTCAGAACAGCATCTAACTTCATCAACAGGACATATAGGGTCCCAGCCATAGTACTAGACACCAAACATCTTTTTAACTTTGCCTAATTTCTTTAGCAAAGAGACTAAACACAACTCACCATCTCTCTTCCAGCAGCCGCTTGTTTGTAGTGAGACCTTGGACCAGTCCATTATGGACTACAGCGGCGTAACGCAGCTCAAGGAAGAACATTTATGATCATTTCTTCATGGACATTCACTCAGACTGAGATGCTAAGGCAGAAAACTACAGTGTCTGCAGTGCAAAATGATTAATATGATGATTATTACTTTAAGGAAATGATTAAGAAATGATCATAAATGATCAAGGGGGTGTCTAACTCTGTGTTACGGTGTGTTTGACCCTTAATTAATCTTACGTCGGAATATCCCATTAAGTTTTCTTGTAAGATTTGAGTATAATTTGACAGTTTTACAAGAAACTTCAGACACCAAAAGTTCAAATCAAAAAATGATTGAAGTCCTTGTTAGGAGGTTTTGATCCCAGGTCCTGCAGTCCACATGCCAAGATGTCCTTCAGCGAGACACTTGACCCCTCCCACCCAGCCTGCTGCACCCAACAGTGTGTGAATTGGATTAGTCAAAGCTGATGGGCTCTGTACATGGTAGCGTCTGCCAACAGTGTGTGAATGTGGCATGGGATGTAACATACCTAACGCTCTGATTGGTTGTAAACCCGTTACACCAGACAGCCTACATATAATTTAATCTCCATTTTCTTTACACTTAAGATAAAAAAAGAAATGTTTATCTGTCACCAACAAGAACCAACAGTGAATAAACTTTGAACCAACTGTCTTTGAAGTTTGACAGATTCCTCAGTCCCAGGAAACACGCCCTGAAAATGCTCAAAACCCTTTTAACCCCAACTGAAACTGGACTCCTGCTTGGGATACAAGCCCTCCAGCCTTAGTCACCCTGAAAGCCCGGTTGGATGTCAGATGTTTTGCTGACCAGTCTCAGGGGGGTCGCCAATTTGACGTCAAACCAAAGCACAGCTGACTTTCTTCTGACCCAGCCCGAGTGTCAGATGTGGTCACCTTTACCCAGATGTCCAGACCAGTGTTTGCTTAATCTGACAAACTGAAGGCCGTAATTTAAAAAGGAATAAATCCAGAACAAATAGCCTCCATCATCGATCCAACACATTGTAGGGAAGTTCAAAATAACAACTTCTAAATCAGGATCGAGTCTTTTTCTTTGAAGTTTGCAAGTATTCCTTCACATAGTTGTTTCTTTACCTCTTAATGGCCCTGAGTGATTCATTAAAAAGCTATCTACGTGGGCCTCCTCTTTACGCCTCTGCTCTCACTCTCGAACAGACTTGATGAATGAACACACTGGTTCAGTTCACGTGCTCGCTGCTGCTCTTGGCAACTTGAAGGATCTCAGAGGCACAGTCCAAGTTGCACGTCCCCCTCTTTGCCCTCCTCTCCTTTTGAGACTTCTGCTGGGTTGGCTGGTTAAATCACAGAGCATTAGTGGGCGTGAGCATGTGTGTGTTGGTTGGTGCTCCTAGGGCGCATGCGAACTGAGGCCCAAAGGGGAAAGCCTTCCGCACAGATCTAAGCCAGCTGCCATGGTTTAAACACTTCATTGCAAAGAGAGTGAAAGAGAAGGGGAAGCCACATGCATCCCCCCTACTAGTGTGCTCAGAGGACGCTAGCAAAGCAGCAGCAGACTCCACAAATGCAAGGCCAGCTCCTGGAAATGGTAGATTTAGACATTTGCTGGTAGGTAGAAGCATTCCGGAGTCCTTTCGCTTCAGATTTCTCAAGACTTTGAGAGGGCACATGCTGCCCAGTCAGGAGGGGTGTTCTTTCAAGTGACCTCTGGGGGTTAAGCAGAATCAGTTGGTGTGAAGCTTTTTGGAGGAGGGGAGGAGGGAACAGGCAACAGTTAGTGGGAGGTGGGAGGCCACAGTGGGGCTCCTGCGCTGCTCAAGAAGCAGACGAAGCAGTCGCCGGGAAGCGAGGAAAGAGGAGGAGATGGCCACGGGAGAAATCACCACACTTCCCTCAACACCTGAAGACGGCGGCAGCGGCGGCTTCCCTCCTGGAAACTTCAAGGATCCCAAAAGGCTGTACTGTAAAAACGGGGGCTTCTTCTTGAGGATAAGGTCTGACGGGGGAGTGGATGGAATCCGGGAGAAGAACGACCCCCACAGTAAGTGCTTCCAGTTATTTCCCTGCTTTGCATGGCAGACAAAGCTCCTTTATATTCTCTTTTTCTAACATGCAACAGGGAAGTAAGAGTTAAGAATGAGAAAGTAATGGAGGGACGATGTGAATTTTCCAGCGTACTGAGGTTTATTCTCCACTTGTAAACACCAGAATGTGTGGAGGTCTACCTCTGGAAAGTCTAATAACTCCAGTTCAAGAGAAGTACACCTCACATTTTCTTGATCAATGGGAACTTTCATGGAATACGCCTGACGTTTTTAGTGAAAGCTGATGCTGACTCATAGTGTGGTTTACGTCACAGAGGACAGCATGGAGTTAACAGCCAGCTGAAGTGAATTCCTGATTTGGAGGTCCCCTGGCACAGTCTGAGGTCAATAAAGTTACACCACCGAAATATCCGTAAACAACAGTATTGGCTCAAAGTATATCCATGAAAGTGAGAGGAAACCTCGGCTATGTTATTCCTAAGACTTTTAAATTAGTCCTGGACAATTGTGATACCCCTTAGTGCCTCTGTATCTCTGATTACTTTCAAGTGTGCGTCCAAAGTTGCATCAGTAAGTGGGAGGGAAGGACAGGGAACAAGAAATCGCTTTTTCCAGGGAGGACACACGTTTGGAAGATATGGTGTGACATTTCAAACAGGTGGGCCAGAACTAATGATTGATACAGGACCAGCTAAGAGAGAGAGAGAGAGAGAGAGAGAAAGAGGAGTCATTAAGTATCAAACACAGGAGTTCACTGACTTTGTCATTAGCTTCTTTGCATTTAGAATGGTCTGATACTCAGGTGGTCAAACACTCAAAGAAGAGTATATCCACTGTGAGTCATGAAGTAGTGATCATTATAAATCATTAAGCTTTTTACCGTCATGGTTAATGTGAATAGAACTTCAGCAGCCAACCAAACACACTCAAAGATGTTGTGTCTATGTAGGCCTGTTCTTATGCAACTCACCTGTGTTCTCGCTCTATAATTCCCTTTCCCTAAAGTTTGTGGGGGGCATCATAAACCCCAGGACGAATACAGATAGGATCACACTCCGCGTAACCACAGTGAACAGATGAGGAAGGATTTCCTGCATTCAGGAAAGCTGTGGAACATAATACAACCAGTAAACACAGCACACACCACAGCCACCCACAGCAATTATACATTTCTTTCGGGGAAGAACACCTCTTTGATCCGAGAGTTGAATCATACAGGCAGAGAGCTTAAGCGTAGACAGATGCACTCCTATCTGAAGTCTTGTGCTGCACAGATCTTCTAGTTTACCTGATGGGGCCACTGCTTCCTTTCTGGTGGTTTAGCTGCATGCACGTCCCTAGGAAGAAATGCGGTTTGGATGCAGCCAGGAGGCGATAGTTTCACAGCCAGGTACTGTGCGCTAACTTTCAGCTGTTCAGCAGCTGATGGGAGTTAGTTTGTTATTATCAGTGGCATCAACAAAATTTGATTCATTTACAATTCAAAGAAGTTGGAATGCTGTCTAAAATTGATGCAAGCAACATGCTTCAAAACAGATGAGACTGATGAAAACAGATGAAAACACTAAAAAATTGTGTAAGGCTAAAAAAAAACAACCCTCAAACAGCCAGCTAGGGTTCATTTGCAACAAGTTCGTACAATTTCTGGGTATTAAGAGGGCGCTCTAGAGAGGCAAAGTTCTTCATTTTTGTAAAATAACTGTAGATTTCAGTAAATCTCAAGGTATACCACAGCTTTGACGAATCTGGAAAGAAGGGACAAGGTTAAAAAAACAGTAAAGGGACGGCCCTGGTCTTCAGGCACAGGCATGACTCCGTAGTGGATACCAAAGCATGGGCCAAATATCATCCAAAAAAACCACACAGCTCAAAGCTGCATCCACAAATGCAGGATTTTTGGAAACCGTGGATGCTGCATCTGAGACATACTGTCATCCATTTTGCACCCACTCAAGAGGAGTGGGACCACTTGGCTTGTCATCTTTGCACAATTTAGTAGTCAGCATCCATGACTGTACAGGGTCACAGTTCTCATAGTATGGAGAGATTACACATCTGGGAAGGCACCATTAATGTAGAACAATATATGCAGAGCTGCAATCTAGACAATGGCTTTTTCAGGAAAGACCTTGCATATTTCTGCAAGATAATGCCAAACCACATCCTGCAAGAATTACAACAGCATGTCTCTGCAGTACAAGAAACTGCTAAACTGGCCTGCCTGCAATCCTGCTGTGTCACCCACTGAAAACATTTGGCTCTTTATGAAATAGAAAATACAATTAGAGAGATGCCAAACTGTTGAGCAGCTGAAATCCTCGGCAGGAATGAGGCAGCAGTCATTTTCAAACTCAGGAAAATAGTTCCCCCTAGTTAAACATGTCCCTGTCCCAGCTGTTTTAGAGCTTGTTGCTGGCATCCAGGTTTAAATCCAAGCAAAAATAAACAAACAAATATCAGTTTTAACATTTGATATGTTGTCTTTGCTCTACCTTGATTTGTAGACAAAAGCAAATCTGTTTTTTATTAACATTTCACATAACTTTTCAACCTGCTTTTTGGAATTTGGGAAGAATGACCACAATAAAAAGCTGTAAAAAAGTAGCTGTTGAGTTCATCCTCGTTTTTTCTTGTTGTTTTCCAAGTCTGCAATAAACTTTCCTTGAAAATTTCAGGCTTTGCAACGGCTTTGGAGAAAAACCCCTGAAGTGTCTAGTTGATCTGTGTGACTGGAGAGCCCTTTAGAAGCGTTGATGGTCATTAATTTTCCTAGTTTTACAATAATCTTGTGTTTTAGACAAGCAGAGTTAGCAGCTAACAAGCTAGGAAACTAAAGCATTGACCATCATGAGGGTGGAGACCAAAACAGAGCAAAATCTGAATGAATACTAGACTCTCCCTGATCAAATTGGGATAATTACATTTAAAAGAAAGCCTTTTCATCGGCAGGACGTCTCACTGAACAATATTGTTATTTAAAACGTTCCAAGCTGCTGCTGATGTGACGGTGTGCGAGCATGCTAGTAGGGGTGGGAATCACTCGTGGCCCAACAATACGATATTGTCACGATGCTTGGGCCACAATACGATATTATGATTTTTAACATTTTGCAATACAGTGAGTATTGCGATACAATGTAGTGCGAATTATATACTTTTTTCAACTGTTTAGCTAATTTAGCATTTGGCTTTCCATGTTTGTCTTATTTATGCTGTATTTTATTTTCATGTAGCACATATTGCAAATATATATATTTGTTGTACGAACTTTCTCCTGTTCTGTGATGTCTCCTATGCCATCCTCACTGGACAAACAGTTGATTTTATTTTGACTTCATATTAGCAACTATTTTTAACAATCGATACTTGGTAAATGAGACAATACGATATATCACCAGACAAAATATCGCGACACTATGCTGTATCGATTTTTTCTCCCACCCCTACATGCTGGACAGAGCTTTGTTTCTGTTGGAGTGTCTCCTAGGTTACTGAAAATGTTCAACGAAGTTTAAAGTGTCAGAACATAATCACTAAGTTATAGTTGTTTTGAAATGAAGATGAGGGCTCCAGGATGTTTTAACTCCCTTTATTTTACTAAAAGTATTTCAAAAACATATCTCTTTACTTCAGTCTATTTAAAACATCTTACAAATTCAACAAACCTAAAGCTTTTGTCTTTTTTTTTCTTTCAGTAAAGCTTCAGCTCCAGGCGACCTCAGTGGGGGAAGTGGTCATCAAAGGAGTTTGTGCAAACCGCTATCTGGCCATGAACCGAGACGGACGATTGTTTGGAGCGGTGAGTCTGATTATCATCCTCCAACTAACAAACCTCACCATCTTTCTCCCTTAGAAACTCCTGAGATAACTTTAGATAAAATCGTCTAATAACATTTCCTAAAAGGGTTCAGAGACTTTATTAATCTTACCAACAGTGCTGTTCACACATCTGTATCAGACACTTACAGTTCCTGCCTCCCAGCTGTCAGAAAACTTAATTGAGCTCAATGCAGAGTCACGAGCAGCATTTAGACTTCCTTGTTTTGGAAACCAAATATTTGCCAACCCCTTCTCTTCCAGAAAGCCTCCCACCCAAGGAAATAATTAGTTGACACTCTTTTGTCACAGTCAGCGAAGGTCTGCCACAGAATTAAAAAAAAAAACCCTTGGGGCAAAATTATCGTCCTACAGATGAACCAGATTCAGAGGGACAAAAGAAAAGCTTTGTAACCATGCACGGTCTGTGTGTTTTAATAACACATTTTACTATTTCCACACACATCGTCAACATTAACTCGAGACTTTCATGCTTTTTCTCGGTGGAATAGACCCACATCACACTTCACAGGGTCTTACATTCATCTGATGCTGCTTCCTTCAGTCTGGATCTTTGCTTGTGTTGGAGTGACTCTCAGATGGACAAAAGCGTCTCTTAAATGAAATTACAAGTTTTGATTTTAAATGATTTCATGAACTTGACAAAACTTTGGCACCTCTGTTTTCCTGCAGCTGTGATGTTGTTTCTCACAGCGGCGGTGCAAGTGTGAAGTGTGTGCGACTGATGTGGTTTGGTGGTTGTGAAGGCTTGTCCACAGTCCATATAATTGGCAAGAGGCATTTCCTCTTAATGAGACGCTACCGGAGCTACCACCCAGGGCGGCGCGCCGTTCTGCTCTTATCAACAGTTGTCGCCTCATCTGAGGATTTTTGACAAAAGATTTGACTTCTTCTTCATATTTAGCAGCCTGTCTGGGTGTGTTGAAGTCATGCACGTCGGTTCATATCCTGAGTGAAACATTTTGCTAATATAACAGGCCGACTTTATGAATTCAAGTTGATGCAAACATTTCTTCTGATGCAAAAATCTGGGAAAGATTGGGACAGTTTTAACATTTATTTAATCCAAACCTCTAAAAATAATATTTCCAAACTCATTTTCCATTAATTCTGAAATTAAATTCAACCTGATCCTTTGATAAATAAATAGAAATTTAAGACTGAACAATATAATTACTTATACAAAACCTAATTCCGAAAAAGGACGGTGACTGACACAGCATATGCATTCATAAACACTGGTATCTGGAAGTGACTTCATTCATTATTCATTTATTCTTTATTTCATTCCTTTAAAAACAAAAATAAACCATTTATTTTAAATACAAACGTTCTCCTATCTAGAATGAAAGGGAGCAGAAAGAAGACTAATCTTATTTTATCTGCCCCTTTATTCCCAGAAATCAATTTACAAACAAATTTAACATAATATCAAATCAAATCAAATCAAAGAAAAGCAACAACAGCCAAAACAAAACACAACAAAAAAATATATAATGAAATAAAAATACAGCTGCTGGCCTCCACAAGTTACAATTCAGACAACAACAAAATTACAATGGTATGAAAATCAGATATAACTTTCCTTATTTTTCCTTAACATACTGGCTTTAATTAATCTTTTAAATGTTATGTTTGACTTGGATTCTTTCATGTCTTTGTTCAGATTGTTCCATAAACTGATTCCTTTCACAGAAACACAACGTTCATTCTATTTAGTCCTTAATCTGAAGCCGAGCGATCACAGCCATCCTTTTTGTTACAGGGATTTCTTTACAGATTCGTCAAGTATTACAAACATTATCAACATGCAGTCTCATGATCCTCTTCCCATCTTTACACCTGAGAGACCCTGTCTTGCCCCTTTTATACGCAGTCATGTTAGCAATCCAATCAAACAGTTTGACGGTGTAAACTCCAGGTGCTTTTCCATTGATCTCAACCTTTCTGAAGTTCTGCTGGCTTCAAATGGACGTCTATCATTTTTCTGCGAATAGGGGTTGTACTTCTTGCGGTGTATTTAAGCCTGTGCTATGTTTAGATAAAGGCTTAGTGTCTTTCAAACTACAAAAACAACAAAACATGACCACATAACTGTTGCTTACTTTCATTTCTGAGCTATGATGCTGTTTAATGGCAGCTACAGCCTTTTTTTTTTTTATAATTAAAGCACCCTCGAGGTTGCTCCAGTTGAAAGAGAAAGTCTTCTGACTAATGGCTCCAAAGCTGTGCAGTCACAGTTGACTAAAAACAAAAGCCTCTTGTTGGACTGGGTGCAGGGCGGCTAACGCCCAGCGAGACAGCAAGATTTTGGCCAGACGTTCAGTAATTAATGTTTTCTTCATGTTTCTACGAGGGACGACGTTCAGAGAGGTGAAGTGTGACACGACATCTCAGGGACCAAATCCAAACCCTGATGTTTGTGTTTGTATGTAAGCTCAGTTTCCCTCCAGTACATCTTGATTAGCTTCATAACTGATTTTCAACTTCCTGTTTTTTTTTTCTCTTTGTGGTAATTAGTTATAAACACCGACATATTAGCCCTGACGACTGAAATCTGACGATGATGTAAGGAAGATAGACACAAATAACATACTTCAAATATAATAAATTGTTTAATGAAATGCCACTTCAAATATCCTGATACCCCATTTCACAGTTTTTCCCAACATTCCCCAGATTTGCACAGAAACAGCGTTCATTCATGACAGTGAGAAGCTGCAGACCGCAAACTTCTCTAAATCCTATTAACCCCTAAATCTGACATTACCTCTGTGCTTTCTCCACAGAGACGAGCAACAGATGAATGTCACTTCTTGGAGCGACTGGAGAGCAACAACTACAACACCTACCGCTCCAGGAAGTACCCCAACATGTACGTGGCACTGAAGCGGACTGGCCAGTATAAGTCTGGAAGCAAAACTGGACCGGGTCAAAAGGCCATACTTTTTCTTCCGATGTCTGCCAAATGCTAATCTGGGATCTGGTTTGGGAATATTTATGCCTGAAGAATGACGATGTGACGGCAATGAAGACAACATGCTCCGTGCACATTGCCCTAAACAGCTGTGATGCTCTCTGACTGTTTCACCCTCAGCGTGTCTGCTTCTTATTCAGCCTCACTTTCACACCTGCAGTACCTTCACACCTGGCTTTTACTATGGCATCAAGTACAGACCTATAAAACCCAAGCCTTATATTACTTTTGCCTCTCTGAATGATGGTTAAACATCTCCTGAGGTATTAAGAGTTACAGAAAACCGGTAAAAACGACATACCGTATGCTTGAATATGAAATACAAGGGATACAATTTTTCAAGTGAAACCAAACTTTGCTTGAAAATAGTGAAACTCAACACAAATCAAAATCTAAATACAAGCACAATGCATAACTTTGAACACTATTTAGTATCTGAACAAAATCAAAGAAAACATAAAACACTTCCTGAGTTTGTGGTTACTTCGTCCACTTTACTTCTACAGTATGAGGTGAGATTTGTGCAAACAGTCTGAATGGCACTGAAGAAAAACCCAAGATTGTTATCGTGAACGATGAGCTTCATGACAGGCAGGCTGTTAGCTTCATTCATTCGCTTCGAGAGCTAATAAGATGAGTGTCCTTTCACGCCGTATTTTAAGCCAGCAGCACCCACGGCTTCAAAGTCGTCCCCCTGTTACTTCTGCTCCTCAGAGTCATTTTCAGTCGACCAACTCATGACGACATCTTCGCAGCGACAGTAGAGGAAGTTTCCAGAGTGTAGCGTGAGTGTGGGTCCAAAATTGTACCTGATATAAGAAAGTGTAGTTTCCCCTTTGTTTGGACATCCGCTATTGTTGCTGATAAAGTTGAAATCAGTCCCTTCTTGATTTTAAAATGGTCTGTTTTCGACACGGAGCCCTGAAAACAGCAAAAAAAACTACTGAAACTAAAAGTGTTTTTGCGCTAAAGAGAAAAATAAAATGCTTTTTGTTTTCCTTAAAAAAATGGGTGCTGCAAGCTTAAAAATGGCCTTAATGGACACCGACCTTTATTTACAGGTGTTGAGCTAGAAAGCGTAAATACTGATGACAAAATCACTTATTTATTCCCAGTTAAACTCCAGCAGACTTCAGATCAATACCATGAAAATCAAACCTGCTGGACTCCTAAAACAGCTGCTAAAAACATGTTTAATAAACCATTAAAAACTCTGCAGGTACTTAAGTTTCTTAAAATGTAAAGAGTGATTGCACCGAGTCTATTGCACCAAAATTCTTCCACAGTAACAGTCAGTGTGTGAAATAAACAGCAAAGATCACGTCAGTCATAAATACAGTTCACGAGTAATTAGTTCATCCAGGCATGAGATGCTACTTCACGTCCTCGACGGCTGGCTAAGGTTTCAGCGTGGGAGGAAGCTGGCGGTGGTACAGCTGGTAAAACATCCCGGAGTAGACAGCAGGCAGTTCCTCCATGGTGAGGTCGACGTGTTGGAAGCCTCGCTCCAGGCCGTGAAGAAGAAGCCGGGCGATGCGGGTGGTGATGGGCGTGGTCTCGTTGGTCTTGGCCAGCTCGGTGAGGTCCAGCCACTCACAGCGCAGACACTCCTGCGTGCAGAAGTTGATGTCGTAGGTGACGGGGCTGAGCCGGCAGATGATGTACATGTCGGACATGCCGAAGGCGCCGGGGTGGTTGTGCTGCTGCCGGATACTGAGCAGAGATCTGAACTCGGAGCGGACGCCGGTTTCCTCATAGACTTCACGGACTGCGGTGGCACCTATGGGAGATTCGATACAGCAAATGTAAATGTATGTATGCATCTCGATGACTCCAGCGAGGGAAACACATTTATGTTTTTAGAGATCAGAACAAAAAGGAAAAAAGCATTTATATATTTTTGTAAATACGAAAATCTGAGGCTGCTTTTTGGGACGAGTCTTATATATAACACTAAAGCTGCTTTTGAGATGTTCAAAAAGGTGAATTTGGATATATAATTCTTTGCATATATTATGTACCTTATTTAGTACAGTTCAATGAATGTATATCGTCTTTAAGCGTAATAGTCAAACTGAAGGATGGACCTAGAAGTACTGTATTAGTTTATCGCTCACCAATGTTTTCTCCTGGATCTGATAAGCCTCCGGGGAACTTCCAAGCATTCTTGGTCTGAAAACACAAGAACAAAAGTTAAAATTTAACACATCTTGTGATGGACGGCACTGCTGTAAATGTATCTTAGAGTAATATCAACATGTAGTCTTCAAAAAGTGGTTATTTTAGCCTTGTTTGAAACGCCTGTGCAGCCTGAGCTCCCACTTTCTTTTTTTGGTGGCACAAACTTTGAGTATGAAAGTAGATTTTTGGAGTTAAAGAATGGCAAATAGTCAGATATATATTCCAAGCAACATTATATGTGTCAGAGATATGCTTTTTTAGTGTGTCCTCCAAAAGTGTTTCACCACTTATCCTCTATATTTAAATAACATAATGCTGCTGGTTAAATTATAACATCAGTGTTGTATATATTTTTGTAGTTCCTTGAAGAATTTTGTATGCTAAGCTATAATACTATCCTAGATTTTCCTTGTTTTTGCGAGAACTTTGAGAGGAACACAAATGCACTACAGCTTTTATTTTTCACGTATTTTCAACAGAATGCTTTATTTTTGGAGCTGTTTCGAACAAGTGTTTGTCGGGAGAAATAAAGGAATATTGTGTAACTCTGACGAGTGTGTTATTTTATTTTTTTTTTTTTCCCCTGTAAAATGTCCATTCTCGCTGGAGCTGAATGTGAAGTAATATTACCAAAAATGCTTGCTCATGGATGCCAAACATTCGTGAACTGTTAGCGCAGAGTCTTTTGGGAAATAATGTGAAATGTCATTGGACTACGGGGTGGATTAAACACTTACACCCATGATTTCATTCAGTGTCCCGATGGATGAACTTTCCCTCAGTCCACTGAGGATCTGTTGGTTGTCTTTTGTGCTGATGTGAGGCTGATAATGTCCTGTGTGTGGTTTTTGTCTTATTTTCTTAAGGAAGTTGTGAGCTCTGAACTGGCTCGCTCTGCCAGAGACGCTCTGCTGCCAAAGGGCAAGACTGTTATAAAGACATTTCCAGTAAACAGCTCTATGGGGAAGCAGAGGAGGAGGAGGAGGAGGAGGAGGAGGAGGAGAGGAAGAGATAAAACTCTCTCCACACTTTCAGGCCACTAACTTTTTTCCTCTGCTGCAGGACAAAAGCCGTTAAGATACATTACACGCTGTTAAACCTCCTGACTGGGACACATGTTGCAGGGTGAGTTAAAACTCTGCCGATGATACTGTGAACTAAATTCATCATATGATCTTTATTTTATAACCCCCTGTAATAGGTACCCCTACTCTAAATGCTGATAGAAGTGTATCAGGTCTCTCACACAGATGCTCTGACGTCAAGCACATCCCTCTCTTTGCTATTCCATCCTCTACATAGATGGATGAGGACACATATGTGCCACCTTAAAATCTAAAAACTGTTTAATACTGCTGTTTTGTTGAAGTATCCTTTTGTAAATTATGTCCAAATTTTAAATAATATGGCCCAATAATCAGAGCATACCCTTAGGAGCGCAAGTCTACTAGTCCATCCTAGTTGATTCTGGCATGTCATCTCTCTAAAAGGAGCCAAAACCCCCCAAATAAATATTAAAATTCCAAATGAATAAATAACCAGTAGGGCTCGATTTTCTTGCCTCGCCGGCAGTGTGGTGCAGGCACAGTGTAAATCAGGTCCACAGCACCGATAAGGTATTTTGGTGAGCGGTGCAGCCCGGCGTAAGTATCCCCCCTCCCTAACTCAGCTCCTTCCAGCGGCGTACGACGTAGAGAGGGAGGGGATAAGGCGTGGAGTGGGTTTAACAAAGCTGAGACCTATTTTTGCCAATCATATCAGCTCCTCTCCTCACCTTTAAATGCGCCACCGGCGAGCCCTATTACAATTTTCGTGAAGTAGTCGAAGAGATCAAGAGATGTCTGAAGACAGCAATGCCACACGATGGTGACAGAAGGCAGCCCCTCAACAAGTGTCACTGTAAGCGCTGCAGAGGGCGTCCTCCACACTCTCTCATATTAGCACAGATGGATTTGGTGTTTGTAAGGTTGTACCCAATGGTAAGACAAACATCCTTTTCCACAACTAAAGACACTCACATAAAGTTGCACATATTTAAACCTCACATGACAAAGGTGGGTTGAGTGCACAGATCACAACATAAATTCCAATAATGGCATTAAAATCGGAACCACCTGTACGTAAAGGACGCATCGCGCTCTGTGGCCTGGCTCTTTCTTTCATAGATGTTGGCATATAAAATAAATTTGGCTCACAAAACTGAATATTATAATGTTTGTTTGTAGGCTTAAAGTAAATAACCACTTTCTGCACCGCCGGCGAGCACGAAATGTCACTGCGCCAGCTGATTCTGTCGACATCTCCCCCTACCCCACCACCACGCCCAGCTTGGCGGACCTCGGTGTGCCTCAGTCTACGAAAATACCAAACTGGCTGAGCGCCGGGCTCCACCTGACGAAAATACCACTGCGCGGGTTGCGCCACCCTCCGCCGCCCTGCCGGCGAGCACGAAAACAGAGCCCGTAGTGTTGAGGTCTAGTTAAAGGACAGGTCAGCCTACAACAGATGCCACAGTCTGTTCTCAGTATAGAGAAACAAAAGATAGACAAGTTTGGACTAGATTCATGCAGTCATCTTGTCTAGGGGTTGTTTTATTAACAGGTTCGTCTTATATTAGGGTAATTACTGCAATTTCAGTCACAAGAAAAGATGATGACTAGAATCTGAACAAAAGCACTTAGAGAATTTCTTTCTGGTTCGCCATAAACAGCTATATTTGACTCTTATTCCAGCAGTACTTGGAGTTTCTTCTTCTTCTCTGGCTGCCGTCATATATTTTGATGCAATATTTCAAACTGGCAAAAAGAATTATATCAGATTATTCTTTGAGGGTTTACCACCATGTGGTTGGCGCATGCTGCTAACATGTAAAGTTCTGTCCACTGTGGTGGACACCATGCATGAAAGGGTCAGTTGTTTCAGCAGCGGTGGTGGTGGTGGTGGTTTGTGGTCAGTTAAAAATATTATTTATAAGTGTTTTTACTCTTATGTAACCAAAAGGTTGTGTGAAGTGACTTTATAAGCACACGTGTGTTTTTAAGGTGAGGAGAAGTGTTTTCCAAATTTCTGCATCATGGTGCAATCAGGCCTTTTCAATCAGCTGCAATCTTGTTTAGGCCAACTCAGACTGCAAACAAATCTGTGTAAAGACCCTTTTAGAGACGCCTGCTGTAAGTCAACCTTGTACCGCCTCCAGCACTACAGCGGGTCTCTGTGAGAGCTGACGCAGACTCGCACTCCCAGAGTTGTTTGAGTGCATTCAGCTCAAGTAAACAGTGTGTTTACCCGAGGTTTGTGTGGAGGTGTGTTCACCGGGAGAGGAGCTGAAGGTCTGAGAGGACTTCCACCCACGTCTGGATCAACAGAGGCGACACACAACTCGCTAAACAAACACAACTAATCACTAACAATTTTAGAGGCACCGAGATATCTGATGCTTCTTTGGCTCATTTTTGTACTAGTGGTAAAACGTTGTTGGGCTGAGCCAATACCTGCAAAAATAACATCTGACCAGCCAGGAAATGTCATCATTTTCATTTTTAGTTATGTGTATTTCTGCAAACTAATATTCTTGTATATGTAATCTTTTAAAATCTGAGGTATCCAGATTCTGCTCTGAGGGAAATAGATTTCAATTTGACTTGTGACGTTTCGTTTACGTCAGCATATACCTTCATTTATTCAAAATAAAACTTTTTAAATGGCTGATATTGCAAGAATCACTGTCGCTACCTGATCCATCCAGGAAACCCCATTTGTACTGCGCATATTTGTAACGAACGCCACTTCCTCTACTAGCCATCTTTGCCACAGCTCAGCAATTCTTTGCCCCTTGTGGTTTGCGACAGCTTCGACACTTGAGCATCACATCAGCGAGCTCGTTTCAGTCAGAATGGAAGCTTCAGTTTATAACAGCAACACACTTTTCTCCTGAACGCAGTGCTTCCCCTGACTGAAGCAGAGCGCCAAAAAAACAAGAGAATGGCGCCCAGTTTCACGGTTAAAGTTTCCTACTACAGCTGAATTGTAAAATTGCTAGGGAATTTTAAAAAAAAGTCAGAGAACCATCATTTTGACCGGGTTGTGGCGCTCTCTGTGGCCCGGGTAGGGTGCACCATGGGAGGCCAAACACCTCCAGAGCATCCCCCCTTGATTCTTTGAAAAGTCAGAGAACCATAATTTGGACCAGGTGGTGGCGCTCTCTGTGGCCCAAAATGTCTCACCGTGCTGGGCAGGAGCTCTGGCGAATGCCTCGGTATGAACCCTGGAGCCTCCTGCTAGCTAGCCTGTCACATCACCAGCTGGTTTCTGAAATCGATTGATAGTTTAAATAAAGTTTTTATTTGCGCTTGCGCAGTATGGATCGGGTAGGTAGAAATAGTAAAGACTAACTGCTGTAAAATGTATTGAAATACGCAGAGAGGAAGTGACGTTTGTTTCGCACATGTGCAGTGCAAATCGAGTTTTTCGGGACGCGATATTTGTTTTTGTAGGATGGTAGGGAAAAGTCCCGCCTTCTTCACCTCTGATTGGCTAGAAAAGCTGGAAACGTCATCACACACTCAAGCTAAACGTGGGCTGTGTACATTGAACAGAACATTACAGAACATTATCGCACTTCTGAGTCTCCTAACCCTAATCCTAATCCTATCCCTAACCCTAACCAGACAGACGATGACGTTTCACAGCCATTAGGAATAACCAATCAGAGCCCAGCACTTCTAGCCAATCAGAGGCGAAGGAGGGCAGGACCTTCCCCTGCTAACCTACAAAAAAATCACGACACACTTCGTCCTAATTAAATCTGATGGCGTGTGAGTGGTTACATATTCAGTTTGTAAAAGCAGCTGAGAGAAATCTGACCTTGTTTTTGTCTTGGACGACCAGAACTTTTCCGTTGGATTCGTCCACGACTGCACCTAAACAACAAAAAAATGATCAGTAAAACATTCAAAAGAGATCAATCAGTCAGACGTGTATACAAGCTAGCAGCTCCTTTTTTCTCCCTGAGATTAAAGGTGGACTAGTGTATCTTCGACACATTGTACAACTATCAGGCAGCTACAGGTGGAAAGGGGAGAGCAGAAAGAGGAGCAGGAGGAGGAGGCAGGTGTGTCTGAAAAGCAAAGGGACGGATGAGCACCACAAGAGAGAGGCTGTAGGATCAACAGGGCATCATTCTAACTTGAGTTGAAACACTAAATAAAAGTGAAATCTGCCATTTAATCTTGCAAAGTATTATCACCCAAATTAGGCCAGAGTTTTTAGTGCTGCTCCACTGAGTGCAGAGCAGGTGGTATGTATGGGTTTATGTGCCGTGGCTGCAAAAATGGGCTGATGAGAGCGGCAGCAGTGACCCAAAACCATAAAGGCACAAGCTGCAAAATCAAAACCGTGAGCTGAAAGCTGCTAAAATGCTTCATAAAGCCGAATAGGTTTGGTTTAAACTTTCTGGGTTTTTCTGTGAAACCATTTAAACCAAAATGGGACCCGCTGGTTGATACAAAAATAATGACTATAGCTGATTTAACCACAGAAGAATATTAGGAGGTAATTCAGGAAACTTGATAGTTTGTAAAAGAGAAATACTGTATATGCAGCTTGTTCAGAATAAAATGGGTTTAAATGCGATATAATAGAAAGATATATGGGAAATTCCTTACTCTCTCCAGTCCAAACAGAGTCTGAGTGACTCAGCGGCACTTCTGAATGAAATGAACACCCACTTAAACATTTACATTTTTCTCTCTTGTTTGAACAGCTTTTTTTTTCAGGACTCGGTGACTAAGGGAGGCTGCTATGTGCCATTTCTGACAGCTCAGGAGGAGGAGGAGGAGGAGGAGGGAAAAGGCCACTTTCTTTTCCGGCTGCTCTGTCTGACCGGCTGAGACAGGCTTACAGACTTCCTAAAATGAATGTCACAGATGTGTAAAGAGGGATGGGTCGTCTTGAAGGCCTGGCTTGGACTTTCAAGTGGAAACTGATGTCATTCTGGGATCCTGGTGCCATATGGTGCTTCGCAGGAGGAGGCCTGGTTGTTACTAAGGGAGGCTATCATTATGAAGCCTTCTGTCTTGGAAATAAAATACTCATATGGAGCAGCAGGAAAAAAGAGAAACAGGAATATAAATCCAAAGAAATCATCACCAGGAGACTGTGGGTTTTGTAGTAAAAAACTGTGAACAGCTTGAGGTTACAGCTGGTTTGTGAAGACACAAAAATGATGTCTTCTTGGATATTCATATTTTTAGGCAGCTTTTCTCACGGCTTTCCAGAGCTCAAAGTTATTTCCTGTGAACATGATAAGGTCACAATAGCTCTGATGCTGCAATAGTTTTTCAGGTGGATCAGACTGAGAACATCGGTCACCTTCACGCATCAAGACAGATCAGTATTCAACAGTTATTTATGGTTTAATGAGCAAGTTTCAGCTTTAATTCCCTGTTCATTTTACAATGAGTATTACCAAGCAGGTGGTGCTTAATGACGCAATTGGCTGCATACCCAGTGAGGAAGACAATTGTAGCAGCGCCTCTTCTCCATTGGCTAGAAGTCATGCAAATACTTGGCAGTGTAAGTGAGTGAATCTAACAACGTGCTAAGAAAGACTCCTCAATTTGAAACAACGCCTGCGACCTGCAGAGGCGAAGTGATTCAAGTCTTGCTAGCTAAAGCTGATATATATTGATATAGTCTGTCCATCCATTTATTAAAAGCAGTTTTTAAACTCTTTGCTCTCTGGCAAAAACTGGTTGAATACTGGTTGTGACTTCTAGGCTACTTTTGCAGTATTTCCTTCATTCTGCATACTATTGGAGCTATTACTGGGAGACTTTAACGATCTCAGTTGGATGTAAAGCTGCGACAAGTTTTAACAAATTAATTACATGAATGACAGACAACGAATGGTCAACAGTTAACGAGGAGACTGTGAAAGAAATCTCCGGAGGTCAGTGTGAGCCCCTCAACGGTTCTGTGAGTAACTTTCAGTTTGTGTTGATTTTGGCGCCCCCTGGTATGAACTCCTACCTCGCACATTATGTTACAAATTTGAACCTTATGTGAAAATGTTAAAACAAGCTGCTGTGGTATCACACTGGTAATCAGATTGACTAAAACATACCTTTAAGGCAGCTTTAAGGTCCTTTCACACCGGGAGGGTTTTTTTTTCGTGCGATTATTTTGGATGTCAATATTTTTTTTGAAGAGCAACTTGTGGAGAGTCATAGCGTCAGATTTCTCATTTGACGATGGTTTGTGTGCTTTAACAGTTTGATAAACGACTTTGTTTTAACTTTCATCTGTGCTAAGTAACTTTGGCTCGTAAGTAAGTTTTGACAGTGTGAGAAATTTGGCTATTTCTTGAAATTCTTTAAGGCTCCATGTTTTTTCACCTCCATCCTTAAAAAAGCTCATCGATGGGGAAGATGTTGATGTCTATGGTTCTGTTAGGCTCAGGTTCTCAGGACTATGAGCCGCCGTGTTGAAAAATATATTATATTACTGCCACTCAACTTTCTAAACTTACAGTGAATTACAGTAAAATTACTGTATTTTACAAAGTGCCACCTTGAAGATTGTGATAAGTGTAAAGCACAATGGGGCCAGATAAATACAAGTCTGAAAAATGTTATATACGAGTGGATTATAACACGACAGCAACAAATGTGGGAGACGCTTGATGAGCACAAACATCAAAATTCACAGAGAAGAGACTAAATGAATACTGGGGACAGAGAATATCAGCAGTTTTTAAACGCTGGACCAAAATACGCCAATCGTGATTTGAGTCAAAGGTTTTGCTCGGACTGCCAAATCATATTTATTTTCAACTGATTGATTTAAGCAGAAAAACTTCCCATCAAATATTGATGTGAGGAGTTCAACAGTCTGAGCTCAGATTTCCTTGTCCTCCCTGTTCATCATAGCTGATCTGTTTCTCCCAGAGCAGACTGTTGAGCATTAGACAAACCACGAGAGTAAATGACAGGATAACCTCTTCTTATCTATGCAGAGTTATGTCCTGATTGATCATAATTAGCTTATTTTCTCATGTCTCTGTCATTATAATGAGCTGTGGTCAGGAAGTGCTCAGACTAACACACGTCAGAAAATCCAAACAGCTGCATGTTTCAGATTCCGACATCATTGTTAGTGTCGGTGGATTCTGGCAACAAGGAAGGGGAGTTTCTGGACCTCCTTTCAGTTCGTAAGATGCTCTGGACATGTTCTGACATGCTTCCAGTGCATCCACTGTTTGGTTAGAAAAATACATAAACGTCACTCTGCCCTCTGCTGGAACATCAGAAAGACAGCAAACTCTCAGGCAACAAACTCCAAACAGTAACAAGCATGACGTGAGAGAAAGTCGAATAGGCCAGAGTTGGAGAGTGCACCACAGACAACTATTTTTCACACGATAAAAATGAGCAATAAAACTTTTTTGTTAAAAAGAACCTAATGCGTTTTTTACTTTAGCTTCAATATTTATTATAACTTTTCAAATCTGCAGCATTGATTCATATTAAAATATATCATGTGTCCAGAAGAAATGCGAGATTTGATAATTTCACAACTTTTATTCTTAAGAATAAATAAGAGGTAAAAGTGCAGCATTTTCTCTGTAGTCTTTGCTTAACTAAGAATAAACTGAAATGCATTTAAAACAATTAGCCAGTTTTATTCACAAGGGTGTAAATGGCTGTTTTTATTATCAGTTTATTTATAAAATCCTGCCTGGTTTCCTAAAGCCATATGATCATCCTGATGTTTCAAATGAATTAAAAAAACCTGTGCCCAACTATAAAAATCAGTCCTTACTCTCCTATAGCTCACCGTTTCTGTCAATGCTCCCACCCTGTCCCCCCCGCCTCGATTTCAGGGCTGTGAACTCATAGGACTGCCGACAGGGGGAGCTATGTCAAAGGCCTGGAAACGTATTTAACTTGAAAGTGCTTCATAATAACAATAATAATTTCCTCTTTCTTCTCTATGTTTGTCTTTTTTTACGTTCACTGTGCTGCACCTTTTCTTCTCATTTAATCCCATAATGTTTACTTTAATCAGCCACCTAACCTCATTGCACTGACTAACTCCTATTTATTCATACCTTGTACACCAGGTTTACTTTTCAATTCTATTTTACTCAAATTTTTTTTTATTCCATTTAAAGTATTAATGTTAAGTATTATTCTACTTCATCTCGTCTCATTTCATACAGTGAGTTTTTTATTCTCAGCGTTGTTCCAGTATTCTGTTTAGCAAGGTGCAGATAACTTGTATAACTGTGATCTGTCAGTGATGGAAATATTAGGATTTATTCATTATATTCAGATTTTCACATATGGAACAAACGGCCAGTACAAAATAATAAAATGAGTACTTTCTGGTCTTTATCCTTCTCAGATGAAGAACAAATCTGCTCATTCAGACTGCGCTGTTTGGTTGCGAAGCCAGGATTCTCACTGTTAAGGTATGAGTATCTTGCAGACCTCACTCCAAAGCACTGTGTGAGCTTTCAGGTCAACAAATCTGTACCTGCCACTCCAATCTGGTGAGTTGCAAACCCCGGCAGCCTGCTCTCTCCTTCTCCCAACCAGAGTGCCAGCACGGCGTGGTCGTGTTTGGCGTGGTGGAAGGTGAAACCGTGGGTTGATGCAGCGGCAGCACATCGACTCAAAGAGATGGGGACCCGCAGCCACACTGCGACTTTTCCATCTGCTTTCCACTGGAGCAGAGAATCTGAGGAGAAACCAGAGACAAGTTTAAAACTATCCAGAGGCTTTTTATACTGAGGATGTTGCTACTTTATTGATTTATGGCACTGTGGAGATTCAGGAAGTATCAGTGGTAATGTTCGATGATTGATCTGATTTCAGAGACACAATGACAAACAACAGAGACACTTTAAATCTCATCCAGCTGGTTAGGGATTAAAAATAAAAAACGGGCAAAGTATTAAAGCAAAAGTGACAGAATGATGCCTGCACAAATCATTAAAACAGGAAAAATGCTCAAACTTAAAACACAATCTGAGAGAAAGTCAATTATTCAACTTTAACAGGATATGGAAAACTTTTTGCGTGGGAGAGCTCAATTCTTTCCTGCTCTGGTACTTTTGCACAAACCCATTTGTAAGTTCCTGATTAATGAAGCCTCAGCTTGACGCTCTCATCGTCCCCTCTGTCCTTACAATCCACATTGGTAAAACATAAAATAACTCTGTGAGATCCAACTTTGTTCAACTGTTTACTTCAAAAAAGGCAAGGTTGGTACAAAACAGAAAAAGCTAATATGAAGAGATGGAATATATCCAACAACAAAGGGGCGAGAGCGAGGTAAAAAAAACTGTGTGGCTCCACTCCATGCTCGCTGACCTGAGATACGCCAGGTAACCACACCCACACCGTCACTAGATCAACTGAAGGCAGTAAAGCATGCAAAACCACGAGAAACACCTGCTTCAAATGATCCACAGACATGACTAGAAAGCATGAAATGTTAACTTATTTATGAACTGTAAACATTTTAAATCTGTAAATACTGTAAATAGTAATTTTATCCAAATAAACCCAAATCACCGTAAACTTAAATTATTATCCACATCTTAAGTAACTAAAATTGCATTTAGGCTCCTACACCATTAATGAGGGTTTTGTCATGATTTTGCTGGTTTGGACACTTTTATGGCTCTGTGGAGTGTTTTTTATTTTGTGTGGAGTTTCACCCTTTTCTCCTCCTCCTGCACCTCCACACCTGCCTCTGATCACCTAATCACCACCTGCTTTTAGGCTCAGCTCTGAAGACTGCTCATCGCCAGATTATTCCCACTCTCACAGTACTGAAAACTTAGCGTTCTAGTGAATGTTTTGCAAGTTACTAATCCCTGCTGTCCTCCTTTCTCCACTAGTGCCTCCTCAAGCCACCAGTGTCTGCCCAACCTCTGCCTCCGCTGCCACACTCTCGATCCTGAACCACTCACCCGCTGTCTCCGTCAGCTCACACACTGCCTCACACACTCACAACGGATCCCCCTGCACTCTTTGGACCCCAGACCTCACACCATCCTTCATCGTTCATTACAATAAAATCACTTTAAGCTTCCTCTGCCTCCGCTACCCTTAAGAAAACCAATCGTTACAGGTTTATTACATTACCACTGTAGTGCAAAGTCATTTCAGGAGGTACTGACCTCACCGAACACAGATTGCTGCTTAAAACTTTCATTTTTTTTTTTTTTATAAAAATGCATGGTTTTTGAAGAGGCTGATATTTGACATTTGGCAATCCAGATTAATTGATTATCACTCTATTGTTATTGTCATTTAGCTTTCTATGGGGTGAGTGTTAAGTGTTAAAAAATGCCAATAAAGAGGGAAAAAAAGCTCTTCCAAGTCCAAGGTGATATCTTCAATATTCTTTAGGTTGATAGATATTCTTAGGTCATCACTGTATAAACTAAATAGGAGCAAATTTGCAAATCAGAGAGGAAAATAACAGATTTCTGTCACTGAAAATTCCCTTTGAGATTCTTTCATTCTTGTATTAAAAGAATCACCTGTATACTGTTTATCTGTTAGACACTTGAATGATGCATATTTTTTCAATTTTATTTAATGCACAAACCAGAAAAAGGTGCCAAGTCACACCAGCAAACTGTTTAGGTTCTGTATTATTCATTTAACATGTTTGTCCTTTCTGCAATCACGTCTCAGTACAACTTTTCATGTTTGTGAATGAAATCTAAGGTAGGTTTAAGACGTGATTTTGGCATTGCAAGCTTTAGCCGACTTTAGGAGCACCAACCTTGCAATAGTGTGCTGAAAGACTTCTCGCTGATGTCCGCAGGTAAACCGATCTCAGCCAGGTTCACTGTCACTCCACCGAACCGGTCCACTTTGCCCGTTAAAGCTCCGGTACCCTTCACATTGTGTAGCTGACAGCGAGCTGCGGTGCATGACAAGGCGCGGACAGCTGCAAGTGCAGGACATGAAGCTCTGCTACCAAACCGTCCTGTCACTAGAGGTAAAATCTTTAAGGCAAATGTGCAAGAAGGCATGTTTAGAAACTACAATAACAACCGTTTCAAGGTACTATGAGTCCAATTTCAACCGGCATGAGCGTGAGGTACGGTACCCTTACGTAAAAGTCCGCCCTGGAAGTTGCATAAATACCGTAACACCCATAAAATACCTCAAGGACTAGCTTGACGCTCAGTGGCGCTTACTTCAACAAAACTTCCTTAACGCGTTTTGCTATTAAGCTTTAATTCCTAAAAACGACGGTAAAATGCAAACATGTTCACTCAAAATTAATGATACGGATTGAGTGTTGAATTCGGCTACTGAATAGACCAGCCAAAACTTTGAAACAACTTATTATTACAAACTCTTACAACATTATGATCTTGTACAGCAGTTCACTGGCGCAGGTAACAAATGGCTCAAAAGAAACCTAAAATATGCTTCGAAAACAATTAAAAATACCAACTTAAGCATATTAGATGTATGCCGAATATAAAATTGCATTAAATTCATGTTAAGAATGATTTTATTACATTGAAATTCCATGTTCCTACCTGCTGGTTTCACAAAATCTAAATATGAGTGATTCTTCTATGACATTTTGTATTGGTCAAGGGGCGATTTTCTTTTATTTTTCCTTTTTTACTTTACATTCACCTGATTTATTCAAAAAGGGTGTTTTTTTTTTATCCCATAATTAAAAAAAAAAGTTATTACGAAATAACTATCAAAACCATACTAAATGATATGTATTTTTTCCTGACACCCTGCTTTTTGGGGGGGCTTCAACATGTATCACATCTATATCATTAGATTTTTGAGTTTATTATTTTGTTTTATCAAGAGTCTTCTCGAAATTGTCACAAACAGCCTAGATGGCCAGAAATAAATGATGATTATAAGAATATTATCTGCAGCAGTAAAATTGTTGCGACTTTATACCCAGGTTTACGGTAAATGTGGGCGGGACTAAACTTTGACCAGGAAGTTTATAACATAGCGCCGTGTTTACACATGTTTGCACGTTCACGCGTGGAACCTTTACTCTTTTAAAATGTCTGCAAAGAAAAATAAAAGCAAGTCTAAAAAGTCGAGTGAAGGGGACAGCTTAGTGTCACTGAAGGAGGGTTCGAATGACTCTTCTAACCTACAAACAAGCGGCCACGAAGGAGGAACCTGCAAAAGTTTGAACAGCGACTCATTCACTGTCATTGATTTCATTGATAAAGGTGAGACTTTGCTGAATTAAACCGACACGCGAATAATGTGCAGTGTCTTTGTGGATATCAGAGTTCATGTTGGACACAGTGATGCGTTAGGAGGCACAGTGGAGGTACCTGCCCTATTATTTAGACGATTATAGAGGCCTTTTACAAAGAATTAATTTTCAATGTGATGAGACACAGGGGCAAAGGTGGCTCGTTTGAGGCTATTTCAGTGTTTACATCTGCACTGACTTTTCAATCCAAACATGCAGCCTACAGACTGGAAAGTTTTGAGAATGGAGCCTTCACTTTAGGGATGTTGTCAGGTGAAAACACAAGGATGACAAGGACACTGTTCATCAACAGAATTAAAAGTAACACCTAATTTGCTTATTTTGAAATGACTTTCCTCCATAATTTTGTGTATTTGTGTTTCAGTTGATGATAAAACACCAAGATGCTGCAGATCAACTTTAGTCCAGATGAGCCTCAATTCAATGAAGGCAGCCAACGTTTGCATCGGGAGACCAGTCCTCCTAACCAGTCCATCAGGACAACAAGAGGTGTGTTTTGTTATTTTTTTTTATCAAACAGATTTTGTTTTATGAAACTGTTGTAGAAACATTAGTTCAGGGTCTGTTGTCATTCCCTGATCGCAGAGCCGGGCCAAGCTTCAATGGGGCCCTAAGCAAAATTTGATTTTGGGACCCTCTATTTCTGCCAATAATATTGATTGTTGATCATTCACACACCTACTACAAAATAGATATAATGCGCCTGGCATGTCTTTACACATTTGAGGGGGTAGCCTTGGTAATAACATAAATAATACTAATGCAGCCATACAAATAACACCATTGAATGATGTTCAGGGTGCCACATATGGTTTTTAATCTCAAAATGTAACACATTGAGGATGCTCAGTGCACATTGCAGAGCAAGAGGCACATGATGGTAGCAGAGCTTTGACATTTTGGCAGTAAGAATCATAGGCCTACATCAGCAGCAGCACTAAAATGTTTTTATTTTACATGTTTTATTTTACAGAGCCCTAAACAGAGGCTTAGTTCTCTTTTGCCTTGGGCCGGCTCTGCCTGATCCCTCCATGCTTTTAAATAAATTGCGTGTTGTATGTCATTAAAGCAATATGAACAGACTGCTTTTGTCTCTCAGGTGTGTTTGGGTTGGCCAGTTGCATCTTTTCCTAGTGGAAAAGTTGGTCTTCAGAAATGTTCTCAGAATAATCTCAGAGTGAAAACAGGAGATACGGTGACACTACACCCGCTGACAGGTCCTGTGATTCAGGCAGAGGAGGCCATTCTGTCCAACAGGTAACACACATCGGCGTTTCATTGATCCAAATCTAGATTTTACATGTTTTTAAATCATTGTCATGTATGTGGACACCATGCACTCGATTATTGATGTATTGTAGACAGTTGCTTTTTTAATCAACATGCTTCCTAACCCTGATGCAGTTGACTATGACATGTCTGCAACAAAACCTTTAACAAAAAAGGACATTATATTTAGAGTGTGGCAGCTGTTGTTGTATGATGCTGGTTTAACTTTATTTTGAAGGTTGTATCATCATTGAATTTTCTTTTTTTATTGGACTCTTAAGGCTTTCGAATTTTTTCCTTTATGCAGTAAGTCTGTCAACACACAAACTGCTGCACTGTTTGGAAAAATAAAATACAAAACAACTGGTTCCGCACAAATATTTTATAAATGTACATCTGCAGCTTCATTTTAAATTATGGTATGAGTAGCTGATGAGATTACACATCATTTTTCTGGAGTATCAGTGACCATTTTATAATTCAGGACAAATCAGTGTGACTCTGTGGTAAAGCCTGCCATCTGCTGGCTGCTTCTGGTAACTGCAGTCAAAATTTTGTGAATACAGAAGGTGATGCATCAGTATCGTCTCAAATAATTAATATTATCATAACTTTTATCCAAAGAACTTTTTTATTGATGTTGTAAATAAGAATCTGAATAAGAAGATCTTAACGAGGAATCACTGAAAGAAAAATCTATATCTGCTCTTAGTCAGCATCCTTGCAGCTAAAAGCTGCAGCAGGTGAAGCTGGGAGGTGTTCACGCTCTCATAGCATGCAGCTTCTGTCAAAGAGATTTTATAATGAACTACAGATAGAAATACAGAATAATGTAATTAATTTCTCTGTATCTATCCTCATACAATAGCATATAAACACCACAAATTTGTATTATTGAGTCTCACTTTGTTTCAGATCTAAAGATGACACGTTAGAGACTGATGAGTTCAAGAACTTCTTCCTGAGGTCTCTGGGTAAGTCTGCTCTTTCTTTATAGATTTATTGTTTAAAAAAAGACTTTTAGGCTTGAGTTTGGATTTTACAAAAGATCATTTGAAGCACAGCCAGCTTTTCTGTTTGTTCTGTGCCAGCTGGGAACATCATTTTGCCTGGAAACACCATCTCCCTGACCTACTTCGGCCGCTCATGCAGTCTTCGGGTTGAGACCGTAATGGGAGAAGATGGTGTCACCCTCCACAGACCAGCTCCCCCCTCAGGACTGAGCCCTGACACTGAGGAGTCCTCTGTGATGAACTCCGTGGTTGACTCCTCATCAGCTGACCTCTCCTTGCAGCTCAGCTTACTCACTGTGGCTGACAACATCCCTGAAGGGTCTCCTGGCACACCTGGAGAGTCCGGGCCTTCAGCTAGCACCCCACGACGACCCGCCCCCCTCCCCTCTCTATCCTCGCCGCCTGCTCTCTGCACCCCTACTTCCCACAGCTCCCAGAATCCACCTGCAGAGGGTTCAGCAGAGGATGTTGTCACTCTGGAGAGCTCACTTACCTCAGAGAAAATCCCAACAGCTCCCTCTGGTGGTGCAAAGAGTACTGACAGCTTTTACTGCCTCTCCTGCTCCACTAAAGTCAGCTTCAGTAACAGAGCAGGGAAGGAGGAGACGAACTCAGACAGTGGAAGCACAAAGGTCACTTACAGCATGATTGGCGGCCTCAGCAGCCAGTTAGACGTCATCAGAGAGACCATTGAGCTTCCTCTGAAACATCCTGAGCTGTTCTCAAACTACGGTGAGTCCACGTCATTTCCACATGCATACATTTAGGTGTATCATGATGCAAGTCCAGGGATGCACATTTGGGTATTTCTGACAATGCTGATAACCAGAAAGTAGATCCTTCTAATTTGAAGTACTTCTAACTCCAATTTTTTGCATATATTATGGAAAAAAGGAGAAGTCTTGATGGTAGATATGACTAATTTTGAAGGCCTAAACCTCTTGGAAAGCGTGCAACATAAATAGCTACCCCTGTTTTCTCGTCTGAAGCTGCTAAACGATGAAAATACTTCAAATACAAAGCTGAAAATAGAAACAAAGCAGGAGAAATAATTTGCAAGATCCATACTGTAACATCTATCTCTGCACTATGATGCTTTTAAATATTGGTGTGCATCAATGATGGGCTTGAATGGATAACAAGAGGATGATAACTCGCCAACCTCTATTTTTAATCTTTGAAACAAACTTTATATTGATTTGGACAGAATGTCATATTTCAAAGTTTGATATTAAACTTCCTTCTTTGTGTAGGGATCCCACCTCCCCGAGGAGTTCTTCTGTACGGTCCCCCAGGCACAGGAAAGACCATGATTGGCCGAGCCATAGCCAATGAGGTCGGGGCTCACATGACTGTGATCAACGGCCCAGAGATCATGAGCAAGTACGGTCATGAATTGAAACTCTATTATTTTTTTCTGTCTCAGTAAAAGCTGTTTGATTTCATTTGTATGGTCACAGCTCAGTGGAGGAGAAGTATCATGTATTTATTTATATTTGATTCTGTATTTTTTGAAGATTCTACGGTGAGACCGAAGCGAGGCTGAGGCAAATTTTCACAGAAGCATCTCAGAGGTAAACCTCGGCGGTC